CTGAACGTCGCCTAATAAGCGATTTAAAATCGTATAAATTCATGCAGGTACTCAAAAACTCCTGTTCAAACTGGTTAATTAAAAATCAGCTGATGTGCTAGAATTGTTGCTCCTTACCAAATTGGGTGCCATCGGAGAAAGGTTAGAGTAGGTGCCATCCAACTTTTTCACCCGATTAGACGACTACTTATCGCTTTATTATGATTTTTCACCTTATTAGACGACTACTTATCGCTTTATTATGATTTTTCCCCCGATTAGACGACTACTTATCACTTTATTATGATTTTTCACCCGATTAGACGACTACTTATCGCTTCATTATGAGTTTTCACCCGATTTGACGACTAATTATCGCTTTATTATGATTTTTCACCCGATTAGACGACTACTTATCGCTTTATTATGATTTTTCCCCCGATTAGACGACTACTTATCGCTTTATTATGATTTTTCCCCCGATTAGATGACTACTTATCGCTTTATTATGATTTTTCCCCCGATTAGACAACTACTTATCGCTTTATTATGATTTTTCACCCGATTAGACGACTACTTATCGCTTTATTATGATTTTTCACCCGATTAGACGACTACTTAACGCTTTATTATGATTTTTCCCCCGATTAGACGACTACTTATCGCTTTATTATGATTTTTCACCCAATTAGACGACTACTTATCGCTTTATTATGATTTTTCACCCGATTAAACGACTACTTATCGCTTTATTATGATTTTTCCCCTGATTAGAGGACTACTTATCGCTTCATTATGACTTTTAATTTAGAGTGTACAGAGAGGACTGAACTTTTTGCAGTTTTGGTTTTTTGAAATTTGAAACTTGTTTTTACTTTAAAATCATTAATAAAATCACAGCTGTATTAAAGTCGTCTTTGAATGTTAGATTTATATATTTTATAAGATTGAGGCGACATGAAACTCTGTAAATATGATGATTCCAAGATTAGATTAAGTCTATACCATGCATGCTTGGAATATGGTCGCTACATAACATATTTAATGATATGGCAAAGAACGGATAAAGTTTATAGTTGCAGGAAATCAAAAATATACAGGGTGTCCCACATCAATTTAGCCGCGTCAATGGGTCTAAATTACGATTTAGGGGACAAATCAGGAAATTTCAGAAGAATGAATCATTTTGAAAAATTTAATAAGGCTAATAGAATTTTTTTCTTGCAGAAAATGCTAGATTTTTCGAGTATTATATGTGTATTTTGGCGTTAAAGATTGGAGAAAGTCTAATATGATATGGGACGCTCTGTAGTATAGTGTATAAATTTCTCCTAAAGTCTTTGTGTGTAGTACTCTGTATTATTATTTTCTCTTTGGTTCTTTTTGTGTATGTGTTGTTTTTAAATGTTATAATTCAAATAAAGAATTTGGTTTACAGGGGGGCTCAGCTAAAACAGCCCCAGGCTATTGAGTCCGCCTGCTGCGGAAAATAATATTTTACATATTGTGATTTTTAAAAATTAATTCGTAAATATTGTTTAATATAATAACTGATTTGATTTAATACAATAAATGATTTGATTTGATTTGATTTGAAAACAGCGTATGGGAATCTATTATCAAAAGTAGCACTTAACAACCTATAACAGTAAATCTTTTATTATGCTTATCGGAGATATCTCTGTTTACTAAAGTATTAAAGAATACAGATAGCTCCAAAAATAAATGATATATTTATATATATATATATATATTTCAAGATTGTAGATTCTTTTATTACAGCAAGCCTCGTAATAATGTGGAAAAGGAAGACGACTGTTAGACTCAATATTGTATAACAAGGTTGGTTACTCTCGATCCGCTCCAATGTACGGAGCATTTATTCTCCTGAGATAGATAGATAAAAACCTCTAATGACATCACTGATTATAGAGAGTGACGTCTATGAGGTTTTTGATTTTATCTATCTAGCTTAGGAGACGACATTTTCCGTACATTGGAGCCCATCAATAGTAACAACCTTATTATACATTACGGGTCCGTTCTAGTACACCCTCCCCCCCCCCTCCGATCAATTTAGTACATAACCTAAAGAACCTGTCAAATCTTTCGTTGGGATGTTTAGAAAGATGAAAATTTCCCTGTATGATAATTGAAGGACTGCAGTATGGTTTTGGTGAAACAAAAAGTTTTATCAAAAATTAAACTTTAAAAGTTTTATAGAAGTTTTTAAAAATATGCAAAAAAAATCATTTCTGACACCCCTAGGCTTTGTACGCCAATATAATTCACCAAAACCATACTGCAGTCCTTCAATTATCATACAGGGAAATTTTCATCTTTCTAAACATCCCAACGAAAGATTTGACAGGTTCTTTAAACTATTTTCAACAAAAATAATATTTATTTTGTATTATTTCAGGGTTAAGTTAGGTTAGGACAAATTCTGGGCCGAGCGCTGCGACAAGGACAGGCTAGAGGGGCCGAGCGTCGCGGCCAGGACAGACTTTCAATTTCAACAATGTTCAACAAAATTAGTATATATTTAGGGTTAGGTTAGATAAGACACTTTCCGGGCCGAGCGCTGAGGCTAGGACAGGCTAGGACAGGCTAAAAATTGAAAATGGATAAAAAAAATAAACTACAAAATTTATAGGAGGGGGGAGGGGCGGCCGGGGGGGGGGTCCAAAAATCGTATGCTACGAAATTACCTAAATTACAATCTTGGTTATGACTCAAGTTACCCATTGTAGGTAAAATAACATAACATAAACTTTGAATAAAGAAATTTTTTTACAATTATGGCATGATTGTCTTTTTTACTTTTATATTCAAACAAATAAAAGAATCAAGGAAGAACAAAAGTGAATTTCGTAAAAAGCACAACAAACAGGGGCGGATACAGGAGTGAGGGGTGTGCTATATTTATTTCGGAACAAAAAAATCCAGATTTAGGAACCAAAAGACGCGCCGAAGGAAATTTTTTTTTTTACTTTCAGGTTTTGCACTAGGTTTTCTTTCCCTTAAGTGCTATTGAGAAGCTATTCTTTGAAATCTCAGGGGAAGGGCTACGCCCTCCCCTGAATCTGTCAGGGGGGTGCGAAGGTCCTGCCGCCCCCCCCCCCTGTATCCGCCCCTAACAACAAGAAAAAAGTACTTAATCCTAAGAGTATTTAGAGAAAACCCTGAACTATTTTCATTCCGACCATTTCAGTGGAGAAAGACATTAATCGCATAACTTGTCTTTATAAGTTTATATTCAGAAGTAACAAAAATAATGAAAATGATCCAGTATTAAAGGGAGTGTTCGCGAAAAGAAAAGGTGAAAAGGGCTGATAGAAATGAATTCAATATTGACTGCTGCTTATTTTACTTCTATCTGTTATGCAAGGTACAATTGGTACCTCTCTGTTATGTCTATATTGAGAAAATGGTTAAAAACGTCCATAGAACTTTACAGAGTGGCATTATTCCACTCAGTTTGTAAATAATTCAATTACGAGAATAAAGTTTTCACCAAAAACTCCAATTTTTCTAATTCCTATATCTTTGGTCTGTTTGGAACCTGATTGTATAAACATTTAATATTTTGAGCTCAGATAATTTGTTTAAACAGAATTCATTGTTAGAAATATCTAAGGTCTAAGAAATTGGGTTGCAAATATATAGGGACTAGAAAATCAGGTTTTATGGCAAATTTTTAAATTAATCATTCAGATATAACAACCTATAAATATCGAATGCGATTCAATGCATTCGTAATCGTATGTAGTTGACACTTTCTAATATTTTCAAAATTTTATTTTTAACTAATATAATTTTGTTAAAAACTTGATTTCACGGTTGGCAATGGATTTTCGAAGATTCCAGGAAAATATGAAAATATCGTCTTTTATAATAAAAACCCTGGAACTTTCAGGGCTGAATATTTTGAAAAGTAACACTCGGATCATATATCCAGTGGACTGCAGATTTTAATTTCGTTTCTTTTCAGGAAAAGTATTGCACCTCCCCCCCCCCTCCCCTAGTCAACGGTAGTTCCTTGTATGTCTGTGTGTCCTCTGTAGTCCTAAGTACTAGTATTTTCCTGAAGATTTCTTTATTCTTTTTTAGTAATAGTAGTAATAGTACAGAACGAGTTAGTATTACTACTTCCCTCGCGACTAAGGGGACTGACTGTCCCTGAAGAGTTTAGACTTTATACGATTTGTCGTAATAATTTTACTCCTCCGTATTCCTTTAGTATTCCTCTCTGGTCACATTATAAATAATTTGAATAACATCAAGAAAAATATCAATCAATCAGTATAAAAAACAATAAAATACTTAATCTGTAGATGTTTAAATACTTAATCGGTAGATATTTAAATGAATTTGATTAAAACATCGATTCTTCATATTTTTTCATGTTTTTATTCAACTACAAAGCATGAGATATTACAAATAACCAATCACAATTTACTATGCAGTTTGGACCCGCCTAACCAGGGTTGGTTGTTTTGAGTGGTTCTTATTTTTTAATGAACTGTAAACGTAATTTCAGGGATTTCCGGTGACCCTCCATTCATGTTTACTTGTCCAATTTCCAATTTAAAATGACATCCTTAATTTTCCATTAATGGTTAATTTTCCATTAAGGTAGTGGAACTTGCGCATTTTTAACTCCAGAAACAATAAGAGCAAATTATCAGAATTTAACACGTTTCAAGCTAGAAAAAGGGCGATATCATCAATTTTATTGATCAGATAAAGGTTGAAAGGATACCGATGGGAATCAGGCATGCCCCTCTGTGAGGTAACTTAAAATTACGTTTACATACAGCTTCTCTTGAATTTCGTGTCAACCTTTTAATTCGAAATACGCATTATATAAATATTTTTAATACATATTTACAAATGTTTCAAAGTAAAGATTGAGATTTGATTAATACTTTCCGGCCTCACCTTGTCTCATTTTCTCTTTACTTATGTTTATATTTTATATATATTATATGTATCGTATCTAGGTGGTTTGTGTCTATGTAGTCTCCATGGATCAATACCTAGGTTATATATCTAGGTTCTGGAAAGCCTACTCAGCTCCTCCTAGGGGAAAGGATAGGCCGGGGGGGAAAGCCCCCTGTGTACCACACAGGCTATCGATCTATCTTAGTATCTTCCTTTATCCACCGACCTATCTATCTATCTATCCATGCACCGGCGCCATATATTCCCCCTCTGCAGTAGCCTCGCACCAACCATCCCAACCATAGGTAACCTTTATATATTTAATATATTCATTATACTCATATTTATCATCTCATATATTCATCCTCTCATATATTCATCGTCTCATATATTCGTTATTTCATATATTCATCCTCTCATATATTCATCCTATCATATATTCATTCTTTCATTAATTCATTCTTAGATTAATTCATTCTCTCATTAATTCATCCTCTCAAATATTCATCCTCTCATATATTCATCCTCTCACCTATCCATCCTCTCATATATCCATCCTCTCATATATTCATCCTCTCATATATTCTTCGTCTCATATATTTTTTATCTCATATATTCATCCTATCATATATTCATCCTCTCATATATTCATCCTCTCATATATTCATCCTATCATATATTCATCCTATCATATATTCATTCTTTCATTAATTTATTCTTTCATTAATTCATTCTTAGATTAATTCATTCTCTCATTAGTTCATCCTCTCATATATTAATCCTCTCATATATGCATTCTATATTCATCCTATATTCATCCTCTCATATATTCATTCTATATTCATCCTATATTCATCCTCTCATATATTCATTCTCTCATATATCCATCCTCTCATATATCCATCCTCTCATATATTATTATATTAATATATTAATATATTCATCCTAAATATAACAAGTTACAAATTGAGATCGCTTACATGTACAATGTACATATCAGTACAATATACATTATACATGTATATTATACCACGTGTACAAATTAAACGTATGCAATTAAACAATATCTATCATATTGTCATCCTTATAAATTTATAACATTGAATATATGTGTTTACGGCTCTTTTGATAAATTATCTAATTGTCTATTATTTCAAATCTAATGTAATACCCTTTTAACCTGTATTTGATGTGTAATCATGGTTCTGGAGAAAGCCTCAGATTATTCCTTGCTCTTTGTACCAACCGGCTTCTCAACCACGTTCTTTCAATCTTTTAACCTTTTTATCTTTCTATCTTTCTATCTTTCTATTTTTCTATATTTCTATCTTTCTATCTTTCTATCTTTCTATCTTTCTATCTTTCTATCTTTCTAACTTTCTATCTTTCTATCTTTCTATCTTTCTATTTTTCTATATTTCTATATTTCTATCTTTCTATCTTTCTATCTTTCTATCATCCTATCATACTATTTTCCTTTTCAATCTTTCTATCATTTTACATTTCTTTAATTCACCTATATTATAAAGAGAAATAGATATTATATGGTCGGAAACAATGAAATCAAAATTCCTTGGTTCCACCTAGAATTGTAATTACGTCATCATCCTCCGCTTAACTCAATCCTAAAACTGTACGTGCCTAGTCTTTAGAATTCCCCCAACCCCTATACATTTCCCCTCTCTCCTATACTTTTAAAATTCCCCCTCCTCCTCCATTAACCATATCCACTAAGAACTCTAGAATATGTTTTCCTATTTCAAATTTGATTTTTAAAACTTTTTCCTCGCTTAAATGGAAAATTATCTATTTACAGAGAATCTTTTATTTTTATTTTATGCCAGAGCTTAACACTCAAATCAGGATATCGTTATGAAACCGATTATCGGAAACCCAATATACAATAAAGGTATGTACAGTGTAATGTACAGTGTACACTGTACCCACAAAGGAAAAGACTTCAGACCCCGAAATTTAAAAGAGTATGTAGAACGAAACTTCCAAGTTTCCATTTTGGGGTCTTAACATTTGTGTAGATTTTAATTTAAGAGATTCGAAATAAATGGAAAATATGTAAAAACTAAATAAAATATTATTTCATAAAAAAGTATTGATATCCACAAAACTGCCTAACCCCATTCGTGAAACCCGGGTTCTAAAATTGATTTTCATAACGATATCCTGTCTAAAGTTTAGGCTTCCTTATTTGCTAAAGCTGAATAATATTTCTGATTTTGTTATTAACTATATGCAAGGAAGAAAAAATTGAGCCTTCATCTGATTATTATTGGATTCACAAGTACTTTACAACATATACAATTTTTGGGTACAGTTTATAATATTTTGTTTCAGGGGAGGGGGTTCAAATGCTGTAAACAAATATTCAACTACCACCGAATTCTTTTCTCATCCTTCCCTCTTCCCCACCATATAAACCACCACTGATCTTTCTCCTTTTATTAAACTTATTCTTATTTAAATTGTTCTTCACTCCGGTTCCATATCTGTATATTTTAAATCCCTTGTCCAATATAGTTTCATGAATACAACAGGACTAATACAAAATAAATGTGAAAAAATAGTTTAAAGAATACTGAATATAATCTGAAAATTATTTTTATAAACATAGAAGTTAGTTTTAGTAAAAGTTTTAAGATTAGTCAAAAACCTTTCTGCATTTTATTCTTAAATAAATTAAAAGTTGTGTAACTGAAACATTCTGAAAATTTGTTTATTTATTCATTCATACATTAAGCCTAACTGCAAATACAACTGCAAGTCAGGATTCTTATTTAGAATTTTTACATATGTAATAAAAAAGTTCCTTTACAATTAAAAGTGCCAAAAAATAGTTTCAAGTATTCTCACCAAAGGAATTCCTTTATTTCTAAACCTGATGGTGTAAACCTTCGCTATTTCAAACTTAGATTATTTCATTTACCCGAAAACATATTTGAAATATCAAAGGTTTACACCATCAGGTTTCAGAGATATTGGGATTAAAAAATCAAAGTTTGTGACAAAGTCAAAGTTCCTTTTACTTAATAGTTCAAAAAATAAACAGTTAGTACTTGCTCTGTTCACAAAAGGATTATAAAGTTTTTTCTTTGATACTTCTGTGGATTTCATTTAAAAATATATATTTATTTAGATGGTGTTAACGCTACTTTAAGTACTGTTTAGCAGAAATAAATTCTGTCCGCCTTGGAATATTTTCCACAAAAAGGAGTTCACAGAGGAAATAAGATGTTGGAGAGTGGGAGCCAGCATAAGGTGTACCTGGAGAAACGGAGCGGAGAGGAACCTAAACCTGAACCTGGTATAACCTGCAGTATCTGCGGTCATTGTCTACCCGGAGCTAGAGAACTAGGAGTTCATATACTGGCAGAGCACTGCGATGCAAACCTTCATGATGAACTACAGGTACAAGTAGTCTCCAGAAATGCAGAGTGTTTCTGTAAATATGACAATTAAGAGACGAATTTTAGTCTGGCAATATTGAAAGAACAAAAAGGCCGACCACATTTTGAAAATTCCAAAGCTAGGGATTATGGTTTGGTTATATTATATAGCCATTGTTTCAAGAACCATTCTCGTAATTTTGGTTAATAAATGCCGCAAAATGTTTTAAGAAGACATGTTTATTTTCTTCTTATCCAGAAAAGTTTATGTTTAAAGGGACAGACTGTATGTTTTTCTATATACTTTGATTGTTTATAATATAATTATAAACAAAATGCATAAAATATTTTCACGGATTTCCAAAATATATGGTAGGGACTGTAAAGGAAAAATAAAAGTTATGTAGATTGTTTTCTCTGAGATCCTGTCCCTTTTTATCTGATGTAAGAAAGGATATCTTTATTTCATATAAAACACTTTTAGATATAAATGTTATTTTTGATTAGAAAAATATTCAGATTTTAGATATCTCATAAACCGCAACAATTTGAGGTGTAGAGAAAGATTTAGATTTTCCTCGTGGCTCTGTCATTGATAGTATTAAATATTCAAATGTTAGTTTTAAAATTATCTGATCTAGGAAGATGGTAATCTGGTAATAGACGGAGTACCAGGTCTAAGCATGGAGATAGATCAAGATCAACTCCTAGAGGAGCAGGATCCACTTATTCCTCATTCAGAGATCCGTCCTACTCCGGAGACACAGAGTACTGCACTCCTAGAGCTACCGAGAGCTCCTACTGGAAACGAACTAAAACAGAAGTTTATGGCATACAGAGTTTCTGATACTAGTCATAGGTTAGATTTACTTAGAGTTTCTGATACTAGTCATAGGTTAGATTTACTTAAAGTTTCTGATACTAGTCATAGGTTAGATTTACTCAGAGTTTCTGATACTATTCATAGGTTAGATTCACATAGAGTTTCTGATACTAGTTATAGGTTAGATTTACTTAGAGTTTCTAATACTAATTATAGGTTAGATTTACTTAGATTTATGTAAAGTAAAAAAAACCTAGTTTAAAAAAACATCCATACCTTAATTATAACCCTGAATATTCAAATAGGATGAGACTTCAAAGACGACTTTACGGAACTTTTTCACACAGTTTTCATTCCATCTTGGTTTCCTAAACTGGAAACGTGTTTTTCTTTGATTCTATCCTATAGGTTGTTGTTATTTTCTGTATCCAAGAAAAAAATCCTAATTCTCTCTTCAATCGCTATATTTAATGATATTTTAGTCGTCATTTAAGTCTCACCTTTGTTTAGTGACCCTGTAAAATTTGTTTAAGATATCTTTAATTTAGATATATCTGTTTGGTGTGTGAGAAGGTTTATACAAGCCGGTATAATATCCGGATGCACATGAACCTCCACACTGGGAACAATGTGCACACTTGCGAACATTGTAACCGGAAATTTGCACATAAACACGTTTATGAGTCTCACGTGCGAACCCACACTGGAGAGAGACCGTTTGCATGTGAGAAATGTGATCGAAGGTTTGGAGATAGAAGTAATTGTGCGAGTCACATGAAGAGATGTGCTGGAGTGAATGAGGAGAAGGAGCATGGGGAGTCTATAAACATCGCTCCGAACGTGTCCATCACGCCGATAAAGCGCGTCAAAAAAGAGATCGATGAGGAGGAGATAAAAACTGAACACGAGGACGGAGACGCGTTCGAGGAAGATCCTCTCCGTACTAGCTTTAAACCACAAATTGTCTCAGTTCATAGTATGACCGGGAACAACAACAACGTAGAGTTTGAGAATATGGGGTATGCAGGAGAGGATGAGGACGAGGAGAATATGGATGAGGATGAGGAGGCATCTGAAGAAATGACGATTGAACCAGATATAAGTCTTGATTATGATGATATTGAGGAGATGGGTGAACCTGGAGATCAGTTAGGAAAATCAACAACATTCTACACGTGCAGCTTCTGTCTGGTTAAATACGGTGAACAATCTAGTTTACTGGATCACCTGAGTACACACGTAGATATACCACATGCTCCTGTTAGGGCTGAGCTAGAACAAGGATACATGACCCTGTACACAACCGCCAGACCCAAGTTTATGTGCCTGTTCTGCGGAAAATTCTTCACTACAGCACCTACCGTTGAGGTTCATATTAAAGTGCATGTTGAAGACAAGTTTTACACGTGTGATATATGTGAGAAAATATTTCTTCATCAGCATGTTTTTGAAAAACATATGAAAACTGAGCACAATTACGTTAAACTGGTTCGAAATAACACTCAGGATCAAAATAAATCTTTCTCTAGTAAACCTTTAGAGATCACATCCCAGACAAGCTCCAACAACAACCTGGAGAAGAAGAAACCCAAAGCAAACCGTCCTCCACCCAAACTAATCATGTTGAGCAACAGTAACTCCAGCCTACAGTCCAGGAACCTGGCGGCGCAAAGTGATCATATAATCGTCCAGAACGCGGAAAAGAGAACCCCGGTAGAGCTAACCAGGAAACCGATCACGATTGCTCCAAAACCCACAGTTTTACTCCTCACTGAAGAGGCTCGTAAGATATTTAATAATTCAGCTCCTACTCCGTGCAGAACCAGTCCAAACTCTAATCCTAGAGCTCATAAGATCGTCGAAACTCCAGCAGGTATAAGTCTTTATCATTGATTGTTTATTAATCTTTTCACGGCCAAAAAATACGTTATTTTTAAGGATAATTTAAACTCTTCTAAACTTCTCTGTTTATATGCATTGCTTTTGTTTGAAATTAGAAATAGAATATTGCTATTTTAATTTAAAAAGGTTTTGAATGTTGTTTTGAAATATAAACGTTTTTGTTGCTAGGACGTGAGTATATCCCGGATACAAACAGTAACAATATTGTAAACCTGGATACAGTTTATCCTCCTCCCAGCACTGCTGAAACTAAACGAGGGTTCATGCTAAGACTCTGCGGTATTATTATTATTATTATTATTATTATTATTATTATTATTATTATTATTATTAATTTAATCAAGTAATTCTTGTTCTGTCCCTTTAATCAAGCAATTCTTGTTCTATCCCTTTAATCAAGCAATTCTTGTTCTGTCCCTTTAATCAAGCCAACTGATCTCATCCATTATCCAACTGATCTATTATTATTATTATTATTATTATTATAACTATAATTAAAGGATCTGGAGGGCAGCAGAGATATGTATGTGTAGACTGTGGAAAGCACTATACAACCTCGTATAACGTGAGAATGCACAGGAATATTCATCTCGGGAAGAATCTCTACTCCTGTAAATTCTGCATGAAGGAGTTCTCACACAAACACGTCTGGGAGGTAGGATTCATTTTCTTTGTTAACCTGCTTTTTTGGAGGGTTTTGGTTTAAGAGATTTTTTAAAGTATAATCAGAGGTTGGAACTTTTGTGTTGAGTATCATTTGACTTGAACGCTTGATATCGATACGGTTTGAACACCACGGGAAATCGATACGGTTTGAACACCACGGGATATCGATACGGTTTGAACACTACGGGATATCGATACGGTTTGAACACCACGGGATATCGACACGTTATAAACACCACGGGATATCGACACAGTATAAACACCACGGGATATTGATACGGTATAAACACCACGGGATATCGATATGGTATAAACACCACGGGATATCGATATGGTATAAACACCACGGGATATCGATACGGTATAAACACCACGGGATATCGATACGGTATAAACACCACGGGATATCGATACGGTATAAACACCACGGTATATCGATACGGTATACACACCACGGGATATCGATACGGTATAAACACCACGGGATATCGATACGGTATAAACACTACGGGATATCGATACGGTATAAACACCACGGGATATCGAAGAGAAATTAAATAATTGCCTTAGCCTGATTTTCTGGTTTTAGTATCATCATTTTTCATTAAAAAAAAATTGAAATTATGATCATTTGTTGTGTTTAGACCCATGAACGTGTACATACTGGAGAAAGACCGTTCAAGTGTCCAACCTGTCCAAAGGATTTTGCAGACCGGAGTAATTATAATTCCCACAAGAAGATCTGTGTACGTCTCCAGCAGCAGTGTCGACGGGAATCAGAGGCTGGAGTTGTCACTATCTAAACCTGAACCCTGATATTCAACCAAACCTCTAAACCTGAATCCTGATATTCAACCAAACCTACATGGTTTCTTGTTTTAAGATAAAAGAAGAATGAATGTAACTCTCTCTGAAAGCCTCGAAAAAATTCAATTTAATCATTTTCAGTTCAGTTGCATAATCGCAAAATTTAAACACATCTTACATCATGTTATCATCAAACAATATTCTGCATCTGATTTCATTCATTTTTCAACAATCTTCATCCATTTTCTTTTCTTTCATCTATCATCCATTATTCATTATGCATTTGATCTCAACCAACTGATCTCATTCATTATCTAACTGATCTCATCCATTATCCAACTGATCTCATCCATTATCCAACTGATCTAATCCATTATCCAACTGATCTCATCCATTATCCAACTGATCTAATCCATTATCCAACTGATCTAATCCATTATCCAACTGATATCCATTATCCAACTGATCTCATCCATTATCCAACTGATCTAATCCATTATCCAACTGATCTCATCCATTATCTAATTGATCTCAACCATTTATCCAGCTGATCTCATCCATTATCCAACTGATCTAATCCATTATCCAGCTGATCTCATCCATTATCCTACTGATCTCATCCATTATCTAATTGATCTCAACCATTTATCCAACAAATCTCATCCATTATCCAACTGATCTCATCCATTATCTAATTGAACTCAACCATTAATCCAGCTGATCTCATCCATTATCCAACTGATCTAATCCATTATCCAGCTGATCTCATCCATTATCCAACTGATCTCATCCATTATCTAATTGATCTCAACCATTTATCCAACTGATCTCATCCATTATCCAACTGATCTCATCCATTATCAAATTAATCTCAACCATTTATCCAGCTGATCTCATCCATTATCCAACTGATCTAATCCATTATTCAGCTGATCTCATCCATTATCCAACTGATCTCATCTAGTATCTAATTGATCTCAACCATTTTTCCAACTGATCTCATCCATTATCCAACTGATCTAATCCATTATCCAGCTGATCTCATCCATTATCCAACTGATCTTATCCATTATCTAATTGATCTCAACCATTTATCCAACTGATTTCATCCATTATCCAACTGATCTCATCCATTATCTAATTGATCTCAACCATTTATCCAGCTGATCTAATCCATTATCCAACTGATCTCATCCATTATCCAACTGATCTCATCCATTATCCAACTGATCTCATCCATTATCTAATTGATCTCAACCTATCCAACTGATCTCATCCATTATCCAACTGATCTCATCCATTATCCAACTGAACTCATCCCTTATCCAACTGATCTAATCCATTATCCAACTGATCTAATCCATTATCCAACTGATCTAATCCATTATCCAACTGATCTCATCCATTATCCAACTGATCTAATCCATTATTCAATTGATCTAATCCAGTATCCAGCTGATCTCATCCATTATCCAACTGATCTCATCCAGTATCCAACTGATCTAATCCATTATCCAACTGATCTAATGTTTGTTGAGACTCCGTACACAATTATATTGAATGATCCTAAAGCTTGAAAATGCTGTTAAACAAGGAAATGTGAAAAGAAGAGAAGGAAAAATTGAAACTGGTGAATATTTTGTAATCTCTGAAAAGCGTGTTTGAAATCTTATTGATTTTCATTCTTTATCCTTTATCGTGGATTTTACAAGCATCGCATTTAAACGAACGCGAAGTGTTCAAAATATTTATGTTTCATAAAAAATCTTTTTAATGCTTTGGTATTGTGAATTTTATTTGATTGTTCCAGAAAGAAAAAAGTGTTCTGAAATTATTTTTTCTTGTCAAAAATGGCTAAAATTTATACTTAAAAGACTCGAAACAACATTTAGCCCAAAATATTTTTTTTCCGGCCCCCCCCCCCCTCTGCATTTATTTATCATTGTCAGCTAATCTTTACAATTATTAGTCTAGTTAATTTTCTCTAGTCAATTTGACCAAAATCTGTAAATATATTATACTCATATTTTTATACACAAAATACTCAGCTTCATGTGATTACTGTAAACAACTAGTCAATATTTTAAATAAATAAGTCAACAGTGTATATTAATAATAAATTTTAGATAAAAAAACTATAATTTTGGTCAGAAAACAGATTCATATGAAATTATCCCAGAATAATCGTGTTAATGTTTTCAATCGTTAAATACGTCAATAGTTTAAAAAACTATTTTTTCTACACTTTACGTACTTTTTCACCACACTTACTTTCTTTTTTCAATTTAGGTTTATAGAGCTAGAATTATTATTATGATTAATAGCTCAAGATTATTTGTCAGGATTTGCGGTTTCAGCTTTAACAGAAAAATACTTTTGAGAACAAAATGAAAATAAATGTATTTTCTTGGGGGAGGAGAAAAGAGGAGGGACGGGTGGGGTTGGGGGCGGGGCGGTAGATGGAAGAAATAGTTGAATCGTAATCTTTTAGAAGCCCTGCGTTTAATCTTAACGATAGTGGGTCATTTTTGTTTATCTCAATAACATTTACCAACCCTTTGATACAGGGTTTTATGTGATTTTATTAGTTAAAGAGATTAGCATCTAGATTAACAATGTGCACTGCGCAAACACTTTTTTCAAATTTAACATTTATTAAGCTGAATTTTATTTAAGAATTAAAAGTTAAGAATTAAAGTAAAATTACAAATATAAATAGATGTTTTACATAAAAGTCGCTTATAAGATACCTTGTTGAGCTGAGACTGCAGTATTATAGAGAAAAATCATCTGATTCAGTTGATACCAATATGACGTTTGTACGGTGTAAAAATTCTAAGAAACGTTTTTAAACAATCATTTAATAACCCGGAAGAAAATAAGGTAACAAAAATTTGCCTGTCATTTGTATCAAATAAATCCTAATTTTGTTTTTATAATACTGCTGTCCCAGTTCAATCACGTTAACTCTTTAAGAATTCGTACATATAGTCCCTTTAATCAAGCTATTCTTGTTCTGTCCCTTTACTTAAGCAATTCTTGTTCTGTCCCTTTAATCACGCAATTCTTGTTCTGTCCCTTTAATCAAGTAATTCTTGTTCTGTCCCTTTAGTCAAGCAATTCTTCTTCTGTCCCTTTAATCAAGCAATTCTTGTTCTGTATCTTTAATCAAGTAATTCTTGTTCTGTCCCTTTAATCAAGCAATTCTTGTTCTATCCCTTTAATCAAGCAATTCTTGTTCTGTCCCTTTAATCAAGAAATTCTTGTTCTATCCCTTTAATCAAGTAACTCTTATTCGATTAAATGTTTAAAATCCATCTAAGGTAGAAAGGAAAGGAGGCAGGTAAGTAACCTTTGCAAGGTAAATATTAGAAATACTAAAGAGAGAAAGCAGCTTTACCTGTATTTACTGTGCATTTTTATATAAACCAGATATCTCTAGTTTAAATCAAATCCTAACCTAACCTCAAAATAAGACAAAAGATTATTAAATGAGACATAACCGGAATGACCGGAATCAAGTCTTTGCAAAAAAGGGCAATTAGAGCAGTAAATAATAGTTCATTTAAGGCACATTCAGATCCAATATTTTTAAGATTAGAACTCCTAAATCTTGATGATACATATAAGCTAGGTGTTCTATCTTTTATGCATATATACTTTTATGCAAACCTTCCAGCTTCCTTCCATGATAATGATATGTTTAATTCTTTAGCTGAACCAAATAGAACAAAATCATATAAACTTGAACGGGTTCTCTTTAAACCCCTAGAATGTTTTCCCTCTGCTTTATTTCCAAAAATATGGAATTCGATTGAATTAGAGCTGAAAGAAACTAAATCTGCAAAATCGTTTAAAAGAAAAGTCGCCAAGATATATTTAGATAGTTATGCAAATTATATCTGTAAATAAAAACTGTGTATCATGTGGATAAACTTAGTCTTTACTATCTTCTTCACCCTGTAGTTCATAAACATGATTTTAATAACATATGTTACCCTCTGTTCCAACCCCTACGCTGAGTATCCTCCCTTTCCCTTATACTTATCCTCCTTACCTTTTTCCTGATTTATCATCATTCTTATGTTTAAAATGTACAATGTAGATTGCTTTTATCTGCAATTCTCATTCGTTTATAGTGGGCCAACCAATTAAAACAACCTACTCTGGTTAGGCGGGTCCAAACTACATAGTAAATTATGATTTTTTATTTGTATTATCTCTTGCTTTGTAGTTGAATAAAAATATGAAATGAAATGAAATATGACTTTGCGCCAACATAACTTCTCGTTTTTTAACTCTTATCCGTTGAATATTAAATTTTTTTAAATAGAACTCTAAAGGAATTGTAAGCGTAATTTATTTTGACTCTCCAATCTCCATGAATAGAGAGACATGCCGAATTCACACCACAGCAGTAATCTTTAAACATTTAACTCTCTCAAATAGCCGTTGAATTGATGTAAAATCAGGTGTACGCTGTCGAAAAAATCTAATATATTACGTTTAAAGCAGTTGTCAAAAACACGTTTATTTGATCAATAATGTAAAAGATATCGTCGTTGATCTAGCATAAAAAATTCTCACAACTTCCTCCGTTGTTTCTGCTGTTAGAATACGCAATTCACTTCTATATAGAATCCACAATTGAAAATAACAACGCTTTAAGTGGTTCCGTTGTAAATTGACATACCACTCTATAAATAGAGGGTCAATTGAAATAACGCTTAAAGCTCCTTTAAGATTATAAAAAAAACTTTTTTCTATGCTTAGGTATCATTTGTAAGAGTCAACCAATCAAAGAACCATCAAACAGTTGATTGTGATACATTTTTATTTAACATCTCTGCTCCATCAGAGTTGTTGTTAAATGAAAAACTTAGTTAAAAAGCTTTAAATCGAACTGTTTGCGGGAAAAAGTAACACAAAACAAATGTTCCATTAAAAGATTCGGTTCCTTTTCTGTTCATTTGTGTTCTTATTCTTTTCAGAACTTTCATAAAAATGGAAAGCAAGGATTTCCAAGACTGGGTGGATAAATTAAGGTAAAACTAAATTTCTTTTAAATTAAAATTTTTAATCTAAATTTTACAGTTGTCTTCTGAAGAAAAGTCTTGGAAGCCAAGGGAAAGGGATACTAGTCTCCAGAAGGAAATTCATTTGCAGATTATATCTTAATTTTGCAGATTATATCTTTATTTTGCAGATTATATCTTTATTTTGCAGATTATATCTTTATTTTGACTTTTTGAAATTCATTTGCAGATTGTATCTTTATTTTGACTTTTTAAAATTCATTTGCAGATTATATCTTTATTTTGCAGATCATATCTTTATTTTGCAGATTATAACTTTATTTTGCAGATTATATCTTTATTTTGCAGATTATATCTTTATTTTGCAGATGATATCTTTATTTTGCAGATTATATCTTTATTTTGACTTTTTAAATTCATTTGCAGATTATATCTTTTTATTGACTTTGTTTGAGGACAATTTTCATATTTTGCATTGGTCTAATTCCCCTCTTTTAATATTTCAAAAACTTTTGTGAAACCAACCATTTATAAAGTTGCAATTTCTTAAATAACATTTCTTAATTAAAAAATAATACCTTTAAGGAACAGTGAACGCAATCTAAAGTAACCCTCCATGTAAAAATGACTATGCCCGATTCAAAACGGTAGCCTTAAAAGTGTTTAATTCCTAAATTTTTTTGCTGTAGAAATGGGCAGGTCACTTTTGGAGATAACCCAGAACTGAAAATAATCATTTTTTAAAAATTATAAACATTGTTATATTATTCAAACTTGAACAGACAAAACTTTGAAGTCGGATATTGCCATCTTTGCATTGAGGGTACCTTGAAATTAAGCTTACAGTCCCTTTATAATAATAAAACCACTTAAATAAAATACTAAAATTCTGAAAGATAAGTTTTGCAACCTTTGAGATGTAAATATAGTAAAAATCTGATTCTAATCTATAAAATGAATTGCTCGTCAGATCTCCAAGAGAGATATTTGTTGTTAAATCAGGGGCAGAGGTTCTAAAATTATACAAGAAAGTAGATCCTATCCTCTCAATCCTCATTCAATCCATACTGGTGAGTTTACTCCATATACAATCCATACTGGTGAGTTTACTTCATATACAATCCATACTGGTGAGTTTAATACATATACAATCCATACTGGTGAGTTTACTCCATTTACAATCCATACTGAGCTGAAAACTTTAGAATGAGATATCCTTAATCCCGACCTGTTAATTAATCTGGAGATTAGATTCATGAGGAAAATAAGCAATATTTAATCTGGAGATTAAGAAAAAGAGTGGATTAAGCATTAATCCCGATATCCACCATTCTAAAGTTTCCAGCTCTGGTGAGTTTACTCCATATACAATCCATACTGGTGAGTTTACTACATATACAATCCATACTGTACTCCATATACAATCCATACTGATGTGTTTACTCCATATTCAATCCATACTGGTGAGTTTACTCCATATACAATCCATACTGGTGAGTTTACTACATATACAATCCATACTGGTGAGTTTACTCCATATACAATCCCTACTGATGTGTTTACTCCATATTCAATCCATACTGGTGAGTTTATTACATATACAATCCATACTGGAGAGTTTACTACATATACAATCAATACTGGTGAGTTTACTACATGTACAATCCATACTGGTGAGTTTACTACAAATAAAATCCATACTAGTGAGTTAACTACATATACAATCCATACTGGTGAGTTTACTAATATACAATCAATACTGGTGAGTTTACTCCATATACAATCCATACTGGTGAGTTTGCTACATATACAATCCATACTGATGAGTTTACTACATATACAATCCATACTGGTGAGTTTACTGCATATACAATCCATACTGGTGAGTTTATTTCATTTACAATCCATACTGGTGAGTTTACTCTATATACAATCCATACTGATGTGTTTGCTCCATATACAATCCATACTGATGTGTTTACTCCATATACAATCCATACTGATGAGTTTACTCTGCATACAATCCATACTGATGTGTTTACTCCATATGAAATCCATACTGATGAGTTTACTCTATATACAATCCATACTGATGTGTTTACTCCATATACAACCCATACTGATGTGTTTACTCTATATACAATCCATACTGATGAGTTTACTCTATATACAATCCATACTGATGAGTTTATTACGTATACAATCCATACTGGTGAGTTTACTACATATACAATCAATACTGGTGAGTTTACTACATATACAATCCATACTGGTGAGTTTACTACATATAAATCCATACTGGTGAGTTTACTACATATACAATCCATACTAATGTGTTTACTCTATATACAATCCATACTGATGTGTTTACTCTATATACAATCCATACTAATGTGTTTACTCTATATACAATCCATAATGATGTGTTTACTCTATATACAATCCATACTGGTGAGTTTACTTCATATACAATCCATACTGGTGAGTTTACTCCATATACAATCCATACTGATGAGTTTACTCTATATACAATCCATACTGATGTGTTTACTCCATATACAATCCATACTGATGAGTTTACTCTATATACAATCCATACTGATGTGTTTACTCCATATACAATCCATACTGATGAGTTTACTCTATATACAATCCATACTGATGTGTTTACTCCATATACAGTCAATCCATACTGATGTGTTTATTCTATAAACAATCCATTCTGATTTGTTTACTCCATATACAATCCATACTTATATTTTTACTCCATTTACAATTTCATACTGGTGAGTTTACTACATATGCAATCCATACTGATGTGTTTACTTCATGTACAATCCATACTGATGTGTTTACTCTATATACAATCCATACTGATGTGTTTACTCTATTTACAATCCATAAAGATAAAAATGTAATATTTTTGCAAGTTTAAAATTAGACCAGATATTTTTCTCAGAGGCACTGTGAGAAAACAGGAGACGGTGGAAAACGTATGTTTTTGTTCTCCTCCAATCTACTCCGAACCCTGGCTAATGTATACGGGACCCGGAGAACAGAGATTATCTCTGATATAATCGAGGCTAGACATGTTTTGTATTCTTGTAGAGAAATAATACCCAGATCAGGTGATTTGTGTATTTATGTAAAATGTAAAATTTTGGGTTAATATGTCAGTTTTTTATCTCAATAAACCTTAGGGGAAATTTGTTAAATCGTTACAATACAATATCTTCTAATGAAAGATTTGTAAATATAAAATTATTGAAGTGGAAGAAAATTACTTTGAAAGAAAATGTTTTGAAGTAAAGTCCTCTTGTGCAAAAAATTTAATTTTTTAAAATTAAAGTTTTAAGCCTCCGAGGCATGCCAATGCATGAATCCAGTTGTAAACAGGTTAACAAGAGATTGATTAATTAAAAATAATGGTGGCAAATATTTCGAATAACTATAGAAACAATGAAGGATGAAACAACCGTGACAGCTATAAATTCAAGAAAAAGGACTGTATAAACCTTGTCGTAAAACAAAATTATCAATACTTAAAAAAACAAATTTTCAGACCTCGGGTTGGTTGAACTGAAGGAAGCTGTTAACTCCGTTCTCAAGTCTGGGTTCAGAACTAGATTTCCCAAACAGGTCACGTGATACAGGTTTTATCTTCCAAGAAATAAATAATGATTATAAGAATGAGAGTGTTAATACAAAAGTTTAAATTGTTTTCTAAAGTATTGCAAACCAAATCCAAAGAATCATATTTATTAGGATAAACTATGAATGTACCAAAATTAATTATAAAATTATAAAACTTCAATATTTTATTAATGATCATACAGGGTTACCCATAAAGGATGAGCACGTACAGACAACCTGAATTTCATAAGATATAAACTGAGGTGAAATTAAGCCTTTTGCCTTGAATTTAGTCTTTGTGGGGCATAGGTAACCCTATACGTTTAGCAATTAATCGAAATATTTCATATGTGCATAACTTAGTTTAATTCCAGGAAAAAAGGATAATATTGAATCATCTCTCCCTATCTAGGTTGCAGGTGTCCTGTTAAACCTTGCAGAGGAGTTTATCCGTCTCAACCTGGAGAAATACTCCTACCTGGCAGGATATACGACAGGTTAGGAAATACTCCGACCTAGTAGGATATATGTCAGGTTAGGAAATACTCCGACCTAGCAGGATATAGGACAGGTTAGGAAATACTCCGACCTAGCAGGATATAGGACAGGTTAGGAAATACTCCGACTTAGCAGGATATAGGACAGGTTAGGAAATACTCCGACCTTGCAGGATATTTGATAGGTTAGGAAATAAGAGATTTTTATACAATAGTATTAATTTTTAGTATTATTAATCATAATAACAATAATAATAATTATCAATTATTATTAATTAATAAGAGATTTTTTACAATATTACTGATTATAATGTTTATGACAAATGATACAAAAGTTAAAAAATTCGTTATTTTAAAAAACTTGAATCCAGCTTTGTCTGCAAATTGTCTGCAAATTGCCTGCAAATTGTCTGCAAATTGTCTGCAAATTGTCTGCAAATTGTCTGCAAATTGCCTGCAAATTGCCTGCAAATTGAGTCTTGGGGTTCCTGTGTTATGATCGGAAAACCAGACACCTAAACTGAGATTGCTACTTTATATTTATTAATGCCCATTAGTTCAATTTTTATATTAAGAATTTTAAAATAGCTTTTTATCTCTTTTAGGATTTGAAGAGCTGATTAGAACCTTTCCAGTTCTTGTTCACCAGGTAATATTATAATCTTCCTCATTATAATATAGTAGATCTACGACATATCTCCATCAGATCTAAAATACGTTTTTGTCAGATCTGTGACATATCTCCATCAGATCTAAAAAACGTTTTTGTCAGATCTGTGACATATCTCCATCAGATCTAAGATATGTTTTTGTCAGGTCTGTGACATATATCCATCAGATCTAAAGTTTGTTTTGTCAGGTCTGTGACATATCTCCATCAGATCTAAAGTATGTTTTGTCAGGTCTGTGACATATCTCCATCAGATCTAAAGTATGTTTTATCCGGTCTGTGACATATCTCCATCAGATCTAAAGTATGTTTTGTCAGGTCTGTGACATATCTCCATCAGATCTAAAATACGTTTTTGTCAGATCTGTGACATATCTCCAGCAGATCTAAGATATTTTTTGTCAGGTCTGTGACATATCTCCATCAGATCTAACGTTTGTTTTGTCAGGTCTGTGACATATCTCAATCAGATCTAACGTTTGACTTGTCAGGTTTGTGACATATCTCCATCAGATCTAAAATATGTGTTTGTCAGGTCTGTGACATATTTTTATCAGATATTTTAAACACGGAAATTGTCCAATAAATAAAGAAATTAAAATATAACTCGCATTCTTGATTAAACAAACCTCGTATCACCATAAGATCTTAGATATGTCTTGTCAGGTCTACACTGTCCACCAAATCATATATTTAAAATACCTCCGTCAAATCTTCTAAGATTTCACTTACTTCTAGGAGTACCTGAACCCTGTATCAAGGAGTAAGATCGTACCTGGAGTAGTATTTAACACTTCCCTCCAGGATACAAACCTGGAGAAAGGAGAGTTGGGACTCGTCCTCCTCCGGAGACAGGAGGAGGAACATGTTGTTCTTGAACTGGAGGAGGATGAACTTGACATGGTTGAGCTCCAGGTCTGGATAAGAGCTGGAGAAATATCTGAAAACCTACAGAACTCAAAGATCAAAATTGTTGTATACGAAGCAACTATGTCCCCGATCCTTAAACAAAGGTAAATCGATATAGTTTCATCTTTTTTATTTTTTATAAAAACAGATATAAAAATTAAGTCTATTTTTTCTTCATGTTCAAGACAAAAATAATTGCATCATTTGAACTAAATTCACTTTGTTAAAATTTTAATTTTTCTAAAGTCTTAGAATATTCATTACAAGCTATTTTTCAGTCGTCTAAACAAATTATGATACAAAACAAGGGTATTTGGTATAAACTTTGCAATGTTTCATACACGGTCTATTTTTATTGTAAATACAAAATAAGTTCATATATAAATCAATATTTAAAATTATGTCGTTTTATTTAAAGATGCTTGCAAAACAATTTTGATTTTTTTCCATCAAACTTGATTTCTCTCTTTGATCTCAATGTTTAAGCGTGCAGTAACCAAAAAGTTCACTGATATTGGCCGAGCCAGCTTTTGATATTACTTTTTAACCATTTTTGAACTAAATATAAAATTTATTTTTGTGCCCTTTATCATTTAATAGGGTGTGTCTTAAAAATTTAACTTACTTTAGGTTAAGACAGGGAGGGATCAGGGTTGTGGAGAACATAGGAAAAGAAGAACTAGGAATGCTTGCTCAGATCTTAAATCTCCTTCCTTGTGACGGGTTGGATCTGGACAAACTAGGATCTATCTCCAGGTATATATTTGTAAACTAAAAAATTGTCTCCGCTCTCAATATTAGTTTTTATTTTACAGATTTAGTAGCGAGCCTATACAACTTGGTGACCGTCCTGCACTAAATATCCGGACCCATCATTCATCCTTGATAATCTCAGCTCCAAACAAAGAGCTGAGCAGGCAGTATTCTCAAACCTTTCTGGATTTACTCCGAACCTGTAGTTTGCTCTGGGGATCGTATCCCGGAGTAACTGGAACTCATGGGGAAGGAGAAAAGCAGGTTGCCAAGGAATTATCTAACATTGCACAGGAATATAAAACTCCTATTCTTGATTTAGTTTCAAAAAGTATTCTTTCATTACAACCTCCACTTGTAATCAGAGAACCAAAACCTTCAAATCAGACTCTTTCTACAGATACTTACTCTGAACCCCTCGGTCTGGTTTGGGAGATTGTTGACGGTATCCTGGAGACAATACAACAGGTTTTAAGGATACAAGGAGTATATCCAACCCGGAGAAAGATATCCGACCTGAACCTGAACTCAAGGAGATTGAGACGTGTCAAACTTTCAGATTCTGACAGCGAGGAAGATTAATATCAACATCTATTTATGTACTTTAAAAAGAATGATAAAAATTGCAAGCTTCCAAAGTATCGTAAAAAAACTATAAAAAAAAACAAAAAGCAGAAAAAACAAGACCTAACTTGGTAAATTGAATTGAATTCAAAGAATTGAATTCATTTATTTGGTCGAGGCGATTTTGTAAAAATGCCTTTTAAATTGTCATCAGTATAGGAATTTAGTGTTTGCCACTACCTCTGACTTTCTAATTCTTATATCTTTGCAACCCTACTTTGCAGAAGATAAAATCTCAAATAAATATCCTTAAATCTATTTAATTAAAATGTGTTGTTATCATTATTGAAATTAGGTGGAAAAAATAATCAAATCAGTTAAGAGTTATTTTCCACCTAACTGCTTTATACTTGTACTGTTAAATTAATTATCAAGTTGTAATGTGAATTCGTTCAGTACACAGATACATTTATTTTAACAATAAAATTTATCTATCTATCTATCTATTTAGACCTTTGATATTTTAAACTATGAATTCTGTAAGATCAGATGTTCTAAGTTTGAAATCTCAAAGGTTCACCTTATCCGGTTGCGAAACATAAACTTAAAAATTTTATTTTGGGGCAATGACTAAATTCATTTCTATATCTAATTGCACGTAATATATTTTACAAATTTGATAAAGATTTTAGAGAATGACAATGCTACATTTTTCATTCTTTATTATTAGATAAATATTACAGTAATAAGAACAACAATAACAATAATTCTATTTCTAAAACAAATTGTACTTTAGTAGATAAACTTGAGTTAAATTCTATTTCATTACGTCCATCTTTAAACAAAATAGTTACATCGTCTAAAATATCGTCATCTTCGTTGTACTCCAAGTACTCCCAGGACTGACGGGAGGAGAACCTGTTCTGGTTCCTCTCCAGGAGTATATACTCCTCTGCAGTCATATAATCTGCAGTATCCGTCACATCAACAGGATTCTGAAAAATATAGATTTTATGGAATTTTTTAATAAAACAGATAACAGCTGCTTAATTACATCCACAAAATAAGACTGCAGAGAAGACTGCACAGAATGTATCAAGCCTTTTTTCTTTCATTCATGGTTCCCACAGCTTTAATTTTCTTATGTTTGAACATTTTTGATTTTTGAAAAGAAATTCTTAAAGCTTAAATTATTAAAGGAAATGAGTTTTTGCCACAAACACTGATTTCTGATCCCAATATCTTTGCAACCCAACGTTGTAGACCTGAGATGTTTCAAACTATAAATTGTGTTAGGTCAAATAATCTAAGTTTGAACAAAATTCATGGTTTGTGATCTAACAAAATTCATGGTTTGTGATCTAACAAAATTAATGGTTTGTGATCTAACAAAATTCATGGTTTGTGATCTAACAAAATTAATGGTTTGTGATCTAACAAAATTAATGGTTTGTGATCTAACAAAATTCATGGTTTGTGATCTAACAAAATTTATGGTTTGTGATCTAACAAAATTCATGGTTTGTGATCTAACAAAATTAATGGTTTGTGATCTAACAAAATTCATAGTTTGACAAATCTAAGGTCTATGACATTGGTAAGCAAAGATATACGCAAAGAAAATCTAAATTTATGCAGCTACAACAGTTAAAAAAATGGTTTGCCACAAACTCAAACTTTCTTATTCCCCTATATTTTCGCAACCTGACTGTGTATAGACAAAGAGAATATTCATATTCTCTGTTCTGTGTGTATAGAACTTTGATATTTTATTTGATCTAACAGAATTCATAGTTTGAAATATCAAAGGTGTATGATATTGGGAAGCAAAGATATAGGGGTTAGACAATCAAAATTTACGAAACCGGACAGTGTTCTTAAAATTGGTTTGCCACAAACTCAAACTTTCTCATCCCAATATTTTCGCAATCCGTCGGTGTATACTAGACCTTAAATATTTCAAACTCAATTTTTTTTGATCCAACAGAGTTCATGGTTTGAAATATCAAAATATAATTTATAAATATAAAACATAAAACAGGGTTTGTGACACAGACTCAATTCCGTAACAAAAAAAAAAAGATTTTTTGAGGGACACCTTTCAGGAATAGTAAACAATGCTTGATTAGTTGTCTTTCAGAAAACGTGGAAGGAAATTTGATTGGTAAAATTATTATGTAAAGTCAAGTTTTCTTGAACTAAAAATTCTGATCTGATCTGAAAACTAAGTTGTTTGTTTCCTCCATTAACTTTAACTTAAGAAATAAGTTGAACAGTTTAAACTTCTGTTTGCAAAAAGTCTGGAGAAAACAATTCTTGGAAATCCTTCTCAATCCAAACATTCTCCAAATACTATCTTATAAATCATATAGCAGAGGTATAAAAGGGAGTGTTCGCGAAAAATGAAAGGGGGTATAGGCTTACGGCGAAAAATAAGCGCTTTTTCTTGCTACTACTTACTTCTATCTGTTGCGTCTGTAAGGTGAAAAATGTTAAAAACGACTTATACCGAAGAACGTAGTCTCCATACAAATTCAACTCGGATCGTAAAAAAATCCATTTTAATTCTAAACAAATCATAGAGATATTACAAACAATAGTCATCGATTATTTTTCGACGCCTTAGTATATAGTTGATATATCATAATAATATTTTTAATGATCTAATAGTTACTTTTGAAAACATTTATTCCTGTTTCGAGGATTTTTGATAATGAAGACGACATTTTCATATTTTCCAGGAATGTTCTAAAATCCAGCGCCAACGAAAATTAATTTAAAAAAAAACCAAAAATATTATGAAATACTTACTATATACAAATGCGTCGAAAAATTATCGATGACTATTGTTAGTAATATCTGAATGATTTGTTTGGAATTAAATTGATTATTTCACAATCAGAGTTGAATATTGCAACTTTCTGAATTTGTATGAACGCTACGTTCTTCAGTATGAGTAGTTTTTAACAATGTTCTCCTTATAGACGCAACAGATAGAAGTAATATTAGTTTCAATCAAAACGCTTATTTTTCGTCATAAGCCTATACCCCATTTCATTTTTCGCGAACACTCTCTTTAAACAGTGACCCTTTCAACTAATCAGAGTCAGGAATTTGGCATTTCCAAAATTCTATAATTCAAATCCGGAGATATGAATGATTTCTATCAGAATTAGAAAATTTCAGAGTTTTGTTGAGATTGAAATCAAATTAAAATTCTTAATATTGTTTTTTATAGATTTATATTTGATAAACAGCACTGTATGATGATCAATAAGTTTACCTGAAAATTTATCAATATATCAGGTTGCTTTGGGTTTTCAGTCTGATTCAATGGATGAAACTGATCGGCTTGATCAGTTAGGTTTAATTGATCGGTTTGATCAAATTGATCGATTTGAAAGGTTATCTTCCGATCATGACTGGTCTTGATATTTTTCTGAGCAGGAATATTCTCAGGGTTCAGTGTTTTGTTAAACTCCTGAATAAAAAAGCATTAAAGAATTAGAATAGAACCATAATTTACGAAACACACTTAACGTTTTTTAGTGTTTTCTTTATAACGAATAATTAATCGTTCCAAGTTAAGAATTTTCAGACATAACTCAAAACCCATAAATTATTTATATATATATATATATATATATTTATAGTCAATGAAGAAACGAATAGCACAATTTTTCTTTGGCGCTTCGCGCATCATTTCTTATAGAATTTCTAACCATTTTCTCATTTTCGACTTCAGTCAGTCATTCTTAATTCATCCTCTCTAAAAACCATGTATACATGTTCTTTATCATGAGTATTACAATAAATATATCAATATTAAGGTTACACAAAACCTGACAACCTAAGAAGAATAACAAGAAATATTATGAGGATTACATAAGACTATTAGGACTTATGCATCCTTTAAGATGAAAACAGAGTAAAGCCCCTTAACTGGGAAACAAGGACAGAGGGACTTCGATCAGAAAGACTATTATGGATTATAGAGAGAAGAAATATTTTCAAGTACTCCAGAAACTACTCATTACATGGACTGCACAGGCCTACAATTAAGGGACTATATAGTGGACAAATATGACTAGTGGATGAATTACAAAAAAACTGCTGTAGACTGTAATAGAGGACTTTACATAGTCAATATGACTAAGGGACTAACAGACACCAAGAAATACATGAAAAGACAGTAGAAGAACAGACATTTTTTGGCGCTTCGCGCACATGTTTAATTTACAAATGTCGTTCATTTTTAACCTGTTGGAAGTATATTTTTTTAAACACAAGAACAAACCATGGATATTATTGGGCACGGAGACAACCCTTTAACAATTAAAAAATGCTGCTTTTTTACTTCAAATCCTAAAATTGCAGCGGTTTTTTGATTAAAATTTCGACAGAGAGGCTTTCCTGTACCCCCAACCCCAACCTAAAAAAATGTCGCCCCCATTCACGTCCCAAAAGTGCTAGTTGGCCACTGGTATTTTTATGAAAGATTTTTTAATTTAAAGAAAACAGCTTTGAATGTTTTGACTTATAAATTAATTAAATTGTTAACTGATTGATTTTCTACCTGAACGATCTGTTCTAGGAGTGATTGATCGATTGATCCTGATATTCTGGAAGTTGAATTCACAAACAGAGATCTTCTTCGTAATCTAAACATTTGAGAGACTAATTCAATAGTCCCAGATATGGGAGTAAAAATAAATTTGTAATTTAGAGGTTTCAAAAGTTTAAAACCAATGTCGTCTTCTCTTTGTTTTGATTTTTATCCTATCTTATCTCCGGCATCCTTCCTTCTTTTCCTGTATCATACCTTGTATCTCCTGTATCCTACCTTGTATCCTACCTTGAATCTCCTGTATCCTACCTGGTAACCTTCCTTGTATCTCATGAATCCTACCTGGTATCCCTCCTTTTATCCTTCCGCCTGGTATCTCTTGTATTCTACCTTGTATCTCCTGTATCCTACCTCGAATCTCCTGTATTCTACCTCATATTTCCTGTATCCTACCTTGTATCTCCTGTATCCTACCTAGTATCTCATTAATCCTACCTCGTATCTTCTGTATCCTACCTGGTATCTCCTGTATCCTACATTGTATCTCCTGTATCCTACCTGGTATCTCCTGTATCCTATAACCAGGTATCTCCTGTATTCAACCTGGTATCCCTTTTATCCTACCTGGTATCTCCTGTATCCTACCTGGTATATCCTGTATCCTACCTGGTATCTTCTGTATCCAACCTGGTATCCCTTTTATCCTACCTGGTATCCCATTTATCCTACCTTATATCTCCTGTATACTACCTATAATCTCCTGTATCCTACCTGGTATCTCCTGAATCCTACCTTGTATCTCCTGTATCCTACCTTGTACCTACTGTATCCTACCTTGTATCTCCTGTATCCTACCTTGTACCTACTGTATCCTACCTTGTATCTCCTGTATCCTACCTTGTACCCACTGTATCCTACCTTGTTTCTCCTGTATCCTACCTTGTATCCCCTGTATCCTACCTGGTATCTCTTGTATTTTACCTGGTATCTCTTGTATCCTATCCAGTATCTCCTGTATCCTACCTTGTATCTCTTGTTTTCTACCTGGTATCTCCTGTATCCTACCTTGTATCTCTTGTTTTCTACCTGGTATCTCCTGTATCCTACCTTCTATCTTCTGTATTCTAATTTGCATCTTCTGTATCCTACCTTGTATTTCCGTAATCCTACCTTGTATTTCCTGTATCCTACCTTGTATATCCTGTATCCTACCTTGTATTTCCTGTATCCTACCTTGTATCTCCTGTATCCTACCTTGTATTTCCTGTATCCTACCTTGTATATCCTGTATCCTATCTTGTATTTCCTGTATCCTACCTTGTATCTCCTGTATCCTACCTTGTATATCCTGTATCCTACCTTGTATATCCTGTATCCTACCTTGTATCTCCTGTATCCTACCTTGTATTTCCTGTATCAATCCTACCTTGTATCTCCTGTATCCTACCTTGTATCTCCTGTATCCTACCTTGTATCTCCTGTATCCTACCTTGTATATCCTGTATCCTACCTTGTATATCCTGTATCCTACCTTGTATCTCTTGTATCCTACCTTGTATCTCCTGTATCCTGCCTTGTATCTCCTGTATCCTACCTTGTATATCCTGTCTCCTACCTTGTATCTTCTGTATCCTACCTTGTATCTCTTGTATCCTGCCTTGTATCTCCTGTATCCTACCTTGTATCTCCTGTATCCTACCTGGTATCTCCTGTATCCTGGTGAAAATATAACGGAGTACCATCGTCTCCAAATTCTAGACACCGACCCTAGGTATTGGTTGAACTCAGATAAAGATGAAAGCTTTAAATATAAAGATTGTATTAAAGGGAACTATGGACGTAGTTTCAGATGACTCCTTATTTAAGGAGAGATATACTTGATTCACGTTTAACATAATCCAGTCAACATTACCCTTAGCAAAAACAAAATACATATCCTTTCTTAAATAAATAAAAATATGGATAATTTCCAGTTTCGCGTTCTTTAATCAATTGATTTGCGGATTTATATGGCAGAGGGAAAGAAGGAAATTGTCAGAATTTAACACTTCTTCAGATAGAAAGAATAAAAACTAAGTGAAGGAATCAAAAAGATAAATAGTTCATGTTCAATGATGAAACTGAAAACAAGAACAAAATAATCAAGACCAAAGAGAAATTATACTGCTGTAAAACAAGAACAAAGAGAAATTACACTGCTGTAAAACAAGACCAAAGTGAAATCATATTGCTGTATAACAAGAACAAAGAGAAATTATATTGAATTAAAACAAGACCGAAGAGAAATTATACTGCTTTAAAACAAGACCAAAGAGATATTATATTGCTGTAAAACAAGACCGAAGAAAAATTATACTGCTGTAAAACAAGAACAACGAGAGATTAAACTGATGTAAAACAAGAATAAAGTGAAATTATACTGCTGTAAAACAAGAACAAAGAGATATTAAACTGCTTTAAAAAAGTGATCATGAATGGAGATCATGGGTATGTTTTCTCAAATATAAGATTCAAACAATTTAACTTAATGTTTATAATAATATAAAATGTTTGAATAATTTTAAAAAGACAAACCATTAGAAAGACAATGTTTTATTGATTTTCTACCAAATCAGAATAATTGGAAAGCATATGAGTCGATAACAAACAATACTTAACATTATGAAATGATTTATTTCAGGGAGTGAAATTCATAGAAATGGTTTCATAATATGAAAATATTTAGTTAGAAAGCGCTAAATTATGATTTAAACAGAAAAAGTTCGACTGAAGACTAAGTTCACTTTCCTTAACACAGAAGGAGCTACGAGATTCTCCACTTCGGCAATCTGTCCCATCAGGATACCATCCTTTCTCTCCAGATACCATATAGAACCTGAACATGAAGAATATATAATCTGTCCCATCAGGATACCATCCTTTCTCTCCAGATACCATATAGAACCTGAACATGAAGAATATATAATCTGTTCCATCAGGATACAATCCTTTCTCTCCAGATACCATATAGAACCTTAACATGAAGAATATATAATTCGTCCCATCAGGATACCATCCTTTCTCTCCAGATACCATATAGAACCTGAACATGAAGAATATATAATCTGTCCCATCAGGATACCATCCTTTCTCTCCAGATACCATATAGAACCTGAACATGAAGAATATATAATCTGTTCCATCAGGATACAATCCTTTCTCTCCAGATACCATATAGAACATGAAAATGAAGAATATATAATCCGTCCCATCAGGATACCATTTTTTTCGTACCATTGACGTTTGCAAGCTTGGTCATCCCACTCAGGCATTTCTGCTTGACCATAGTTCTCTAATTTGGCTTGTTGAAACATTTTTTCTGCATAGTCTTAGATGGAATTTTTGCGGAGCCAATTTTTTTCCCCTGTCTACTTGTAAGGCAGAGTTAACTGTTTCATCACCCAGTATTCTTATTCTAGTGTATGCTTGCGTCATAGTTGTTTTGTACAGGGTTGATATTGAAGTGATGTCTAGGGCAGGTTTCAAGTGTAGAGCAGTATAGGGTGGTAATCCAATCCATTTTTTCACAAATTTATCTGTGAATGTATCTATTTTCTTCAGATGACTTTGTGATATTGTATGAACAGTGAGCAGAAATCGAATAGAAGGAATGAAATAATGTTTGTAGATCCAGACGTTATATTCATCCCGAATAAGAAATGTATTTATATTTATGAGTTTTGTTTCAAATTCCCTCTTGATGTAATCAAATGCATCACTAAGTTTACCCGTAGGAAATAGAAGTTTGCCAAGGAATTTCTGCTCTTTTTGAAATATATTTGGAATTTCAGTTTCACCAATAGTAAAGTTTATTCTGCTAGGTACACCTGATCTGGTGGAAAATATCTACATTTTGCTGGTTTTAATCTCATTCCCATACTTTCAATCTTGGATTTTATTTCATTTTGAATATTTTGATGTTTTCTTAGATCTGTTGTTATCAGGCAAAAATCGTAAGCATAGGGCAAAGTAATAATTTCTCCATTCAGATTAAATTCATAATCATTCGTCCCATTAGGATACAATCCCTTCTCTCCAAATACCATATAGAACCTTAACATATAGATACATAATCCGTCCCATCAGGATACCATCCTTTTTCTCCAGATACCACATAGAACCTTAACATATAGGATATATAATCCGTTCCATCAGGACACCAGCTCTCTTCTCTAGGTACTACACATATAGAAACCGAACGTGAAGTGTATATAATCCGTTCCATCAGGACACCAGGCGTCCTCTCTAGGTACAAAATAGAACTATAACATATAGTATAGAATCCAATCCCAACCTTTCTCTATTGATAGTTTTACCTGTAGGATATACTACTGTCCTGACAAGCTATCCTGCAACCTCGATCCGGATCCTCATCAGTTGAACTCAACTGCATCCCAATACCAGACAATTTTATCAACTGGAAGAAGGTAATATATTAGAAGAGAATTCATTATCATCTAGAATAGGATAATTTATTGAGAATTACCAACTTTTAGGAGTTAAGGATTCCCAAAAGGGGTCAAAATAAAGGAACTGAACACTTGTTGCTAACTCTAATTGTTTACTCCTTATATCGTGTCACGTTTCAGTTCTTTTAGTTACTTTTATGACCTATAAACTCTGACAAGTCCCTTAAGAAAAGGTATACCTGAAACCTTGCACAGAGCTGAGAAGCAAACTGGAATGGAGTTTGTAGTTTACTACAGTCAGAGCTTATGTCCTCACAGATGCTAAGAAAAGGAGATGAGAATTATTGCTTACTCAAGGTTGTCTGAATGAACCTATTCAGGGTTTGATAAAGTCATTGAAAAATATCAATCCAACAAAAATTTAAAGAAAGAAACTATTCTTTAAAGGTTTACTATTTTTGAAGTAGAAATTTCTAATAAATATCATTTAAATATTTCTGGTTGTTTAATTGTACACCTTATTGTAGAGCTGAGACCAGTACAGGGAGGATATTCACATCTTCTACTCATCATTTGCAACCCTCTTTATTATTATTATTATTATTATTATTGTTATTATTGTTATTATTGTTATTATTGTTATTATTAATATTATCAGCATCATAACCTGGCCGGGACAAGACATGAAAAAACACATTTAGAATCCGGTCTCCAAGCACTCCAAGTACTCCAGCTAACAGGGGTACTCCCTCCATTGAAGTTGGTTAATCTTGTAAGTCGAGTGGATTCAATATCTAAAAATTAACTGTGGTTGTCTCGTCTTATTCATATAGTTGGCTCCAAGCTTATCTTGTGATTTATATTTCCAAGTTTTAAACTTGGAGTAGAATACGTGCTGTGGGGATTGTTTCTACTTTTTCGGATAAACTTAACCCTATCCCGATTGAACTATTTTTGTCTAATAAAACACTTGTTTGCCGATTCCATTAGCGCCTGATCCAATCAGGGTTCCGTCATGTGTTTGATGTCTATTCTAACCAATAGAAATTGTATGGCGGTAACATCTATTTTTCTATCTATCTCATTATCCAATTAGAGATATGAATCCTTTAATCGGCGCTATCAGTAAATGGAAATATTTACTTATACTGAAACTATATAGTACCAAATGTTTCCCTTAGAATTGAGATAGGGTAGTGGGATAGATGTCCCTTGTTCAACTTTTCAAGACCTGGTCATTACAAATAATTAGACCTCTAACTTTAATGGTTCGGGTGCGAGGATGAAAATTTACCAATTTCAAAATGTAAAAGAACTGAAAACTCGCACCAAACTTCTCTTTGTAACCTGATTGTGTATAACGTAACACCTTTAATATGTATACGCATTTATTTTAGCAGTTTTCATATCAAAAGTCTTCGAAATTAGGTTTCAAAGATATAGAGCTTAGGACATTAGAATTTGCTTCGAGTGTTCAGTTGATTTAAATATTTGTTCAATGAAGCTGCCTATTGATGAATATATAACCTGTGTTTAGATAGTTCAGGTTGGGTTTCTCGCTCTGTTTTTATAATTTTGTATTCAAATGGGAGAATTAGATTTTTTTACATGGATTATTTCTTAATAGGGCAAATATGTCGAATACAATCGAATTTTTTAATAGATTAAAAGCGCTGATGATGAGAGAGACAGCTGGGGTTTAAGATTCGAATAGTTATGGGGGGCGGGGTAACAGTTCGGTTTTGAAGAAGGGGGGGGGGGGGCAGCCTTTGAGGACTAATTAGGTAAATGGGAAATGTTGCTGTTTAATGTAAATCTAAAAATTATTCCTTCAATGTACAGAAGGACGGGTCCAGAATGTGAATCTGCTCTGGTTTGTTGGTAGAGTAGAGCGGAGCATGGTTTGGATAAGCTGGACTAGGTTGGGACGGATCAAGACAGGAAAACTTCTCACAAACTCCATGGATACAGAAACTGTTTTCAACCCTTCAACAAATAAATTACAAGATCAGATCCGGTCCTGAACAAAACCTTCAGAAATTAATTTTATTTGGATCTTTCTTAATGGTTCCGTTAGATAATAAAACAAAATCGTTTTAATTGTTAATGCAATCTATCAAAACTGGTGTACAAAATAATATCGTTATCGACAAAGTATAAAAGAATATAACGTTTTTTAAAACTCACTGTGTGAAATCTTGATAAAATACCTACCCTTTAATATAACAACGAGTTCCATCGGGGAAAAACCAGTTCTTCGAGATCAGTCGCTTTTCTAAGATAAAACAGAGTTTCAACCTTTTGACAACAATTACTGATTCCCATAAAAGATTCCCTTAAAAGATTCCCATAAAAGATTCCCATAAAAGATTCCCACAAAAGATTCCCTTAAAAGATTCCCTTAAAAGATTCCCTTAAAAGATTCCCTTAAAAGATTCCCTTAAAAGATTCCCTTAAAAGATTCCCTTAAAAGATTCCCTTAACAGATTCCCATAAAAGATTCCCTTAAAAGATTCCCTTAAAAGAGGGCGTTTAGTTTTGATTGGACACACAAACAAATAGCCAAACAGAGAATGTTATGCTGTTTATATATAGAAGATATCGTCGGTTTTCTATCTTGAAAAGATTTACAACTTATCAGTTATTTTCCCTTGTTTCAAAGAGTGTTGTTGTGAGTCGGGTATTTATCTCTTTAGAATACCTATAGTAAAACAGATATCCTGCATTTTTGTATTTTTCAGGATTTGAAAACATTTATTCCTGTTTCGAGGATTTTTGATAATGAAGACGACATTTTTATATTTTCCAGGAATGTTCGAAAATCCAGCGCCAGCGAAAATTATTTTAAAAAAACCAAAATCAAAAATATTATGAAATTTTAACTATATACGAATGCGTCGAAAAATAATCGATGACTATTGTGTGTATTATCTCAATGACTTGTTTGGAATTAAATTGAGTTGTTTACGATCCGAGTTGAATGTTGCATCCTTCCGAATTTGTATGGACGCTGCGTTCTTCGGTGTGAGTCGTTCTTAACAATTTTCTCCTTATAGACGCAACAGATAGAAGATTAGTAGCGATCAAAAGCGCTTTTTTATCGCATTAAGCCTATACCCACTTTCATTTTTCGCGAACACTTCCTTTAAAATCAAACCAATAGTCTCTTTAAGTAGAATACCTATAGTAAAACAAGATATCCTGCAGGCTAGATCAGGATCTGGATTATCTAGAGCGTTCATGTCTCCAAATGGAAGAATATCTGCATCTGAATGACTGGCTGTAGTACAGAGCTCTCTGGAATAATCTAAAACGCTTGCACGTGGAACACTCATACATTCCTAATCAACATAAAGAAGTTTTTCATCTGGATCCAATTTATCAGCAGAAATATTGATATTTAATTCTCAATCTCTGGGAATACCTTGACACTGCTACAAGTAGAGTACATGTAGGCAGACCCGGGGCAAAACAGCTGACTGGATTGAGGGAAGGATGTAGAGCAGGTTCTAGAGGATATTATTATCCCGGAGCTTCCATCTACCAGGCTCCTTGGTCCTGATCCATCGTCCTGCTCTAGCTTGTACCCTGAGCTAGGATACAGACAAGGAGAACTACACTCCGTTCTGAATAATTAATTGATTAATGTACATTCTAAACATTGTTAAAGCATTTTTGAGTGTACAATTTTCATTAAAAAAATCGTTAACTAAAGAGGGCAACATTCTAGTTATCCAGGAAAGTACTAGGTTTACTATAAAAGGGGTTCCATTAAGATCAATTTCACGAATTTTCACATTGATTTTTCCACAAATTAGTTTAGGTGATATTTAAGTTGTTTGTACTTTCCGGACGCCTAAGCTTAGGCTGAGGTTAATGAATCATATAATTGGTACTTTACACGTAGGCATGCACCAGCCCGTACGCTGGTTCTAGGAAACGATGGTGGGTCGAGAGGTGCGACAAACACATTTTGGAAGTTGTCTCTTTAAGAAATGCCCTTAAGAAGTTCACAATTGTTGATGTATCTTTCAACCTAGCAAATATTGTTATTGCAATATTGCAACAATACTGAACGTACCATCATTAATTAAGAAGAAAAATGGCGGAATAATCCTAAATTTACCTTGTCCAGTCAGACCATTCTCCCTGGATAGAAGACGATATTGCAGGATCAGTTAAAATATTTCTAGAAAAATCCACAATTTTTACAAAAGTTTAGAAAGGTTACAAAGAGATTTGTAGAAAAAACTCCTTGGAAACTTAGTTCCATAAACGATTCCAAATATCAATCCGTTTAACTGCACAATCCATTCAACTTCGTGGTTTCTGAAAACTCAATCCCTTTAACTCCACGGTTTCGGAAAACTCAATCCCTTTAACTCCACGGTTTCTGAAAACTCAATCCCTTTAACTCCAAAGTTTCTGAAAACTCAACCCTTTTAACTTCACGGTTTCTAAAAACTCAATCACGTTAACTCCACTGTTTCTTAAAACTGAATCCCTTTAACTCCACAGTTTCTGAAAATTCAACCCCTTTAACTCAACGGTTTCGGAAAACTCAACCTCTTCAACTCCACAGTTTCTGAAAATTCAATCCCTTTAAATCCACAGTTTCTGAAAACTCAACCCCTTTAACTTAACAGTTTCTGAAAACTCAATCCCTTTAACTCCACGGTTTCTGAAAATTCAATCCATTTAACTCCACGGTTTCTAAAAATGAAATCCCTTCAACTCCACAGTTTCTGAAAGCTTAATCCCTTTAACTCCACAGTTTCTGAAAACTCAATCCCTTTAACTCCACAGTTTCTGAAAACGCAATCCCTTTAACTCCATAGTTTCTGAAAACTCAATCCCTTTAACTCCACAGTTTCTGAATACTCAATCCCTTCAACTCCACAGTTTCTGAGAAACTCAAACCCTTAAGCTCCAAAGTTTCTGAAAACGCAATCCCTTTAACTTTACAGTTTCTGAAAACTCAATCCCTTTAACTCCACGGTTTCGAAAAACACAATACCTTTAACTCCAAAGTTTCTGGAAACTCAATCCCTTTAACTCTACACTTTCTGAAAACTCAATCCCTTTAAATCCAAACTTTATGAAAACGCAATCCTCTTAACTCCAAGGGTTCTGAAAACTCAATCCCTTTAACTCCACGGGTCTTAAAACGTAATCCCTTTAACTCCATGGTTTCTGAAAACACAATCCTTTAAACTGCAAAGTTTCTGGAAACTCAATTCCTTTAACTCCACGGGTTCTGAAAACTCAATCCCTTTAACTCCACGGGTCTTAAAACGTAATCCCTTTAACTCCACGGCTTCTAAAAATGAAACCCCTTCAACTCCACAGTTTCTGAAAGCTTAATCCCTTTAAATCCACATTTTCTGAAAGCTTAATCCCTTTAACTCCACGGTTTCTGAAAACTCAATCCCTTTAACTCCACAGTTTCTGAAAACGCAATCCCTTTAACTCCACAGTTTCTGAAAACGCAATCACTTTAACTTTACAGTTTCTGAAAACTCAATCTCTTTAACTCCACGGTTTCGAAAAACACAATAACAATTTGACTCCAAAGTTTCTGAAAACGCAATCCCTTTAAATCTAAAACTCAGCTTAAATATTTTACAGATCATTTCAATGTGAGCAATGAAGGTTAAATTAATAATTCAGTTTCAAGTAGATTTTATTTCTTACTAATTATTGAAATAAGGAAAAACAGTATTATTATTTTGATCTTACATGTTCCAAAAAAAACGAATATAAGAAATAAAATTCAAGAGAGGACCTTAAAACCATACTTTCTAAATTCAGTATTATCTGAAATAAGTTGTATGTCAGACCTTTAATGAGACTTTTTTGATTATTACTTATCAGTTACACAAACATTAAACCTAGTTTTGTGTATTAAGACTTTTACAAAATTAAGGTTAGTCAAATATCATCATATGTTTGTTTTGATATTCATTAGAACAATAACAGCTTCTAACCATTTAAAAAACATCTTAATTAAAACAACTTGAAAGTTTAAAAAAAAAACTATTTAATATGTTGAAATGTCAAGAAGTAAAATGTCCAGGATTACCTGGAGACACAGACTCCTCTTTTACACCAGCTCCCTGAACCACAACTAGTGCCCTGAACATTTATTCATTTATTCATCCTTCCTTGTTTCATTCATTTATTCATCCTTCCTTGTTTCATTCATTTATTCACCCTTCCTTGTTTCATTCATGACTTCAAAAATCTTTGGACGCTTAAAAATATGACCTCCTAATCTGAAGATGATCTCTAGGTTCTACCCAGAAGGCTGAATATGATCTTTAGGTTCTATTACTAATCCAGAAGGCTGAATATGATCTACATTTTTTCCAAATCTGAATAAGACCTTGAGGGTCTATACTAACCTCATAGGTTGAAGATAACCTCAATGGACTTATACTGACCTCCAAGGCTAAATATGAACTATGTATGCCCTATACTGACCTCTAAGGCTGGATGGGAAGTCCAGGTAAAATGTTCTCTTCTACAATGTAGATCTCTGCACACCTCTCTGCTTTAGATTCAAATCATGTTAAATTCTTTTCTTCAGTGATAACTAGAAAACTATAAAAAAAAGGAAGACGACCTTATATCAATACTTGTAGTGTATTTACAGAGCAAATAGACAATACTGCACAATTATTAAATCACTTATTAGGTAAAATGGGTCCGTTAACACTGCAAAGTTGCTGTTTCCCATGCTCATTGGACTATTTTAAGTCATAATTTAGTCTAAAAGTTGTCTTCCTATTCCGGACTTTTCTGATTATTACTGTATTTACAGGAATATTTAAATGGATATTTACAGAGGTATTTTAAAAAGTATTTGACATTTTTCCATTTTTCTTTCCTGTTTTGTTGGTGTGCATGTGTGCTTTTAGGTCCATATCTCAGCTTACACTGCAAGTCTGCAGGAAACCTAGAATAAACGAGAATGAATGTCGTCATCGCTAGATTTTGGTTAAACAATTACCTCTCTCCGGGTAGTTTTTCAGGAGAAAATGAGTGCTCTAGCTGGACTTTTCCTTCGTCTTTCAAACAGAAAGCCTAAGAACAAATAAAAGTTAAAAAGAATAAAATAGCGAAAATTTAACACGGTCATCGATTAACAAAGAAATTTTTCGTGACTCAAATTGTTCCATTTTCAATTATTTATATTCAAAATTGTCTAAATAATATTGTCATATCTCTGCTAAAACTTTCTGAAAAGTCGGGCCACAGTTAGGAAAGCTCACGTATAACATATTTTTGAAAAACTCGACTCAAATAAGAATTCATTGAAATCAAAGACGACAAACAGATTATCTATATTCCCATGTTTATTGAGACCCCCTGTATAAGTTATAATGTACCTGTGAAGAGGAAAGAAAATCCCTGAGGTTTTTCAACATTAGTTTAGAGTTTCGATTTTAGATAAATGAGAAAAGGTTAAAAACAACAACACTTATTTCACCTTAAGTTTAATCCTCCAGGGCCGGGCCGGGAGAGGGGGGGGGGTGGAGGGGGTAGTGGACAGTGACGCGGTGTCCCGCCATATATTTTTCAATTTTCGTGACCTTTGTTTATTGAATGCTTCTTTAATCAAGTATCAAAATAATATTCTTTTAATTAGATTTCTCTCTACTAAATTCAATAAAATATATCAGTAATGTCGTCTTCCTCAGATATTTTCTTGAACACGAAGACCAGCGAATTTTTCCACTTCCCAGGGTTGGAGACATTATATAATCTCCTAAAATGATTTTACTTATTTTATTGAATAATAATAAAAACAAAAAAGTTATAATAATATTAAGAATAATGATGATAATATAATAATAATAATAATAACAATTATGCATAATAATAAAAGATTATTTTCTGTATTTTTACCTGGACTGCAGTCATTGTTTGACTCTGGACCATCATGGTTCATCCCTAAACTAATATTAAAAATGTTATTCTTCAGCTTTCTTACAGCAAGTTCAAGGGTAATTTTAATTACGTAGATATGAAAACTGACCTAAATGCATAACTAGCACAACTACCACAACTAAAGACATTACTATTGTATATTTTATTCTATGATAAAAACATTGCCTAAAATAAATTGTATGTGAACCCCGCTAGATGGTATACGCGGGACTGAAGTATATTAAAAAATATACAAAATGTAAGAATGATAATCATAATTTTTTTGCACATTATCATTGTACAATTGTGCAATGATAAAATTAAATATTTTTATTTTTTCTTCTTACTTGTGCCCAATCTCATGCGCCATGACATAAACTGATTCAAAATGGCGACCTTCGTTAACTGTACACGAGGTCGCAGCATTGCACATTCCTGATACAGGTGCTAAACCCACAACCTAGGTTAAAAGAAAATATTCTTACATCATGTTTTATGTTTACAATATAATGATTTTTTGGCCTATGAAGCCCGCTGCATATTTTTTTACTCATCCAATAGTCATATGAAATCAATTGTAGTACTTTATTCGCCCCCCCCACTGAAAACTCCTGTATGCTTCTCCCCTCCTTCTCCTCATCCCCTACCTGATTAGCTAGTTTCCCTGATCTATCCACAACATGAACATCAAGACCTGACAAAGAAAAGTTTAATGAGATATTAACAAAAAATCACGTGACGACTAGTTCAGGAAATTGTCTTGTCATCATACTCCGGGAACGGTTACCCAGCTTTAAAGGGAGAGACCGGCTAGACATGGTATAGTTGAGCAGTATTGTGGAGAAAAACTTTAGGATTCATTTGATACCAATGAGACATATTTACGGTCTGAAGATTTATTAAATATATATTTTTTAAGTCGTTTGTAATATTTCACCAGTTGTTTCAGTCATCAGAAGAAAGTTTTTTTACAATTCTTAAATAACATGAACAAAACATTTAACAAATACCATTCTACAAACTAGTTGTATGTATAGTGTATACAAATAGGGTGAGAAAAATAGTAAAGATTGAAAATAAGTTATTAAAATTCTTTTTAAAAATTAGAGTCTCGTAGATTTATGCAAATTCTTTCTGCTAGGGTCGCTCGTTGGTGTTCTTTATTTTATTGTGAAGACGACGTTTTGAAGATATCGACGAAAAAAAATTATAGAAACAGCAAAGGAAATTATGATAATTAAATAAACGATCTACGGTTCTACTATGGCTTTCATCGATAGTTTCTTCTGAGAAATTTGTTCCTAACAGCAAATTTGTCTAAACAAATTTTAAACATGTTTTGTCTGGGTTATTAAATAATTGTAAAAAAACGTTTCTTCTGCTGATTGAAACAACTGGTGAAATATTAGAAACGGCTTTACGCTATTATTTAGAAGTTGTACACCGTAAAAATGTCTGATTGGTATCAAATGGATCCTAAAGTTTTTCTCTACAATACTGCACTTTCAGCTCAACTACCATGTCTAGCCGGTCTCTCCCTTTAAGAAATATTTACTATGGGACTGTTACCTAATTAAAATAATGGTTACCCCTCTGAAAACATTGATGTAAGAAAAAAAAACTCAAAATATTTTGACCCAAAATGCAAGGTTTCATTCTTTCACAAAAAAAAAAAAATATTTTTGGGGATTCTCATTTTTGTTTCATGGATTTTCAAAATTTTAGACGAAAATCAAAAATTTTTGGAGAAATTTTTTTGTAATTCTGAGCATTCATAAACCTTATAGGGGTCATGTGAGGTCCCACACAAAATGTGGGTCCGGTCGGTTCAGCCTTTTGGACGTTTATTGGGTACAAACCGACAAACAAAGAGACATACAGAGTACAGACAAGGAAAGTATATATAAAGATTAATATCCGAACCTGTGAGAACAAGAGCATGATCCCAGTTAAGCTCTGAACTAGGAGGAGGGTTTTCATGCATCTGCCACTAAACAGGAGTCTTCAAATTTAACTCAAAGCAACCAAAAAAAAAATATTTGTATTCGTATCATACACCCCTCTACCCCTCTGTAAAATGGAAAATTTTAATTTAAATTTTGAATATTGCAAATAAACACATGCGACTCTAATTTTCTAATCTTTGGATGTTTCCAATTTTGATATTTGAAACTACAAATTCTGTTAAATTCTGAAATATCAAAGTTGTACAACAGGTACCATCAGGTTTCAAATATATAGGGAATAAACATTTAAAGATAAATTTTGATAAATCATTAAAAACTTTGAACACCAAAACTGTTCAATATTTATGATAAAGGTTAATTTCAACTTAGCACAAAATACTCTTGCAAATACTATTTTTAGAATTTATTTGAAAACATTCCTGAGCGAAATACTAGGACTTGAAATGCGAAAAAAAAACTTACTTGGCAAAAACTGTGCAAATATCGATCTATGTCATAAGATCTGACAAGGCCCGGAGGATCAGCCTGAAAAATAGAAATCGGGTTTATTAAATTAAATTAAATTTTAAAAAAACTAATTCTGAAAACGTATCCACCCCCAAAGTAGGAGTTTGCGCTCAAACTCAGGATTTACAGATAAGTTTAATATGTCTCAAATGAATCCAAAAGAAGTTTTCCACAGCACTGCATACTCAGTTCCATACCTTGCATTAACTCTTATCTACAGACCAGATTTTACCATGTTTAAATACTGCATTTGATTGTAAAATTAATAAATGTCATTCATGCCCTTATCAGAGTGAAAAAGGAAGATAAAGATTACATTCAATTACAGTTTTTTTGTTCTGTTGAAACTACACAGTTTTACATTGTCAGGAAACTGTATATATAAATATATAGAATGTCTCAGAAAATGTAAGAAAAGTTTATTCAGAGAAAGTTTTAAGCTCATGTTGCCACACCAATTAAAATACGAGGAAAAAATTTTTTTTTTCTGCAGCCGGGACAATAAAGGGGTGCCAATTTTCATACCCACTTTATTGTTCCCGGACAATAAAGTCAGGAACTGTAATGAAAAAAATGTTGTTACTAGGAATATAAAACCCCTCTTGAAGTAATTCAGGGGATATTAGTTTCAAAAATAACACTTGGCCCATTTCTAACACTGAGTGTTAGAAATGGGCACAAATTATAAGAGAGTAAAAGTCGATAATTGAAATTATAACCAAAATTTATTAAGCATGACGAGGACAAAAATTCCCAATTTAAAACCATTTTCTGGAATCTAAATTATAAAAGAAGTTCTTTTTATATTAAAACCCTTGACCGTTTTCAAGACAATGTCAGGTTTTCATTTTCCAACATATCCTGAATTTAAAACATTGTCGCGTTTTCGAGACAAAACCCACTTTCCCGTTTTTTAGTATAATCCTCAATTCAGATCAAAACTCACGTTTATAACTTACAAAATAAACTACTGAAAGTAAAAATTATCTTATGAAGACTAAATTAACTGCTAAATTATTTCTAAAATCTTTATTTCTCTATTTTATTTGTTGAATTAGAGAATAAAGTTGATTTAATTTCCCGAATTATTCTAAAAAACAATTTCCCTGATTTCTAGCTAAATCTATAAAGAACAAAATAATATTAAAATTTTGATTTCTCGATGCTGTAATGATTTTTAAATTATAAAATAAGTGTATTTTTTTGTTTTCTATTTTGCTTATATTTTACTGTGTCAAAAAATCATGTTTTGTTACGTAAGTGCGTACTGCGTAGATGCTTAAAAATTGACATTGATATGATATTCCGGTAATTGTCTTAAAACCAGGATATGTTCCGAAAACGGGACATGAACTGAAATGTGGTAATTATTTTAAAATATGTTCGAAAATGAAAACCAATATCGTCAAAAACTAATTCTCATACCTTATTATTAGTTTAAAGTAGGCATATAATGTTTTAATAGTTAGTTTTAGCCATTTTCAATGAATGTATGGTGTATTTTTGTTCGACTCGGCTTGGATTTAAATATATATATATACGCTAAAAAAAGATAACTTTGTAGATTTGGTGCATTTCTAACACTCAGTGTTAGAAATGGACCAAGTGTTTGTTTTGGAACTAATATCCCCTGTAATTTGCAAGTTTTCTTGAATTGAATCCTACTCCAGGGAGAAGTTTTCTTAACGATCTGAACAAATTAAACTTTGCAGATATTTTGCAACCTCAGCAGAACACTCAGTATAATTTGCCAGAGTATCACGTTTCTCAATCAAATACTAAGCTTAAGTCCACTATTTTGTACTTAAATATGCAAAAACTGCACTTAACTTAAAACTTGAATCTCAAACTCTGTATTAACTCGGCTCTTTACGTATCTAACCGTCTTTTCAGACATGAAATTAGTAGGAATCAAGATTTATTTAAAATCTTGACAACTATTTAATTCAAGTATGCATGCAGGGTTATTCACAAAGGTGCATGCATATTGTATAGGCCTAAAACTCCTTTAATATGACGAACTATGGTTTTTGCAATAAACAATGTTTTAATGTATCACGGAATATTTTTTTAAAGAAATAAACAAATTTACAGCAGCAGGGATTTATTATGTGTGTACACAATTATTGTGTAATGTACTGTCACCCAGAGCCCGAAATTTAAAAGAGTATCGTTGAACGAAACTCCCGAGTTTCCTTTTTGGGATCCTAACATTTGTGTAGATTTTGATTTAAGAGATTCGAAAAAATAAAGATTATAAACAAACTGAAAAAAATATTTCATTACAAAAATATTGATATTCACAAAACTGCCTAACCGCATTCGTGAAACCTGGGTTTTAAAACTGGTTTTCATAACGATACCCTGTCTTAAGTTTTGGGCTCAGAGTCCGAAATTTAAAAGAGATACAGCCGTTATCTTCAATTTTAATTTAATTCAATAATCTTTAAACTTTTCAAGAGTTGTCTTTCTATATATTTACGTGAAAAAAAGCAGAAAATAATTTAAAAGAAAAAAGTAAAAAATTTTGTTTAGAGGGTCAAACTATGATCGAAAGTCACAGTTTGAGGGGCAAAAGGGCCAAGCAAGGTTATAATGAAAGGAAAGTTAATTGCAGTTGCGTATACTCTGCGTACATATTGAAACCAGTTCTCTCTGGGCGGATTTTGTAAACAAAATAGATTCATCAGTGTTCGTTTAGTATCCGAGGAGGTAAAAACATTAAATTTTGATATTTTTGATAATTGACATAATAGTTTCCTATGACCAGAATATTTCATTGATTTTTTATGTGAAAGATGGATCCCATGTCAGGCTTCGACATCCGTCTTACGTGTTAACATTACCGCCATTTTTAGTCAGTACACTGCAGTACAAAAGATGCGTACTTGATGAAATAACTTTCCTTGCATTATAACCTTGGGGCCAAGGATCAAACTGTTTAATTAGCGTACTGTATGCACTTGTAGAGTTTTTCTGTCCTTTATCTGTTTATTTTCTGGGTGTAGGAACTCAAATGCAAGTTTTGTTTATAATGTTACTTAATTTTGTTGTTCAATAATGCAAGTCATACAATAAAACAAATTGAAGTTTTTTATCAGATCCTTTTTTGTAACTGGATGGAACTACTTGCAGAAACCTTCCCTTTTAATACTAGAAAGTAGATACAGGGTGTCCCACATCATATTAGATAGTAGAAACAGGGTGTCCCATATCATATTAGATATAAGTAGATACAGGGTGTCCCATATCATATTAGATAGTAGATACAGGGTGTCCCATAACATATTAGATAGTATTATGAATAGATAACATCCTTAAATGAGCTGTTCTGATTTAATAAAATTGACCTGGAGTATTTCTAAACGTTTGATGAGAAACTTCATATTTACTCCTAGGCTTGGATCTGAGTACAGGAGTTCAACCTAAACAAGATATATATTATACTAGCTGAAGGGCCCGTGAAAAAAAATGTGAAAGTTTAAGTTCCAGGTAAAGCTGGGTTCCCAAGCTAGTCTACATGTATATAATGTACTTGTATTAATCTCTGTTTTGGTGGTTTGTTTGAATGTCTGATCATAACTCAGGAACCACAATTAAGAATGTTCTTAGATTTGTAAAAAAAATTTAAGATTAGAGGGTTAATTTTTACATGGGAAAACTCAGTTTTCAGGTAAAGCTACATATGATTCTTTATGATTCTATGTAAAGCTTACCGCATTTATGATCGCTAGAACAACCTGAACTATATTCTCGTCAGTATTTAAAGGAAAATTCTCCGCCATATACCTGAACATAACAATCAAATTCTCACCCATATACCTGAACATAACAATCAAATTCTCCGCCATATACCTAAATATTACAATCAAATTCTCACCCATATACCTGAACATAACAATCAAATTATCCGCCATATACCTAAACATTAAAATCAAATATTCCGTCATATACCTAAACATTAAAATCAAATATTCCGTCATATACCTAAACATAACAATCAAATTCTCAACCATATACCTAAACATAGCAATCAAATTCTCCACCATATACCTAAACATAGCAATCAATTTCTCCTACATATACCTAAATCAAATTCTCCGCCATATACCTAAACATTACAATCAAATTCTCAGTCATATGCCTAAAAATTACAATCAAATTATCCGCCATATACCTAACCATAACTATCAAATTCTCCTACATATATACCTAAACATTACGATCAAATTCTCCGCCATACACCTAAACATTACAATCAAATTCTCCGCCATATACCTAAACATAACAATTAAATTCTCCGCCATATACCTGAACATAACAATCAAATTCTCCGCCATATACCTGAACATAACAATTAAATTCTCCGCCATATACCTGAACATAACAATCAAATTATCCGCCATTGCCTAACCATAACAATCAAATTCTCCGCCATATACCTAAACATTACAATCAAATTCTCCATAATATACCTAATCATAACAATCAAATTCTCCTACATATATACCTAAACATTACGATCAAATTCTCCGCCATATACCTAAACATAACAAACAAATTCTCCTGCATATACCTAAACATATCAATCAAATTCTCCTAAATATACCTGAACATATCAATGAAATTCTCCGCCATATACCTAAACATTACAATCAAACCATGTTTTACAGTAAACAGCTAGACCATGTTATACAGTAAACAGCTAGACCATGTTTTACAGTGAACAGCTAGACCATGTTGTACAGTAAACAGCTATACCATGTTGTACAGTAAACGGCTAGACCATGTTATACAGTAAACAGCTAGACCATGTTGTGCAGTAAACAGCTATACCATGTTGTACAGTAAACAACTATACCATGTTGTACAGTAAACAGCTATACCATTTAGTACAGTAAACAGCTATACCATGATGTACAGTAAGCAGCTATACCATGTTGTACAGTAAACAGCTAGACCATGTTGTACAGTAAGCAGCTAGACCATGTTGTACAGTAAACAGCTAGACCATGTTGTACAGTAAACAGCTAGACCATACCAGGATAGGGTAATGCTTTAAAATTAAAAAAATATGAAAAATGCCACGCATAAGAAAAAACCAACCTATGTAGATCCCGATCTATGAAAACCGCAAGCTCCATGAAGTATTTCTCTCTGGAACGAAACTCATCTTGAGGACGAAGTTCAGGTTTAGCAGCTCCGGGATAGAATGAATCCCTGTATCCTGGTTCAGGACGGGTTCGAGATTCGTCTCCTCCGTTGGGGAAGTATAAATGGTCATCCCATATTCTTTCCTCACCCTGGATCCAAATAATTCATAAGTTTTGACTAACACGAATCATTCCTTGAATTTATTTTTAATAAATGAATCCTGAAAAAATGAATTATGGAAATTACTTTCAATGAATAAGGCACGAACAACAAGAATGAATTAGGGATGAATACCTTGAATGAATTAGGGATAAATACCTTGAATGAATTAGGGATGAATACCTTGAATGAATTAGGGTTGAATACCTTAAATAAATTATGGTTGAATACCTTGAATGAATTATTAGGGATGAATGCCTTAAATGAATTAGGGATAAATACCTTAAATGAATTAGGAATGAATGCCTTAGATGAACTAGGGATGAATACCTTGAATGAATTAGGGATAAATTCCTTAAATGAATTAGGAATGAATGCCTTAAATGAATTAGGGATGAATACCTTAAATGAATTAGGGATGAATAACTTTAATGAATAAGGGTTTAATACCTTAAATGGATTAGGGATGAATACCTTAAATAAATTAGGGATGAATACCTTGAATGAATTAGGGATGAATACCTTAAATAAATTAGGGATGAATACTTTGAATAAATTAGGGATGAATACCTTAAATGAATTAGGGATAAATGTATCAGGATGAACTTGAAGATATCTTCTCTGGACACGTGAGAAATCAGAATTTCTGAAAAAAAGATAATTTTTCAGCAAAAAGAAAAAGCTCAGAGCCTTTAAAATTTCAAATAGTTATGACATAAAGTACGATACTTAAAATACGTTTGAATACTTGGAAAATATGAGAAAGAAAAATTTAAAAATATCTGTAGAAGATCTTAGCATTGTGCTTGTAAAAGAGTTCAGAATATTTTTTTTACTTACGTTGTTTTATTTTGTTTAAGATCCGATGAACTATGTGCACACGGCTCTTTCCATTTTGCTTTCCTAAAAAGATAAACTAAGGTTTAAACGTTAATCTTAAACGATTGATCGTTATATCCAATGCGGGCCCTTGTAAATTCAAGAATAAATGCTTAATTAAAGGTTATCCTGCAGAATATGTATACCACGGAATATTGAAAAGGAATTTAATTAATCTGTAAATGTAGAAACGTGGAACAATAAAATTTAGTGTTTAGAATTATCTAAAAATAAGATGGGGACCTGGATTCCAGTGTTTAGAATTACCTAAAGATAAGATGGGGACCTGGACTCCAAGGTTTAGAATTACCTAAAGATAAGATGGGGACCTGGACTCCAATGTTTAGAGGTATACCTAAAGATAAGATGGGGACCTGGACTCCAGTGTTTAGAATTATTTAAAGATAAGATGGGGACCTGGAGTCCAGTGTTTAGAATTACCTAAAGATAAGATGGGGACCTGGAGTCCTAGTGTTTAGAATTACCTAAAGATAAGAAGGGGGTTTGGAGTCCAGTGTTTAGAATTACCTAAAGTTAAGATGGGGACCTGGAGTCCAGTGTTTAGAATTACCTAAAGATAAGATGGGGTACTGGACTCCAAGGTTTAGAATTATCTAAAGATAAGATGGGGACCTGGACTCCAAGGTTTAGAATTACTTAAAGATAAGATGGGGACCTGGAGTCCAGTGTTTAGAATTACCTAAAGATAAGATGGGGACCTGGACTCCAAGGTTTAGAATTACTTAAAGATAAGATGGGGACCTGGAGTCCAGTGTTTAAAATTACCTAAAGATAAGATGGGGACCTGGACTCCAATGTTTAGAATTACCTAAAGATAAGATGGAGACCTGAAGTCCAGTGTTTAGAATTACCTAAAGATAAGATGGGGACCTGGAGTCCAGTATTCTAAATCTCGTTTTTTCCTCCTTCCCCTTCTCCCGTCCCCTTCTCTCCACTCCTCCTTCCTGGAGCCTCCTGCCAGGGGTTTAATCACGTAGTAATCTGTTTCTGAGGTTAAAACTCCTCGCTGATAAATAATAATATATTAAATCTTTTTCATATTCACATTCTTATTCAATACCTTGTGAACATCAAAGACGACATTTAAAAATAGACTATATAGGGTTACCCACAAGGGATGAGACTTCAGAGACGACTGTACGGAATTCATACTGTCTATATATTAGACAGAATAAGACTTCATAGACAAGTATATGGAATCATCCTCTTTTCTTATATATAAGTAAATTAGGACGTCATCAAAGTACCATCCTTTGTGGGTAACCCTTTTTTCCATTTTGGACGTTATACTTTTTAAATTTCTTTTAAAAAATCGTGATTAAAAATCGTTAGAATCATAAAATGTAAACGCCATAGTCTTTATAGACGATGATTAACGAAATTTTAATTTAATAATGTTTAATTAAAATCATCTTTAAATTTTCAAATCATCTTTTCAAAGAAGCTTACAACATCTTCTTTTCAACTTTTTCGGTGTATTTTTTTAAAAAAGAAAAGTAAAAAATTACTTTTTAAAATTCAAAGAATTATTTTCTTATTTTAAATTAGAAAAGGTTGATACAAAAAGAGACTCACAAATCCAGCGCATAGATTAATCGCCATTTTCTCCCCAGTTTCAGTTCTAGATACACCCTGTTGTTTGAACCAAACAATTTTTTTGTTCTAAAATTCGTTTTGAACATTTCTAAGGAGCTAAAAGAACTGATAACTCACAATTTATAATTTTCTTATCTTTATATCGTTGCAACCTGATGTTGCCAAATCTTTGGTTACAAATTATAAAATTAGAAATAAAACTCTAGTTCTGTTTACAAATATTATTAAAAAGTATTCCCAGGTGGGAAGTTGCTCAGAGTTGAAAAAAGCGCCAAATTTTTTTTTTAAGAATTTATAATTTTGGTTTCCTTGTAGAGACATGATTGAGAGAAGGATGATAAATCTAGAATATCTGTAGAATCATCTCTGAAAATAAAATTAATTAGAATTAGAAAAATTAGTTCCAAACTTTATAATAACTGGTATTTTGTGCGTGGAGTTGCGGGATTTTTAAAAATGATTAAAACGACATTCGATCGTTGTATCATACTTAAAACAATGAAAAAAGTGTGGTCTGTTAGTTTAACTTTTAATATTCCTATACAAACATACTTCATGAACTTTGGAAAACAATATATTTCTCAATAATTTTGCGTTGTTTGAAAAACGAATAATTTGAAAAGATATGATCAAATATCTTCGAATTGATTTATAAGACTTTTAATATTATGTTTCGCACGAATAAAAACCCAAAAACTCTAAACTAAACTTAAAGAAAAGGTCAAAGGAATTGAATTTTAGCACAAGCTCTGATGCTATTGCTAAAGAGAGAAAAAGGAACAAACTTGGATTTACTGACCCCTATATCTTTGCATCTCAATGACGTAGACCTTTTATATTAAATACTCTAAGGTTAAAAATATCAAAGGTTTTCACGATTAGGTTGCAAAAGATTGGGATAAGAAAGTTTGAAAGTGTGGCAAAGACTCAAATTCAAAATACAACAATATTTGTAAAAAAGTATAACCTGCGGACCATAAGAACTGAATGGTTCGTGAGCGGAGGCGAGGTTTCTGTAAGTGAAAAATCAAATTTTCTTCCCAGAGCTGTAAACTTGAATTCAACAGCTGCAGAACTATCTGCGTCCCTATACCGGCGAAATCAAATCAATTTAGGATTTCTTAAAGAGAAAGGGGGTATAGGCTGATCCCGAATTGAATTCGGGTTTGAGCGCTACCAAGAGAAAATGGTTAAATATTCCCTATAATTTTTAGCGAACAGTCCTTTCAAACACAGAACATTTTTGTTTACCGACCAAAAGGACCAGCAGAAACCACAATTTCCTAGTTTAGTCATGTATTTAAATAATTCTGTAATTCAAAATCACCCCAAGAATTATTTTTCAAAACAAGCCACTTTGGTTATAGTAAAATAAAAAAAGCTAAGTGTTGTTTGAGTATATATACATAAAGTGATAATTATACAAGTATATATACATAAAGTGATAATTATACAAGTATATTTACATAAGTGATAGTTATACAAGTATGTATATACATAAAGTGATAATTATAAAAGTAGTGATAATTATACAAGTATATATACATAAAGTGATAATTATACAAGTATATTTACATAAAGAGATAATTATTCAAGTATAGATACATAAAGTGATAAGTATACAAGTTTATTTACATAAAGGAATACAAGTATATATACATAAAGTGATAATTATACAAGTATATATATACATAAAGTGATAATTATACAAGTATATATACATGAAGTGATAGTTATACAAGTATGTATATACATAAAGTGATAATTATAAAAGTATATATACAATTATACAAGTTTATTTACATAAAGTGATAATTATACAAGTATATTTACATAAAGAGATAATTATTCAAGTATATATACATAAAGTGATAATTATACAAGTATATTTACATAAAGAGATAATTATTCAAGTATATATACATAAAGTGATAAGTATACAAGTTTATTTACATAAAGGGATACAAGTATATTTACATAAAGTGATAATTATACAAGTATATTTACATAAAGTGATAATTATATAAGAATATTTACATAAAGTGATTATTATACAAGTTTATATACATAAAGTGATAATTATATAAGAATACTTAATTAAACAAGTATATTTTCATAAATTTTACTGAATACCAAGATAAACCATAAAAACTTCTTCCTTCAAGTTCCAAGGGTAAGCATTTAAACAAAGTTATAATTGGATTTTAAACAATATTAAGTTTTGTGCAAATACTAAATTTACTAGATGCGAAAGTGTATAGCTTTCTAGCATTTGAGAAACTTAAAGAGTCGTCAGAGAAGTAATCCTCCATTTTGGAAAGGACACATACACGTGTAACATACATACATACATATCAGAGCTTTATATTACATGACAATGTTTGATTTGTTTTTGATTCCTGGTCGATCTTTTTCGTCTTCGTAGTTTAGGAATAAACAGGTCCTGCGCATCCCAATCTAGAAATATTTATATTTATTTACTTTATTATTTATTTATCATTACTTATTATCATTATTTATTTCATAACATATCAAACAATCAATAACTTTCGATCAAATTTTTGCAAATGATTAAGATTAGAATAGATTTAAATACTTTATGAAAAATATTTAGAAAATAGTTTTTCTCACAACCTTCTGAATTTACAATCTGGGTTTTAAAAAAGAAATTCCAACTTACCATTGTCATTTTGAAAGAACCCGAGATCTGGGAAGGACGCCGTCTGAACAAATTGATGATGAGTATTATTTTCGTTGTTGTAGTCAAAATGTCAACTGCAGATAAAACAGTAAATAAAACCGTAAATAAAACAGTAAATAAAACAGTAATTAAAACCGTAAATAAATCTGTAGATAAAACAGTAAATAAAACAGTAATTAAAACCGTGAATAAAACCGTAAATAAATCTGTAGCTAAAACCGTAATTAAAAACAGTAAATAAAACCGTAATTAAAACCGTAAATTAAACAGTAAATAAATCAGTAAATAAAACAGTAAATAAAACCGTAATTAAAATAGTAAATAAAACAGTAAATAAAACCGTAAATAAAACCGTAAATAAAACAGTAAATAAAACCGTAAATAAAACAGTAAATAAAACCGTAAATAAAACAGTAAATAAAACCGTAAATAAAACAGTAAATAAAACCGTAAATAAAACAGTAAATAAAACCGTCGTAAATAAAACCGTAAATAAAACAGTAAATAAAACAGTAAATAAAACCGTAAATAAAACAGCAAATAAAACCGTAAATAAAACAGTAAATAAAACAGTAATTAAAACAGTAAATAAAACCGTAAATAAAACCGTAAATAAAACCGTAAATAAAACTGTAGATATAACCGTAACTAAAACCGTAAATAAAACCGTAAATAAAACAGTAGATAAACAGCAGATACCAGTGAAAGTATACCAATACACATAATTGAAAAAAAGAAAAAAAGGCTAGATTTTTCATCATTTGGTGAGGTATTGAAATGATTTCAAATGTTCCACTAATTATAGATTTGTTTAAGATGAAAAGAAATGTCACTCAGACCATATCATTATTCTTTTGAAAATTCTTAATAATTAAAATTTACATTCTCTTTAGTTAGACAATGACTTATCTCTGTTAACTGGGTAAAAGATTTGTTAAAATTCTTTACTACAGCAAAGACGAGGGGGAAAATGTTTGACTAAAGTTCAGTATTACATAGGAACAATTGTACTTTTGTGTGTTATTAAAAATACTTCACAAAAGTCAAAAGTGGGATTTTCCCCCTAACCTACAAATTTCAAATTAATTATCAGTGAGTAAAAGTAGAGATAAAGTGGTTTTTGACATTTCACTTTAAGCTAAAGTAAATCGAAGATAAGATTGAAATCTTATATGTTTTCCATCGTAACTCCTTTGCATGATTGCTGAGCAATTAAAAAGAATATCTCCTATGTAACCAGTTAAATTAGCTTTTCTTATTCTTGTGCTTAAAATAAAACCTAGAGAAGATAGGAGATCACAAAGTCCTACAAGTGATGTCGCAAAGAATTTATCTTCTCCTTCGGTCTTGTTTGCAATGATTCAATTTCATTGATGGAAGAGAGAGAGAGAGATATTCAAACCTCAAGTTGAGTTAGAAAATTCAAAATGATATTTTGACTTGAGTGAATCTCAAAAATAAATGCTAACATTGATTAGAAAAAAAGAGAATTTTATATGATTGCCTTTGTATAAAACGTGCAGTCTTTTAAAAAATTCATCTTAAGGTGTATATTTAGACCCCCTGGCATCGTATTTTACCTCAAACATTAATAAAATTGGACAAAATTACAAGGTAAACCGATTATTTTAGAGGTTTCAAGTTTCAACTAGTGTATTTGAGAATTTTTGAACTGAAGAAGAACGGTATGAGTCTTCATGGCACTAATCATTATAATAAAAACATATTTAAAAAATGTCATATCTGCAAAGGCCATTTGAAAAAAAATGTAAATCTTTCTCAAAAAAAAATAAAATAAGTTTTTCGAAAATATTTAATTTTATTGAAAAAAATAGAAGGAGGGGGGAGATAGATAGATAGATAGATAGATAGATAGATAGATAGATAGATAGATAGATAGATAGATAGATAGATAGATAGATAGATAGATAGATAGATATACCTGTATATGGGGTAGAAGTAGAAGAGAAGAAAGGAGTAGGTTAGGAAAACAGAAATTAAATTTCATAATTATCTTTTTAGTTTCACTTTCTCCATTTTATTTTTAGTGTTTTCATTTGTTTTCATTACGCAATTCTCTTAGTTGATACTCATTTAGTTAACACCTAGATTTTGTCTAAACAAAAATGTATTTGTATCATGTCACAGCTTATTTTACGCAATTTGTTATCTGTTGCTTTAAAGTTAAGAATAAATAACTTTAACTACGTTGGTGGCTCTACGAAAGCTCTCAAAAATCAGTTTAAATATGTTGTCAATTGTAATTTCAATTGTGTTGGTTTTATTCTAAAAGAAGATCACGGTTCACTGATTCATTGCTTCAACCCACCTGGAGTAAATAGGTTCAATTTGAATCTGAGTACAAACCTAATCTAACTTGTGGTTCTATGCTCCAGGAAGAATAAGAGCACTCAAACTCACTTGTTAATCTCACTTAATGCTCTTTGTTATTGTTGTTTTTGGTTTGCAGTTTTTAATTTAAAAAAAAACAAAGAAAAGTTAGAAAACAGAAACCAAAGAATGATGAAGGAACTCGTGGATTGATTCAATTTGCATTTTTATTCCTGAAACTGTTTAAAATATCACATTGTATGATCAATTAGAAATACTGTTTCGATATCACTTAATGCAAACAGTGCATTTTTAACCATATCAAGGCCATATTTATCGCTACAAAAATCTTTACATATTTATTTATAACAGTCTATTTATGAACAGTGTATTCATCTGTAAAATGTATATTTATCTATTAACTGTGTATTCATCTGTAAAATGTATATTTATCTATTAACAGTGTATTTATTTGTAAGATGTATATTTATCTATTAATAGTGTATTCATCTATAAATAGTGTATTTATTTGTAAAATGTATATTTATCTATTAACAGTGTATTTATCTATTAACAGTGTATTTATTTGTAAAATGTATATTTATCTATATATACATTTTACAAATAAATAACAGTGTATTTATCTATTAACAGTATATTTATCTATTAACACTGTATTTATCTATTAACAACAGCGCATTTATCTATTAACCCTATTCCTGCTGGGGGGGGGGTCAATTTGACCCCCCCCCCTGTAGTTTTTTTTACATAACTCAAAAAGTATTGGTCTGAGGCTGTTGAAATTTTCTGACTTTTCTTACATACCAAAGCCTTCCCTTTAGGCCTAAAACCGGGCTTTAATACTAACTGCCTGAGTCCCCAGGCACACTGCCTGAATGACTGCTTTTTCCTGTAACAAACTAAATCTTTGTTTTGACCCACTTCCACTTGTCAGATTTTGATAAAATTTAGCATTTTGGAAAGCCTTTGACATAAGGAAACGAATTGCACAAGTTTTGCGAAAAAAAATTCAAATTTTTTGCAAACTACCTGTCAAAGGAAATTTGCACATTTTTAGTTTTTCTTGATTAAAAATCAGGTTATTTAAAATTTTGCAAAACTTTTTGCATATTTGAAATGGCATGGTCAAGGGCTTTTCAAAAATGTATAATTTTTCATTTTTTGGACAAATTTTTTTTGCAAACAATTTTACTATATAACTGGATTTTGCAATAAAAAATTCAATTTCGGCAAATTTGCAAATTTTTTTGCAGATTCTAAAAGTAGAGCACAAGAGCTTTGCAATGATGTATCATTTGTCATATTTGGACATCAAACATGGGATTTAGAGGGGGGGTCAAATTGACCCCCCCCAGCATATCCTGGTTTTCAAGTACCCCAGCAGAGATAGGGTTAACTGTATATGTATCTATTAACTGTATATTTATCTATTAACACTGTATTTATCTATTAACAGTGTATTTATCTATTAACAGTGTATTTATCTATTAACAGTGTATTGAATACTGAACTAAATACCGAATAAAGGAAGAGGAAGAATAGAAGGGCTCCGCCCCAGTAATCTACTGGTGACGGAAACTGAAAAGATGATTAATTAATGAAACTGGGTTCAGAAAACAATTCTCAAATGTAGAATTGCAAGCTAATCTGCTAGAAATCTATTGGCACGAAAAAAAATTAATCTAATTTTTAAAAACTTATATATACAGTGATAATCAGTGTCTGGTAAAACTATTTAGTTTGTAACAACATCAAATACACTTAAGTATCGCTATAATGTCGTCTTTCTATTCCATTGTTTTCTGGTTATTACTGTAGATATATACGTCCCTCACATAAAAAATGTAAATTAGTTTTTCCACGCATTTTTGATATTTAGTGATTTTTATAGACACAATGGTAAATTCAATGATAAATACAATTTTGGTAATAAAAAAGCTTTTACGATCCCCACGTTGTTAAACCGTGGTTTCGTTTTTGTTTTGTTTTTAGTTTCAGACTCAAGGCTCCAAAAATTTAAATACAGTGTATCTACAATGTGATAAATTGCAAAATAAAACATTTAACATTTGCTACTTTTTTATTTAATATAGCTTTAATAACAAAAATTTAAAAACCGTGAAAGAAAAATTTTTACGCATGGTTATGTGCGAGCAGTAAATTCTGAATACCAAATTACGCACGTAAAGCTATAAATGAAAAAATTGTTTACGCTCGTGTGCGCTTTTCAGGGATGAAAAGATAGAGAAACTTATCCATGGTGCACAGAGCTTTGTGACATCTTAATCTAAAGATTTCATCATAGAAAAAGTCAGTTTTAATTTAAGTTTACAATTTGTAAGGAAAAAATAATACTTTCACTGCTGAAGAATTAATATAGAGTTAGCTGTCCTAATACACTTTTACTGCTGTTATAAAACTATAGTTATCTGACATAATACACTTTCACTGCTGTTATATAACTATAGTTATCTGACATAATTCACTTTCACTGCTGTTATATTACTATAGTTATCTGTCCTAATACACTTTCACTGCTGCTATATAACTATACTTATCTGTCCTAATACACTTTCACTGCTGTTATATAACTATAGTTATCTGACCTAATACAGTTTCACTGCTGTTATAAAACTATACTTATCTGTCCTAATACACTTTCACTACTGTTAAATAACTATAGTTATCTGATGATACACTTTCACTGCTGTTATATAACTATAGTTATCTGACATAATACACTTCACTGCTGCTATATAACTATAGTTATCTGATGATACACTTTCACTGCTGTTATATAACTATAGGTATCTGTCCTAATACCTTTTCACTGCTGTTATATAACTATAGAGTTATCTGTCCTAATAATACACTTTCACTGCTGATATATAACTATAGGTATCTGTCCTAATACACTTTCACTGCTGTTATATAACTCCTAATTATACACTTTCACTGCTGTTATATAACTTTAGTTATCTGTCCTAATTATACACTTTCACTGCTGTTATATAACTTTAGTTATCTGTCCTTATAATACACTTTCAATGGAACGAACTCAAAATCGGAAAATCTTTCAGTAAAAGGCGTAGGCCTATAGGTATTATAACTATGTAGTCGGTTTAATCAAAAAGTTTAAGTTTAACATATATAAGGTTGAAAGGAAAATTTGAGTTTGAAGACTCAATTCCTTAGCAAAAGCAAACCTATAAAGAGTACTTATTTTTGAAATATGCTAAGCATCCTTTGTGAAACCTCTTAAAATTCAACGAAACTTAAATATGCAAAAACAAACCATAAATCGTGGCCCAATTTTTGTTTTAAGTCTTAATAATATGTTGGTTGCGCGTGTGTTCTGAACGATACAGTAGGTCTACCTGAATTAAGGCAATATACAAACAACTCATCATAAAGAGTGACAAGCTAAAATTAAATCATTCACTAATTAGTATTAAAGATATGATCTATCTGATTCCGTTGTATGGAAGTTTTTCCTTATCTTAAGAAAAATCTACTTTCTCCATCTAATATTACGTGAAGAATTACATGTATTATGTTGAACACGCTTGGACGCTGAACAATATGAACTGAATCTCCGTAAACTTTATAATAAGCTTCACACTGGTTTCACTTTATGCAAATATGTACACTTCACTAAACCTAAGGAGACGGTCAACATGCGACATTGTGACCTCGTAGCTCCTCTACATTTGATTTTGCTCAGACTTATGAATAAGGAAATGTTTTTAATAAAAACTCATTAAAAATTCAAAACATTGTTGTTCTTCTTAATAGCTTTTCAAAAAGAGGAATTTCAATTAAAAATATAAAAATTTTTATTACTTTTGAACATTTGTACTTCTGTCAATGAAAAAGAAATTTGTTTTAAAATTTTTCTTCAAAAGTTCGCATTCAAGAACTTGGTAAGATAAGCATTGCTGATGAATTGCATGAACTAAAGTTTATTTTTTAGGAATTCAAAGACTTTTCTTAGTTTTTTAAAATTTTAATATTTCTTTCATTAAAAATTTATAAACCTGAAATCCAATTTTTTTTAGATTTCCATTTCAAACTCTGACGTAATCCTGCTCCCTTTACTAAATACTTGCTTCCTTGCTTAACAAATGTAATATTTGTTTTATTTTAATAGTTTTTTAAATCAGTATAGTTAGAACTGAACTGCAATAAAAGGGGAATTTACTGATTGTGTAATTTTAGAAACTCATCCTACTTTTACTCTATTCATTCTTTTAATTCTTTTAACTCTTTCACTCCTTTTCATTCTGCGCTGCGCATTCCTTTGCCTCTTTTCTCTCTTTTAATTCTTTTAATTTTTTATTCTATTTTCTCCATTTATTCTGCGCATTTCTTTTGCCTCTTTTTTCTCTTTTAATTCTTTTAATTGTTTACTCCATTTACTCCTTTTCATTTTTTTCATGTTTTTATTCTTTTTATTATTTCAATTTTTTTTACCTCCTTTTCATTCTTATAATTGTTTTGACTCTTTTAAATCCTTTTATTCCTTTTATTCCTTATATTCCTTTTTTCCTTTTGTTCTTTTTTTCTTTTATTCTTTTTATTCCTTTTTTCCCTTTTTCCCTTTTTTCCTTTTATTCCTTTTATTCCTTTTATTCCTTTTTTCCTTTTCTTCTTTTTTTCTTTTATTCCTTTTTTTTCCCTTTTTTCCTTTTCTTTTTTTTTTCGTTTATTCCTTTTATTCCTTTTTCATCTTTTTATTTCTTTTTCTCCTGTCACTTTTTTAATTATTTTACTTCATTCGCTCCTTTTACTTCATATTTATTCCTTAATTTACTCCTGTTTTTCTTTCTCTTAAAGGGGTCAACTCTAAGTCAATTCCCTTTACTCTTTTATTGCTTTTAATTTCTTTTTCTCCACTTACTTCTTTTACTCCATTTACCTTAATTACTACTTTAACTCCGTCTATTTTTTAACTTCTTTTGTTCCTTTTTTCCCCTTTTTTCTCATTTTATTACTTTTACTGCTTTTAATTATTTTACTCCATCTTCTTCTTTTACTCCATTTTCTACTGTTTTTCTCTTCCTTTTCAAATTGGCAAAACGTTGCGCCAATTTACTTTTTTTTTCATTTTTATTTCTTTTTACTCTTTTTATTGCTTTTATGTCTTTTACTCCACTTCCTTCTTTCACTCTTTTTACTCTAATTGCTGCGTTTAATTTTTTCTATTATTTTTCATTCTTTTTCTCCTTTACTCGTTTTAATTATTTGACTTCACGTCCAGGTTTTCTGGCTCTTCTCCAAGATATATTTAGTATCAGTGCCCATTACTAATAGAGTATGATGACGGTTTCTTTCAAATCTGGTCTGAGATAAATACGTTCATATTTCAGCATATCGTTAAATATAGAAAATATTAAACTTCAGTTTCAGTCCGCGATTCTATACAGTATCAAAGGGACTGTAGGCATAATTTTTAGTGACCTCATATACATATAGGAGCATGTCTGATTGTCACGTACCGGTGCCTTTAAAACTCTATCTGGGTAACAATGAGGAAGATATCATCGTTTTATATAAAAAGTTCTTTGTTTCCCTCAGTTGTAACTTTTCGATAGAAACTATCCATCATTGATCAGAGAAAGATTTTGAAAGGTACTGTTGTGAATCGGGAATTCAACTTTATAAATGGAGGGTCACTTTAAGTTAAGTCTACATTCCCTTTAAAGCATATTAAAACATCAAGCTGATTTGATCAAATAAAGATTTTATATATAACGTTAATGTTAAAACGACTAAGGCAAATGAAAAACAAAGAATTGTAGAGTTTAATGTAAACAAAAACAGTTTTTGAAAGTATTGGGGTGAGGGGGGAGGGGAGGGGGTATACAGATTGAATGCTGGTTTGGATGAACACAAAGTATCTGATTTAATCTAAATATTTAAAGTGTTGAATAAAAATATGTTTTACCAGATAAATCTGCTGATCCTGCGGTTTGAAGAAGTTGACCCTGACAGGTCGCTAGTCTAGTCAGATCTACCTAGCTAGTTTCAGATATATATATTACGTATATCAAAAGTGTACTTTTAACCTTTTTTAAGAGGTTATCAAAAAAAGTCTGTCATTCAAAAAGATCTAGAGAGCTATGCAAATTTTGCATCACTTTTCTAGACCAGGTTGACTATTAAGTGTCGTAAGCCCTTGGCCTTTGATTGATTTTGTGCATTACTTTCTGAGTTAGCTTTTTGGTAACCGTAGCCTAGCCCTTTAAACCGTAGTCTAGCCCTTTTATTTGTGGACATTTTAAAACCATGATTTTAACCATTTTAACTTCTAGCTTTAGTTGAAATGAGTAATTGTGAAAATGCGGAAAGATTTTAGCGTGAGAGTTTACAAACTTGTCTTTTTATACTTTTTCGTTTAAACAAACTAAAATGTATTAAATAAAAAAGCTGATATCTTATGTATTTTAATCAAAGCCATAACTTACTGGGGCCAGTGGCGAACTGTTAATTCTTCGTGATATTCAAATACAAAAATTAAAGAAAACCAGATATTCATCGAAAATAATAGTTATCTTGAAGAAAAATACATTTATTGAAGATAAAAGTTCGAAAGTTTCAATTTATGCAGAATGATTTTTTGTTCCAAGTTTTACAGTTGTTAAAGTTTAGATTGTTGTTTTGTTGAAGAGAAGTTTAAACATGAAGGGACCGGAGACGGAATTTAATGAATCGGAGAGGTGGCTGAACTACATACCACCAGTTCAAATCTTGAATCTCCGATTCAAATCCATAGGAATCGGAACCCAGCTTTGCCTGGAAACTAAACTTTCGCTATAAAAGCAAACCAACTGAACTTGAATTCGTAAAACATTCCCGTGTTTCTACCAAGTTCCGTCATCAAAATTTAAGGCAAATCGGTAATTGTGTTTTTTTAAATGCTCTTTCTTTATGTCTGTATTCATATACTCTCTCAAATTACCCCTAACAACTGTAAAATGAAAAAAATGGAATTAAAAAAGGAATGATACAAAATTTGAATGCAGACGAAAAACTGTAAACGTTTGTAGTAATTAGCATAAAACTCTTTATGAGACAGGTTTTCTAGAACTCTGACCAATTAAAAGCTAAAAACTTTTAACTATAAGTAAATAACTTGGATTTAGGGCTAAGAATTTATAAGTTTGTCTTTAAAGTTTTCCTTTGGTGTTAATTTTACAGCTATCTAAGTAAGAAATATATGCTTGCATCTGATGACTCGGTGATGCAATTTTATAATTGAACTATAAATCTCTCTCCTTAAATAAAAAACTAACAATTCCAAGATAAAAAAATTTTCTGAATAAAATTTACAGAAAAGTAAGAATTAAAACCCTTTTCTGATAAAATTCCTTTTCAAAGAAAATTTTTATGTAACACGGGCCTCAAAGAAAAAGAAATATTTAAATGCATTTAAACATAATTTTCCTACACAATTTGGATATTTTTATTTAATTTTTATGGTTGTTCATTCATATCCTCAACGTTGTTTTAGGTCTTCTAAGAAGTATGATCATTGATCTTAGCAAAATTGCTCATCCTTAAGTGGGATAACGGGTAGGGTCAGAAGGATCGGTAGAATCAGTATAGATGAGTAGTATCAGTGGAATCAGTAGGATCAGTGAAATCAGTGAATTCAGAAGGATCAGTAGGATCAGTAGGATCAGCAGGATCATTAGTATCAGTGGACTCAGTAGGATCAGCACGATCAGTAGGAACAGTGAAATCGATCAGTGGGATCAGTAAGATCAATAAGATCAGTAGGATCATTAAGATCAGTAGAATCAGTAGGATCAGCATAGATCAGTAGTATCAGTGGAATAAGTAGTATCAGTGGAATAAGTAGGATCAGTAGGATCAGCAGGATCAGTAGGATCAGTAGGATCAGTAGGATCAGTAGGATCAGTAGGATCAGTATGGATCAGTAGTATCAGTGGAATCAGTAGGATCAGCAGGATCAGTAGGATTAGTAGGATCAGTAGGCCTTTCTTTTATAGTCAGTAAGCCTTCCCGTTCGAACCCATTATCAGTTATCACCCATTCAATGTATATTTCTCCTATTTTCTATTTCATACCTAGATACACGTTGTAAATATTAACATGTTTTCGCCATTAAAAATACATATATTGATTTACACGGCAGGGGTTTGATCTTCTCCGACTCAGTCCTGATTAATGAATAAAGATCTCTAGCTTTTCATTAAAAACATCTCATCTGATTAGGTAATAAGAACAAACTTGTTGCTTCTTGAAATAGAATTCTTTATCAACCTTCTTCTAAAGAAACGAATAATGAAATTTTAAAAGTTAATCATCGGGATTAATTCTTAATCTAATTAAATTCCAGTTAATCCATAGAATTAATTATAAATGTTAAAAGGAATACAACTAAGAAGAGTCTGCTTAACACGTGTAACAGGACTCAGGAGCAGAAAGTAGTTTGGGGGTATTTTAAAACACAATTGGAGGAAACGCTTCTTTATTTCTATCTATGCATATATTAAGCTTGCTTGTTCCTTAAAAACGTTAAAACGGTGAAACGATCGGTCAGGATAAGATAGAAGCTAGGATGGAAGCAGCCATATCATAGCTAGGTAACCGCCAAATAAGTTTTCTAAAAAAGTTCTCAGAAACAAAGTTCTAGATTTTGACAATGAAAAAGTCCTGAGGAAAAAAGTCCTCTTGTAGTTAAAATGCATGGGAACAAAGGACGTCTACAACCATGGAAAAAATGGACTTAGTATTAAAAGCATCCCTGGTATATTCAATATGCAGATGCATAGAAGAAAAGTCCTTTTTATTTAAACGTCTCAGACTTGATCTCATTTTTCTTGGGTTTTTTTCTTCGGATATATTTTCTTCTGTGGGACTTTATTTCCTGTGATCTTATTTCCTGAGGCTTTAATGGCAGCCCACATATTATTTTAGGAAAAAAAGTTCCAGGAATCTAAAACTAAGGACTTTATTTCCAGTAAGATTTTTTTCCTACATCAGAAAATTGGAACTTTTTACAAAAGTTTTTATTTCCAGTTTTTTTCCCAACACGTTTTCCTGTGACTTTCTTTCTTTCTTAGATTCTCATTGCTAGGACTGAAGCAACTTTACAATATAAGCAGGGATAGAAACAGCCTGATTAAACCTAGAATATAGGAGTAGGATTTTCTTAGAAAACTCTTTAAAGATTAAATTATGTATTGGTTTAGTTCCTAAAATCATTATCCTGACCCTGCTCTAATAGATTTTAGATAGAATGGCAGGGCATAAAACAAGATCGGATACACTCAAACTTAGAAGATTTATTGCTCTGCTAAAAGAACGAGGTGTTTAGATAAATTTTGAATTAAAACCATCAAATTATTTTCTATCCTATGCAACCATCGTTAAAACCGCTCCAATTAAAAAAAATTAAATTTAAAAACTGATTTAATACAGTCAAAATTAAGAATTTTATAAAAAAAAAATATAAAGTTAATTGATTTTCTGGAATGTTAAGAAATAATATGCATTTTCCAAAGTCCAATAATACAATTATATCCAAGGAATAAATAAAAAATGAAACACAGGTAGTGATCTTGCTGAAGATATTGAAAGAAAAGCACAAAACTTCCTGACCGATGTTCAGGTCAAGATAAACAAAAACGTCAGCGCTCAGGTAAACATTCTATTTATCGCAAATATAACAGCTGATTCATCAGCTGTATTCATCAACTTATACAACAAATGATTTAGTATCTGTCTCCGCAGATGTTTTTAAAGTTGATTTAGCAGCTGATTCAACTGCATGTGGAATCAAAATCTGATTCAGCAGCAAAATTTACAGAATATAAAAAAGTTTATTTAATATATAATTGAACTAACATTTTCATCAATAATAATTACAAAGTATTTGAAATTTTACAGTCTACATGAAATAAACTGCAAAAAACCTTTAATATCTTATACAGTATATGGAATACGACATTCATAAAAACTTATTAGCTGTCATGTTTCGTGGGACACCCTGTATGTTATGTACTGCACATTCTTAGCCAAAGAATCAGTTTTGTCAATCGCCACTACGTCAACTGGCCCGAATAATAATATGTACGCTAACCAGTTAGGACCACTTTTAAAATGTTTAGTGCTTTAGATCGTTTTCTTTCCTTTTCGTAAATATAAGATAGATTATTTTAGAAAAATGTAATACTCCATGTAAGTCAATATTTAAGTTGCTCCACCTAATTAAGTCCAATATTTATTAAACAGTTCAGAAAAAATATGAGCGGAAAGTATAAAACTCTAAGAAGAATGCTCAACTAGGATGTAGTATGTACTGTACGTTGTGCTAAAGGAATTGCGTCTTTGCTACAAACTTTGATTTTCTGATTCCAATATATTTGCAACCCAATGTTTGAAATATCAAAGGTGTGCGTCTTTAGGTTGAAAAGATATAGATATTAGAAAATTTGAGCTTGTGGCAAAAACTCAATTCCTTTATGCCAGTTAACATAGTGGTAATTGACAAAACTGATTCTATGGAATATTAGACATTTGAGAGCGATGAGGAGTTTAGTAGTTTTGAAGAGGAATCTGTTGAAGAGGTGCCTGCTCTGGAGACCGAGGAGATATTTTTTGAACCTCAACCTTCTCCTCCCCCTCCCCCTCCTCCTCTTCCTCTACCCATCCTTGTGAAAGAACCAACCCCTCCTCCAACTCCTCCACCCCTACTCCCTTGTGTAAGCTTTAAATTCAATTTTTAAAACTTTTTCATCAGTTTTCTTTTCTAATTTTTGTATTTAACTAGTATTGTGTCTCCCCGGATAATCCTTCCTTTAATCCATATTCTGCTTATTACAAAAAGAAAGATTACTACTTAGTAAATTTGAAAAATCTAATTAAATCTCTTCTTTTTATAAACTCCAAAACTTATATTTGTGTGATTTGAATAGAGTTTATTCAACCTGACATTAATAGAATTTATTTTTCAAGATGATATGAAGAAGATTACAATTTGGAAATTTTGTAAAGGAACTGAGTTTTTGCCACAAACTCTAATTTTTAATCCCTTTTTCTTTGCATCCCGATGTCAGAGATCTTTACTATTTCAAACTATGAATTATGTTAGATTAAATAGTCTAAGTTTGAAATATCACACGTTTACACTATAAGTGGCCGAATTTAAAGAATTTTAGCGGCAGTTTAAATTTAAGCCGCGGTTTAAATTCAAGCCTCGGTTTAAATACGGTTGGTTCCACTTAAAATTGTATCAAATGTTTCAAGATTGAAGCCGGCGCTTACTTTAAACCGGGTCTTGGCAGATTTAAACCGCGGCTCAAATTCTTTAAATTCCATATCAGGTTGCAAAGATATAAGGATAGGAAAACATAAATTTGTGGCAAAGACTTAGTTTCCCGTTGTAAACGAATGAACTCAAAAGTATCCCATTTTTACATGTTTATCTCTGATCCTTGAATAATGATAATTTTAATAATACAAAAAGTGTGTAACAAGTTTTATGTTTTAATCCTCTTTTACAGAGATTCACTAAGATAAACTCTGGTTTTTTTACTATCAGGAACCCGAACCCGAACCTGAACCTGAACCTGTGAAAATAGTTCCTGTTCCAAAACCTAAACCTGCCTTACCAAACAGACAACAAATCCGGGCTCTAACCAAGGAACTTATTCATTCATCCTTCTAAAGTTCCAGGGTGAGGATTGGTCGGGTCCACATTTCTTGAGCTTTTTGGGTCCTCTGATCCTTAAATACGTATTTAAATACAAATCCGGCCGGATCTTAGAATTAAGGAAATACTAAAACCATGATACAAACTTTTGGTTGGTGAAATTTAGCAATAATCAAATATTGAGATAAAATGAAATACTAAAATAAACACAATATCAACGTCGACGACAACGGAAACATTAGCAAAAACTTTGACATGAAGGTCAACTTGAATATTACCGTAAACTTTAAGGTCGACCCGGAAATTACCTGAAACGTTTATAAAAGTCATTATAAATATTTAACATCATGATTATTAATATTCAACATCAAAGTCAAATGAATATTCATCAATATGGGATCGTCAATGTTTGACATCTATGTCAACGTTTGTCAAGATGAACAGTGAACACCACATTCATCATCATGATCATTAATATACAACATCAACGTCAATTTCGACTTAAAATGGAACATGAGCATATTTATCAACGGGGTTGTTAATCTTTAACGTCTACGTCCACGTCAACATGAACATGAAAGTATAAATTAACGTGGTTGTTATTGTTTAACGTCTACGTCCACGTCAACATGAACATGAAAGTATAAATTAACGTGGTTGTTTTTGTTTAACGTCTACGTTCATGGTCAACATGAACATGAAAGTATAAATTAACGTGGTTGTTAATGTTCAATGTCAATATAAGAACAACAGTGTATTTACCAATGTCATCGTCAATATTCAACGTCTCACTAGGTTAATGAAGCGTAAAGGGTATGCAAGAAAATATTTTTTTATAAGTTTTTGTCAAATCTTTTCTTTATAATCAATCAGATGCAGCTTGTTTTTAATTTAATTTTCAGAATTCCAAGAATTCAGAGGATCCCTTTTGTGTTTCTCTTTTAAAGAGAATGTAAGTTTAATTTCAAGATACTTTCTATTTAAGAGAGTGGCATTACCGATTTACAACGGCACTTAACTTCGACTAAAAAAGAATGACAGACTTTTCCGTATTTATATACAGATATTCTTTTAATTGCTGAACACTTTGTTTGCAAGCTTGAAGTAAATGCCTTACTCCAATAATGTTTCTTAAGTCAGTATCAATCTGCAGATACTAGCTCCGTATCTGTTGGTATCTATCTAGCCAGATACAATCTCTGTAGAACTCTGTGGTCTACAATAATAACTTAAACTGTATCACTTTGGTACAGACTGATCTAGAGCTGTTCCCTCAATACACTTGGTTGGGATCAATCTAGATACAATCTCTGTAGAACTCTGTGGTCTACAATAATAACTTAAACTGTATCGCCTAGGTACAGACTGCACTAGAACTCTCATGTTCCCTCAATATACTTGGTTGGGATCAATCTAGATACAATCTCTGTAGAACTCTGTGGTCTACAATAATAACTTAAACTGTATCACTTAGGTACAGACTGATCTAGAACTCTCATGTTCCCTCAATATACTTGGTTGGTATCAATCCAGATACAATCTCTGTAGAACTCTGGGCCAACAGCAATAACTTAGTCTGTATCACTTAGGTACAGACCATGCTCTAGAACTCTCATGTTCCCTCAATATACTTGGTTGGTATCAATCCAGATACAACCTCTGTAGAACTCCAGGTCTACAGCAATAACTTAGTCTGTATCACTTGGGTACAGACTGATCTAGAACTCCCCTGTTCTCTCAATATACTCAGTCAGTATCAATCTGGATACAACTTCAGAATGTATCGCCTAGGTACAAACTGCCGTAGATCTACTCGGCCTACAATAATACCTGGGGATGTATCAATCTGGATACAACACTCTCTGTATTTTACTAGTTTATATCTATTAACCAAGATACAATTCATATCCATCTTGTTCGCTACACAAGGAGTATTATTTTGAGTTTTATGATACAGGTTAAATTAATAAACGTAATTAGGCTAAACAGGTATGTTCAGGTTTACAGATATAGGGTTTACTAAGATATTTACTACAATAAGAAAATTAATATTTACTTTCTAAAAGTGGTAGAATATAAATATTAACATTTTAATTTTTTTTAATCTCTTGGATATCGAATATTCAAGATTTTCCAGTTATAAATGTCACGTCATCTGTAATGAGTTCATACAGTACTACGCGTACACTACAGTCTCTTTAATATCTCGACGAAAAAGACTTTTCTCCAGAAAATAGATAAAATTAGAAGAAATTGAGTAGTTGAATTATGAATATATGTGGAATATAAATAAAAAAAAAAGAGTTATAATTTTTTATTTGAAATTGTATGCTTCAGAGTCAAGACAATTTTACCTATTCATGCAAAAGTTTTGAGCTTGCAACGGAAAACAAGTTACTGAACGACTCCTGTTCTGCATTATATAATCAATTCCAAATTGTTAAATTATAAATCGGACGCATCTTGTTATACGCAATATCCAAATCTATAATTTGTAAATCTATCTATGAACTAAATGTAGAAAGATTAGTTTGAAAAACAGCCGCAGTTTTGGTTGAAACTCCGTAATCCCTGTCTCCTCTGTGAATTTGATATTACCTATCATTATTGAAGAAACTTGGAAGATAACTTTTCAGAAAAATAAAACTTTGAATTTTCGAGTAATATTTTAAATTTAAAACTTTTATTATTCGTAGGCTCAACTACTTTATGTAAAGTATTTGACTAGGGTGGGGAGGGAGGGGGGGGGAGGGGTCATAACATATCATATTGTTCTGATTCCTTCATGTACTATCACAGACCAGACTTGTACCGTATCATACACACACTACCCGAGCCACTCAATTATCCTTTACCTTTACCTAACCCGCTCTAAGGAATTGAGTCTTTGCCACAAATTCCGATTTTCCAGTCTCTATATCTCTAATAGTCTTTAGACTTTAGATATTTCAACCTATTCTGTTAGATAAAATAATCTATGTTTGAAAAAGGTTTACATCAGGGTGTAAAGATATATATAATAAGGGTGGCAAAGACTTAATTCTTTTGGACCCAGCAAAGCTCCATTAACCAGGTCTAGTTGGGTGATCACATTGTAAGCAAATTAGAATAATTCAAATTTCGATTAGATCCAATATCAAAACCATAGAGGTTAAGACTGAAGCCTACCTCAGATGTACACAACCGACCTCCCTATTAATTAATTAATAGAGTGGTCGGTTGTGTACATCACGATATGTTTACGTACCTAACACTATACACTTGTATATAGAGTGATCGTATTTCTAGGGGGGATAATATGGAATTGAGAAAATATAACTCGAGGGATGTACGGTGGAGTCCCTATCTCGACCTTAATAGGTTTTGGAATTTTGAAAAAACTCACATTTTTCAAGAAGAATTGTTCGTGCATTTTCTCACGATGCAATATTTTGTAATTCTTGTCTTAACAAAAACAAACAACTGAACTGAAATGTACTGCAGTATACAATCCATATAAAGTGTCTATCTATCTATCTATACTATTCAATTATCTACTGCATTAAACCACCCCCAAGAAATACGATCACTCTATATAGAAGTGTACAGCGTTAGGTGCGTTAATATACCGTGATGTACACAACGGACTACTTAATCAATTAATAGGGAGGTCGGTTGTGTACATCTGGGCTAAACTTTACCTCTTCGTTTCCTTTCTCTATGATCAAAACCCTCTAATTTTAGATTGGATGACGGATTTTAAATAATTCGCCTCAACTCTTATTTTCAAATCAATTTAGCTCTGCGGCCTAATACATTGCAGTCCTTTGATATTCCAAGCTAGGAATTCTGCTAGTCAAAAATTAAAATTTGAAATTTCCAAATTTTCTAAACATTTTGGAATTAGAACATGAGAGTTTTACGTGAGCATTCTATTTCTTTTTCTTTAATGCTACGTCTATTGAGTTAAGAATTCATGTCATTTAACTTCGCAAAATTTACGAAACAAAACACTGAGTTTACTGAGTAATTGTCCACGTAACATGTACGACGTACGTACATAAAGTACATGCTTCGTCCACCGCTGTGTTAAGCTGTATTGTACTTTGGTTACAACAATTTATCCACAAGCTTTCCTTTATTTTTAAACCTAAAATCCGGTGAACTATTAAGACATAATCTATCCCACATAAATGTCACTAAAAGGGGATAATTCGTATGGCAAACTGCCCTGTTTTGCCTATTATAGTAAATACTTGTACTGTACAGCTTGCTCTCGCTGATTAAAAGTCGGCCCGGTACTTGAAATGAACCGGAGTTTACAGTGCACCATCATTGCTTGGTTTGAATGAATAAACTGTAGGATACTCCATCCCTCTCCGTAGATAAGCCTAAACTTACTCCGGACTGTAAACTCTACTGGATACAGAAGCACCTGGAACAGGAGCAGGAGGATCAGGTAATTGATGAAGAAAAAAATTGCACCAAAAAACTAATTTTTTATTCTCAATTATTTGGTAAATTAAACCAAAGCATAGAATAAACGGTTAAAATTGCGCATTTTAGGAATCCTCACATATACCTTTAAAAAAATTTATAGATAAAAACATTTTCCTTTGTAAAAAAATGTCTTTATGTTATGAAGAAAATAAGATAGTTTGTTTAAAGGGAGAGTAATTTCAAGTGACCCTACAAGCAAAGACAAATAAATATACGGAATATACGGAAGTTTTAAGGTCGTTCTTCTGACCTGAAAAGTGTTTATTTCTGCGAGTTTCTCCAATGCTTCTTTAAAACAAGGAATGCGCCAAGTCACTTTCGCAGAGAAACCGCAAATGAAATTGAATAGTATAAAGAAACAAAAACATTTATGTCTAATTTATACTTGATTAGAAAAAGCTTTGAAGGCTATAGTTTAAATCTTTGAAATTACGCTGACAGTCAAGCTTTTATTTTTAAGGATGCGGAAGAGCAAAGACGACGAGAAGAGGAAGACCTAAGGAGAGAAGAAGACAGGAGAAGAAGAGAAGCCGAAGAAGAAGAGGACAGAAGAAGAAGAGAGGAGGAAGAGGAAAAAAAAAGAAGGGCGGAGAAGGAGAAAAAAAGACGTGAAGAGGAGGAAAAAAGAAGGGAAGAGGAGAAAAAAAGAAGGAAAGAAGAAGAGGAATTAAGAAAACGAGAGGAGAAAGAAAGACAGAGAATAGAGGAAAGTGAAAAGAGAACAGAAGAAGAAAGAAAAAGACAACAGCAAGAAGAAGAAAAGTGTAGGAAAGAAGAGGAGGCAAGGAGAAAAGCAGAAGAAGCTGCTAGAAAGAAGAAGGAGCTTAGAGAGAAGAACATACAGGAAGAAAAGATGAAAGAAGAAGAGGAGAGAAGAAGAAAGGAGAGAAAGGAGGAGGAAGAAAAAGATAAAAAAGAAAGCGAGGAAAAGCAGAAAGCTGGTGAAGGATTCGAGCTTCTAAAAAAAACAGGTGAATGATGGATAGTTCATATTCATAAAATGTAGATATTTCATTAAAAATTTAAATATTTATGGTTTAAGAATGACCCAAAGATGGTTTACAGCTAAACCTTGAACACCTTATCAATCATAAAATTACATGAGTAAAATTATTTTGAGACTTGTCTAACTGTTTTTTAACCGTCTTAAAAAGTTTCCAAATCGTCTTTTTATTAGTTTTTAATTAAATATGCAAATTTCAAAAATGCAAAACAGGTTAAAATTATAGTAAGAAAATCATTCATTCGGATGAGACATGACAGGAAATAATTTTCTAGATTTTCGTTTTTAATAAGCTTAATTTAAATGAAAGATTTTTAAGTGGTAAAATTAATGGCCATAGAACTATAAATGCGAGAAAAAATCTTTTTCATAATCATTTCAGTAAACTCTAATCTTATATTCAACCATCGTAGCTTCTATTTTATATATTTGATTTTTGTTTGAAGTGTTTGCGGGACAAAAAAAAAGTATAAGAGGCCTATACTACAAAACACTACAAATACAGAGTATAATGATGATGATAATTTGAACCAACTAACAATTTACTTGCAGTAATGTAAAAGCAAGAAACTAAAATGAACTTAAATTTACGCAAATTTCGTACAGTACTTGCTCTCACAATCTGTGAACGGGTAGGACCGAAGCTTTAAGAAACACCATAGCCCAAAACTTAAGAAAGAGTATTGTAATGAAACCCAATATCGGAAACCCGGTTTTGTGAATGGGGTCAGACAGTTTTGTAGATACCAATATTTTCTTTTCTCTTTTTGTTTTCTTATTCTTAAATTTAAATCTACAGAAATACATAGACCCCGGAAAGGAAACTTGGGAGATTATGTCAACGATGCTCTCTTAAGTTTCATTTTCTTTAACTAAAACTATATTTGAAGTCCCAGATCTTATTATATTCCCTACCTCCGAACACGTGAATGTATTTTTTATCTCCTCCCATTACAGTTCACGGATCAGATACATGCAGGGATTAGGAATAAAGGGAAGGGCAATGGCGCTGGTCTGGCATGAGAAAGCCAGTTCAGCCAGTCGCACTGTTTTGAAAACGAGTTCAGTGTTACTTTATCAAATTATATTCTTTGCATGAAAATTTGGCCCATAGTGTTGACTTAAAAATATAAATAATATATTACATGTATATTAAACTTATTTTTAAGTAAACAATTAACAATAAACAAATGTACTCTCCTAGGCTGTACAAATACCGAGATTAGTATGTACTGTATATACCTTCGGTTCGGTATTACTTACACACATTCTTTTGGTACAGACACACACACTTGACGTTTCCGCCCCTGGATACATGACGGTTCCTAGTCAATATATATGTCTTGCGCAATTATACTTGAGATTCTTGCATTTCTAACAGTTTACTATAATTCAAATATAGTTTTCATGAATAAAAGGGCTTTAAAATAAAAACAATTTGAAGATAAAATGTTTATATTTCAGATGAAGAGCCGAAGAAGCATTTAAAGGTTACATCTGAGAGAAGCAGGAAGCCAACTATGGCCCGAGAGTGGAGGAAACTTAAGGAGAAGAAAAAGAGCAAGGGAGAAAATGATTCGGAAAAAAAATTTGAAAAAATCGAGGTAAATTTTTGTACTTGCATATTGAATAATGATAGAATACTGATACTTTCAGGATACTAGTACTGTTAGGATACTAGTACTGTTAGGATACTAGTACTGTTAGGATACTAGTACTGTTAGGATACTAGTACTGTTAGGATACTAGTACTGTTAGGATACTAGTACTGTTAGGANTATCTTATTTCTCGTCTTATTGCTATCCGCCAAATTGGTGACCCCGACGTCAGTAATATTAGGATACTAGTACTGTTAGGATACTTATACTGTTAGGATACTAATACTGTTAGGATATTAGTATGTTAGGATACTAGTATTGTTAGGATACTAGTAATGTTGGGATACTAGTACTGTTAGGATACTAGTACTATCAGGGTACTAGTACTGTTAGGATACTAGTACTGTTAGGATACTATAGTACTGTTAGGATACTAGTACTCTTAGCATACTACGAGTAGTAATGTTAGGATACTACGAGTAGTACTGTTNTTAAGGGAGAATCTTTGAGATATTTAACAAGGGGTTTAGTCTTTCAACAGTGATATAAAATAGGATTATCCAGGAGATTTAGTCTGAGACAGTAGTATTATTATTTTCATAGTTGCGTGGCGCTTTTATTTAATTCCATCTAATAAAAGTTTATGGCGAGCATTCTAGTGGAATTCAGAAGACCTTGAGAAGATATAATCACATTATTAGGAAAAAGGTTAATTTTTTTGGTACATTTTGAGAAGAAAGTACAGCTGGTACATTCACTTAATAAATTGATTTAGAAGCTATTGGTAAGGACCATTTGCTTTATATAACAAGACGAATGCATACAAGTCGTTTTTATGAATATTGTTCACAGATAGAATAAAATATTCACATAATTTCTAGATTGAGAGAACAGTAGTCCTAGCCCCGCCTGTCAAGAAGTATGTCCCCCCGGTGTATGCTGAAAACGAATTATATCATGATAGATTAGGTAGGGTAAGGACTTGATTGTCTATTTGACTGTTTTATCTAATGTAAAATTGCTTGATTGATGTTTTGATTGATTGATGTTTGATCGCTTGATTGGGTGCTTGACTAATTCTTTGATTCATTATTTGATTGATTGTTTGATTAACAGGTTGTTTAACCTTTGATTGGGTGTTTGATTTGATCTTTGATCAATTAATTGATCGATTTGTTGATTGGTTGGTTGTTCGATCACTTGATTGGACGTTTTTGATTCTTTGATTGACTTTTTGAAATTTTTTTTTTGATTGAATGTTTGTTATAATATTTGATTGATTTGTTGACTAATAGGTTGTTTTTTCGTTTGATTTGGCGTTTGATGAGTTGAAAGATTGATCATTTGATTTGTTGTTTGATTGATTGTCTGATTAATTGTTTGATTGATTGTATTTGTAGGAACCTATAACTCTGGTTGGCCGCATAACAATAAGAAGGGTATACCTACTCCATCCGAACTAGCAGAGGCAGGATTCTTCCTAGTAGGGCCAGGGGACTACTGTAAATGTTTTCAGGTAAATTAACTTCAGTATACTTCCTATTAGGTCCATGGGACTTCTGTAAATGTTTTTAGGTAAACTTACTTCAGTATACTTCCTAGTAGGTCCAGGGGACTACTTTTCCTTGTAGGTCCACGAAACTAATCTGTTTAGTAGGTCCAGGTGACTACTATTCCTAGTAAGTCCAGGGGACTACTTTTCTAATAAGTCCAGGGGATTACTCTTCTTAGTAAGTCCAGTGGATAACTATTCTTAGTAAGTCCAGGGGATAACTCTTCTTAGTAAGTCCAGGGGATAACTCTTCTTAGTAAGTCCAGGGGATAACTCTTCTTAGTAAGTCCAGGGGATAACTCTTCTTAGTAAGTCCAGGGACTACTCTTCCTATTAGGTCCAGGGGACTACTCTTCCTATTAAGTTCAGGGGACTTTTGAAAATGTTTTCATGTAAATTTACTCCAGGATTATACACAAAAGAAATCGGACTGGAGTGATTCTTAATCTTTCGGTTCCTTGCATCCTATAATTTTTTAATGTCAAACAATTTCTTAGCATTTACTAAATGATAAAAAGAGGAAAAAATCAGACTTTAAACTTAACATTGAGGTATTTCAGGTCATCTTTACTTTTCCTTTCCACTTAATAGATTTCTTGATACATCGTAAAAATTGCATCAATTTGATTTAGTTGCATCATTTAATTTGAGAAACTTCATAAAATAATAAATTTGTTCGCTATTTTAATCTGTGATAATTAGCACTACGTAATCTGCACTGAAAATTCTTTTAGTCTAAATATTATTGTAGCAGGTCACATAATCACTTGATCATAAAGGGGGTTTCGAACTAATTCTGCAATAGAAAAAAAAACTTGGTCAAGTAAAAGTTCACTTCAGAGGACAAAAACTAAACCAATTTTTTCATATGTATAAGAACTTCATTAAGGAATCGCCATTAAGTAAATTTACTATGCTTTTTTCACACAACCTCGAATTTGTGGAGGTTTTAAAACTTTTTCTCCCGAAACACTTTACTTTGTATGTTTTGTTATATTTCATAGATAAATAAATAATTACTTACTTATGACGTTTGAATCTCTCTGTTTAGTGTGGACTAGAACAGATGAGCTGGGAACCGTTTGAATCTCCCTGGATCAGGCATGGGTTTCTATCCCCGGAGTGCAGGTGTATACAGGGTGTCCCAAAAAACATGAGAATTGTATAGGACTACTTCTGTGTCGTCTTTCATCCATGCGGTTTTTTTTGCAACACACTGATTGTAGTGCTCTAGATAAAACAATTAATTGCGGAAACTCTTTGGATATGTAAAATGTAGATAGCAAGTTTCGTACGATCTAGATGTTGTATATCAATTCCCATATTTAATGGGAACCCCGGAGTAGTTCAATACGAAAAAAATAGGAGCGTTTTACGCCTAAAAATTTGGACACAGTTCAATTTGGGTTACGTTGCTTCAAATATGAAGAATAAACTTTTTTTTGACAATATGCCAATATAAAATTATACACACTCACTTTGCACTGACTTTGCGAATAAATAAATGTTTTTATAATTTGCGAATATATTTAAAATAAAACATAAAAGAAACTAAACACTTTCATTAAAATCAAATTTTCCAACAGTGTGACAAGATTTAAAGACTAGCGAGAGGTTTCACGATGTCTAAGTCCCTTATGTCGTAGACTATAGACTATTTAGCCAAATATCAAATGTTTACATCAGGTTGCAAAATTATTAGAAAAACAGAGTTTTCAGGCGGTTTAAACTAGTTTCATAGATTGAATGATGAATATTTTTATACAGTCGACATCCTTTATTTCAATACAATGAAGATGACTTTCGATTTACATTTTCTATTCTATCAAGCATGGTTATTCATGGTTACACATAAACATGCAGAAAAGAAAATCTTTCAATTAAAAGCTTATTTTTGTTTACTTGTAAACTTGTAATTTATAAAAAACCGCGTTAGAAATGAAAACTTAGAAATATAAAAGTCGTCTTCATTGTATTGATATGAACGCCGACCACCGTATTACATATTATATTAAATAAAATTTTGTTTAGTTACGTTGAACGGATAAAAGGACAAGAATGGATGGAAAATGTGAAAAGAGGAGAATTCTGAGGCAAGTTTTGTTTTTATAGAATGTGAAAAAGGACTTTATTAATTTCGAACCAATTATTTAATCTTTGAAATAAATCTAATTCAATTTATTTTTTCTCAAGCTTTTCCATAAAAGAACAACTTGAACATTAAAATTAGAATTGTACACATCAATTACAAATAGGTTTGTTTACCTTGTACTCATCAATTACAAACAGGTTGACACAATAGAACTATAAAACCATTCCTGGAGCTTTGCCGTGACTCTGATCTTAAAGAAATATTCCGTCATGAATTCTAAAGGAATATTTTTGTAAAACTTTATTTTCTGTTTTTGATATAAAAAGTCATTTTTGCTTGAAAGGGAATGAATCGCGAAAAAAAATTAAAATGATGAACTCATTATACGTACTCAAGTTTTTGCGTTCTCAAACTCTTTTAAAGGGTAGATTCTATTTTAAGCATCCACCCATTTTTCCTTTCTGGGATTTACAAAAATAAAACATTTTCATTTCATTAAAAAAATTTACTTTGAATTTGAGTTTGAGAAAGAATATTTCGGATTTTCGAAAAATATGAAATTTTTTCTCATTGTACACTTTATACAATATATGTATTTTGTACATGGTTTAATCCAAATTTTGGAATTGCTCGGTCAGTTCTATTTAAAATATCAATTGAATTTTGCCCATCAGTCCTACTTTGTAAAATATGAAGAAAACACGTTAAAAGAGTTGAGTCTTTGATACAAATTCAGTTTTTGTAAAACCTATATCTTTGCAACCTTATGATGTAAAACTTTGATATTACAAACATACATTATTTGAACTAATAGCATTCATAGTTCCCAAGTCCCAAGTTGTAAAATGTGAAAAAATCAGATTGAATTTTGCCCTTGGGTCCCAAGTCGTAAAATGTGAAAAAATCAGATTGAATTTGGCCAATAAACCCAGATTTGTAAAATATGAAAAAATCACGTTGAATTTTGGCAACAGGTCCCGATTTGTAAAATGTGAAAAAATCAGATTAAATTTTGCTCATAGGTCTAACTCCGTATAGTATGAAATGCAAAACTTTCCCCTTTGTCGACACACGACAGAGAAGAACATGAAAAAGACAGGATTAAGATTATAATGAAATATTTGAGAAATACGTAATAATTATTATTTAAAGAGACTGAGCCGAATTTAAAAAATTTGAGACGCGGCTCAAACATGGCTAGTTCCATTTTAAATTCTATTCAGTGTTTCGAGATTTGAGCCAGCGCTCAATTGATAATTCTTTAAATTTTGCCTCTGTTACCTTTACATATAAATTTTTTTATTTCTTAAATTGAAAATCGTCGATATTCCGTTATTAATTTATATATCTTTCTTATTTTATTGATGCTATTGGTTTCTTTACCTAACTTAGAAAACTAAAGAAACGTTGACAAGCTCTTTAAACTTAGAATCCAGATTTTAATCTGTCATCATTTTCAATGAACCTTTTCATCATAGTGCACAATTAGATTATTAGATTTCCCAGAGAAGAGAATTCAAAAAGAGATTTTTATGAAATATTATAAAAATTGTACTTAAAACTTATTGAATCTTTTTTCTCTCAATATTTAGAATACGATTGCATAAAATCCAAATAAGGTTGCATAGAAAACATCATGTAAAGTTAAGCAATTATTACAACTTGTATTTACAAGGAGAAGAAAGGGGGACCTTTTCTCTCATAATAGTTAGTAACGATTTATAAAGTTTCTCATAACAATAAGATTGCTTGAAAAGATTGATAATTGACTGTAAAATTGATGGAAGAGGCTTCTTTTAGTTTCATTAATATTGAGTTAGAGAACAATACAATTATTTTAAACTTAGAAATCAGACATTTAATCAGGTAAAAATTTTAGAAATCTTAGAAATATCAAAATGAAAAGAAAGTGGTTGAATTGAATACTCTAATAAAAGAACTCGTTAATTTAACTTGATATAGTGGAATTATATTCATTTAATTCAATTAAAATATGATAAGGAACTTGGTGTATGTGAACGTGTTTAAACATGAAATAGTTAAATTAAACTTACAAAATACATGAACTTACTGGACAGAAAGAGAAGGCCAAATTGTGCGACATTATTAGCAGGACTTTGTGATCTCGTAGCTCCTGTAGTTTTGATTGTACGTTCAAAAGTATGCAAAAAGCAATTTTTTTGTTAACATGTCAGAAAATTTATTAAAAATTGAGCACACCTTTTGTTCCCGTTGTAGGGCGAAAAAGTTACTATACCGCCCTAGCTACTACAGGATGAAAAAGTTACTATACCGCCCTAGCTACTACAGGATGAAAAAGTTACTATACCGCCCTAGCTACTACAGGGTGAAAAAGTTACTTAAAGAGACAGTAAAGGAAAAATGAAAGGGGGTATAGGCTGAAAGCTAATCACTTTAGCTCTCGATCGCGACCCATGAAAGTTATATCTGATGTTACATCTCGAGAAATTGATATAAAAATGTAGAAAACTTTAGGTCCAGACTCTATCTGCATAGGAACCCTATAAGCTGAGATTGCTCCTCTCCAGTCACTATAGTTTCAGTAGAAGTAAATCTTTCCATTTTCTGTTTAGCGCCGATTTAAGGATTCATCTCTAATTGGATAATGAGCTAGAGAGATAGATGTTACCGCCATACAATTTCTATTGGTTCAGAAAGACAACAAACACATGACTGAACCCTGATCGGATCAGGCGCTAATAGAATCGGCATGCAAGTTGGGTTCCTATCATCCCAGAGTTCCCCAAAGTCGCTAACCTGATTCTCTTGGGAGACCTCTGCACTCTCGTTGGCAAGCTATGAAATCTCCTTGCAGGCTTTCTCAGCAACATTCACATGGCCAAGGTTGTCCTTTGTCTCAGCATCCTGGTGCTTCTCAGACCTTGAAAATGGCTGCTTTGCTGGTGGATTTATATTCCGTGTTCATTTTGGCATTTTCCCAACCATATGCATTTGGTCAGATGTAGCTCCAGCGTCTGCTACAGCTGAAGCAGCCGACCACCTGTAGCTATGTAATGTAAACTTTTTTAGCTCATCAATATACAGATGTGTAGCCATATCAGAAGGCACTTTTCCGACCATAATCTTTCCCAGAGGCTTTTTTTGGTGACAGAGATCCCATTTCCTGTCCACAAAAGGCGTCCGGTGTATAGAAACCCAAACCCCCCTTAAATCCCCTGAGGTAGAGGTCCAGGACGTCACCAGTACTAACTTCTCCAGTCTTCCGGGGAACCGGGAACCTGAGATTAATATACATACATACATATTACATTTATGAGATTAGGCCTGACAAAAACTAATTAATTTAGAAAATAAATGTGTTCATTTCATGTCCCCAAGTGCACATTTAAATCCTTTTTGTAGTTTTTTTTTACATTTGACCAAGCAGGAAAGTCTAGAACATCCGGTAGAGGACATATATGGATGAGAAACTTAATAACTCTGTCTTAGTCTCATTACAAAGAATGCCATAAAAATGTTGGTTAAAACAAATATTATCGCTATATCATGTTTAAATTATTAATATTTTACGTAAAGAGAAAAATAAAATAAAAAAATTGGTTCTCATACCTTTCAAACATCTCGGAATTGAAACAGAATTATATAATTAATTTTGTTATCATCTTAGTCTACTCTACATCTATGATTATTAGTCCAAAAGAACAATTCAAATAATATTAAAATGGATATAAAATTATCAAAAGAAATTTCATGAAATAAAAAAATTAATTTGTTATCTATTTATTAAAATTTAGGTTTTAAATCATGATGTATTATGTAATAACAAGTTCAACATTAACATCTCCGTATACTGGGTTGTACTCGGAGTAAAGCTTGGTTAGTTCAGATACATATCGGGAGTGAAGACTCTCAATATCCTCATTGCTCGGATTCTTAAAAAATATATGTTTTTTAGTAGATCTTGTAAAATTTTGTTTCACATGGAGAGTTACCCACAAAGAATAAGAATTTAATGACCACCTATAACTTTAAATTGTAATTTGAAGGCTGGTACAGGGTGTTCCACAAAGCATTACAGTTGGTGAAAAGTTTTTAAATGTCTTCTTCCATAGTTTGTTAAGTTGTTTGAACCCCAAGAGAATAATATAAGATTTTGCATGTCAGCCATATTATATTAAAATTGATTTCAAAGTAAAATATATTTTAGTAAAAGATTTTTAAAAGTAAATAAACTGCAAAAGTTTATAATATCTAATATATTATATATGGAAGAAAACATTCAAAACTATTCACCAACTGTCATGTTTCGTGGGACACCCTGTATTTGGTGCTCCCTGGCATATACATAGTTTTAAAAAATAAATTTAATGATTTTACAATGACAGACACTTACTTATATTTATAGTTTCAGATAACCAAAAATCTGAGAAAAAGCTAGAGTAAATTCTATACAGTCGTCTCTGAAGTCTAATTTTTTGTGGTTAAACTTGTATAATAATGTACATATATTTATGGGTCCTCTTATAACGTACATTAATGTATATGTACATTGTACATGTATAGAATGGGGTAGTCAGTATTTACTTTGCACGAATGGGGTTTACCCCATTTACACTCTGTTCGTTAATTAAATTACCTGTACACGTTGTACAAGAATAGGTTTACCCACTACAAGTGTTATAGGTTTCCGAAAAGGCACAATTCCGTATGCGTACTGAATAAGATATTTATGTTATTCAAATTTTGCCATTTAATTAACCTACTATCTTTTGTAGTCTTAAACGTAAAGTGCATTACTTTTTGGATTGTTAAGACATCTCTTATGTGAAATTAAGCTTCCTGGGCGTACTGCAGTGATCTGCAGTACCAAGGAACTATATATTTCTTGTGCAGTACAATCACTGAAGGAAAAGAGGGGTTTAGTGGATTGGAAGGATCACAATTGAATTAAGTTGATAATACGTTTACATCAATTTTAGTTATTTTTATCTGGTAGTTCATACCAATAAATGACAGAGGGTATTCATTTACATAAGGACGTACATTATTAAAACCATATCAATAGTTCAATACCAGTTAACATCTGCATTGCAATTTTACATGTGACTTTATTGAACACTTTTAGTGGAAATAAAAGAAAAAGGTTATTTTTTAAAAAAATCGTAATTTGTCTTTATATTTTTTTTACTGTTTTTTTATTAGTTTTCTTTCCCTTAAGTGCTACTGAGAAGCTATTTTGAAATCTCAGGGGGTGCAAAGGTCCTGCCGCCCCCCCCTGTATTCGCCCCTGGATAAGTAGGTAGGTAGGTAGGTAGATATATATTCTGTATCCTGTATTTGAAATGTAAACAATAAAATCTATTAGACTATATAAGGTAGGATACCAGATATAACCAGGAGGTATAACTTAGTATTGTTAAATGTATTTAATAGTTGTTCTCTTCAGGGGTTTACTTCTTTTATTTAATCCTTTTGTTTACACATGTTTTGGTCAAACAAGGCTTTTAAGGGTACCGTAGTGAATATTGTACGAAAGTAAATTTTTAGGGCTACAAACCAGTATATGTATATGTATATGTATATAAGTATAAGTATATAAGTATATGTGAGTTGGTGATGTAAAATAAAAAACCAAGGCGTTGTGACACTTTAAAGTAGAAAACGTCTTAAACATTAATGAAACTTTTCATAGATGGCTGACCCTAGGAGAAACCTTAATTTGTGCAAAAATTTGCGTCTTTTTAAATACTGACGTTTTGTTTCTACCACAACCCACAAATCACTTTCATAAAATTTTTGGTTCGCATAAACATAACTTCTTGTTTTCTCCCTTATGTTAAAATTGGAGAGATTTACTTATTTTCGCAAAATAAGTAAATTTGCACAAGCAAAAAGTCGCACACTTTGTAATATTTGTAATACTTTCATGTAATCAGCTACCTGTGGGTCCATAAAGAATATTTAATCTATGGATCGAAGTTTACGTTGAACACCGCAAACTTAGATAAAATCTTATAATACTTTACTACACGCCTAGAGGTGGGCATCACATTATAATACTTTACTACACGTCTAGAGGTGGGCATCACATTATAATACTTTACTACACGTCTAGAGGAGGGCATCACATTATATAATAATAATAATAATAATAATAATAAATGGGGGCTTTATGCCATTGCAAAGAAATACGCAGAAAATTTTGAAGATATTTATAAAAATCCTGTGTTGAAGCTCTGACCAAAACTGTGTAATCTTAAAATTTATATTATAAATTTTTTAAACTAATATTTATGTAATGTTCTATCTATATTTCGCTAATATTTTGGAACCTCCATTAAAGTTACAATATTTACCGATCCACAACAGTACTGTTTAAACCTTTATTTGTGTAAAGATTATGATAATAGTGTCGTTTTTGTATTTTGAAAAAATACCTTTTTTTTCTTTGCTGCACAAATTCTTCTTGTTTTTTTTTCGGGTACTTAAGCTTTCTTGATTTCATCGCCTCATTTTTGGAAGAGAGGGTGGGGGGAGGCGGGGGACTAGCAGAATTTCTATTTCTGAATTCGCCAATTTTGATAAACGTGTAAACCCCATCTCTAGACTAGGTCCTGCTGAGAGGTTTATAGACTCCGTGGCTTGAACTAATCCTAGTACACTATTCCAAATCTAACCTAACCTTACCTAACCTAACCTTACTTTAAAAAATTGCTTTTATATCTATTTAGAATCAACTTTTTGATTTAAAAAGAAACTCCGAACCTTTTCAAGTAAATCTATATAATAAAACAAGACATTCGTATATATATGTTGCGTATAGCCGGCCAAACGGCTGGACCGATTGGGCTGAAATTTGTTGGGTGGCCGGGGGTGCTATAGGCTAAAAAAATATTTTTATCCACGGGGAACGCCGGACCCTACCTTAAGTTCTTTATACTGGGTGTCCTTATAATCTTGGCAATTTTTAAATTGCTGTAACTTTGTTATTGTTTGGAATTTTTCCAATCTGTAAAAAATTTTAGTAATCAAATTATGAACGTTTTGTTTATAACTGGATTCACGTCTTTTTCTTTAACAAGTGTTAAAAATGACCGCCATTTTCTTAAATATACTGTCTGGTCCTTGTATAGATATATATTGTATAGTCCCTGTATATATATTGTAAAGCCCCTATATATACATTGTAAAGCCCCTGTATATAGATTGAAAAGCCCTTGGATATATATTGTAAAGTCCCTGTATATATATTGTAAAGCTCCTGTATATATTGTACAGCCCTGTTTATATATTGTAAAGCTCCTGTATATATTGTAGAGCCCCTGTATATATATATTGTAAAGCCCCTGTATATATATTGTAAAGCCCCTGTATATATATTGTAAAGCCCCTGTATATATATTGTAAAGCCCCTGTAAATATATATATTGTATAGCCCCTGTGTATATATATTGTAAAGCCCCTGTATATATATATTGTAAAGCTCCTATATATATTGTAAAGCCCCTGTATATATATTGTAAAGCCCCTGTATATATATATTGTAAAGCCCCTGTATATATATATTGTATAGTCCATGTATATATATTGTAAAGCCCCTGTATATATATATTGTAGAGCCCCTGTATATATATTGTAAAGCCCCTGTAAAATATATTTATATTGATCTAAATATTGTTTGACCTGGAAAACTCCCCTACCAAAGAATAGAACTGGAGCGAATCCAACAATATGCTGGAGATAATCCTGGATCCGACGAACCAGGGATCCTTCAGGATTAGGGATCTAGAACAAGAAAAAATTAGGGGAGGGGATCCAGGGGGCCTTAGGGCAATACCACCCTCTACCCCCTCTGAAATTTTAAAGCGTTAACCCGGTCCTATTTATTTTCCATAAATTAAACAATTATGGTGGTTTGTATTTTCAGTTCAATCCATAAATAGGTAAATTTAAGAATTTGAAAGATTTCTTTTGGTCCTGTTTTTTTACCTGAAAATGTACCTTCTTCAATCTTTCTTTAAGAATCTGTGGGGGTCGGCGTGTACTTCTCTATATATTTTTAGCTACCTGTCCATAAATAAATGCCTCCCCGAATGAGAAGGTTGGAACTAGGTTTACTCCGTATCTCAGTGCTAGCTTGATAAATCCTTTCCTTTTCTTCAAAACCAGGCGGATCTTCTCTTTATCACTAGGATTCAACGGTTCATACAGTGGTTGGTGTTTATATCAATACAAAAAGACAATCTTTTTAAATAAGTTTTGATTTCTAACCAGCTTTTTCAAATTACAAGTTTTCAAGTAAACAAAGAGAAACTTTTAATTGACAGAGGCTCTTTGTTTCCATGTTTATGTGTATCCATGTTGTTTGAAGCTTGGTAGAAATAAAAAATTGTAATCGAAAGTCGTCTCCATTGTATTGATATGCACGACTACGACTAAATTAATTCAATAAGTCATTATTAAAAAGAATGAATAAATAAGTTGTAAAAACATAGAAAAAAATTATGAAATGAAAAGAATAAAATGATAGAATTAAAAAAATTGAACCTGTTTAAACTCTCAGGTGCTCCACCTACTACTAAAACACTGGATCAGTTTTCATCTTTTATATTGACAATTTGAACTTAAAAAGGGACTGTGCACTTTGTTTATTTGAGTTTAAAGGGACTTTGCGCCTAGTTTTATTTATTAATAGGGATTACACACTTCAATACATTTATTTTAACAGACTGCACGCTTGATTTCCTCTTAACGGAGTTTACCCTGACTATACACTTTTAGTTATATCTAATATTCAACAAACACACTACATAATATTTGTTAAGTTAGCCATGGTTAAACATGATTATCGTATCCAAGCCAAAAGTATGCAGTGTTGATTTTAGGCAAAGGAAATAATCGATACTTAGGAGAAAATATTGGTTTCTTGTCCTATTTGCTTCTAGATAATTTACAAATTAACAAAATTATTTATATCATTTAAATTGATAAAAAATGCTGAAAATTCTGAAGAAAATCTTATTTTAATTTTGATCGAGCAGAATATCCACGCCCCTCCATAACATTCTTAGAGATGGGCATCGTTTTTGTGAAAAAATCGAATTTTTTTTCGTGAACGATGGTGGCGTTAAGAAAATTTAGAAAAAAATAGAAGCGTTCAGAGAAATTAAATAACAATCGTTTTTTATGGATCATTAAAATCATTTATGAATGATTTCTAAATCGTTCGTTAAAATGAACTTTAAAAAAGATCGTTTTAAACTGAAAGAACGATTTTTTCAAACGAATTAGTGAAAAAACGCTCATTGCTTTTACTGAACGAACGATTTTTTCTATAAAAAAAAACAAACGAATTAGATGAAAATGAACGATGATCTAATTATTTTCTGAACGACTGCCAAAACTAACAAAATTCGTTAACAAACGATGAACAAACGAATTGAAAAAAGTCGAATGAGCGCATCTCTACCCATACTGTCAAATCCTTTCCTCTCCTAAGTTTCTCTATATCGGACCGAATCATCAATTTTTGTAATTGCTCATATATTTAACAAACTAAAAAATAAGTTTAGTTATATTAAAGGGATACAGTAAAATGTTCACAAAACAGCAGAGCTAAAAAAATAAGTTTAGTTATATTAGTTTAACTAGCCATAAATAGTTCAACTATTTCTCGCTTTTTTATCAGTTTCAACCCTCACAATTTCCCAGAACAAACTTTGTTTTGCATTTAAGAACATTGCATGGTCTGGGTTGTGGGCACTACTGGGCACATTGAATAAGATTAAAGTACAGGAGTCCCAAAAAAACATAGGATCTTAGAAACCATTTAAATGTTGTTCCTGATTTCCAATTATTTATAAATTACCTTGAATTCATGGCAACATGTGTTGTTCGTTTTTAATCTTAAAATTTGACGAAGAAATGTTTGGACAATTTTAATCTTATTTAATAAATTGACGGAGATATTAAGTGTTTAGACGATCTTAATCTTATTTAATAAATTGACGGAGATATTAAGTGTTTAGACGATCCCCCATGGTGTGGTATTTTAGGGGGTCATGAAGGGGTTGAATATTTTTGTCACAATACTCCTCTTGAAATGCATTTGTCTTGTGTTTCATGTTTTCATGTCTTTGTTACCGCGAGTATTTCGGAAGAAAAACATATTTTAAAGCAAAAGCACAATTAAACACAGGGGTTTCGGGATAATCTAAATATGTAAATAGATGCTAACAGCCATATAAAAAGATTCAGAGGCTCCAGCAGCACCCCAATCCTTGATTTAGTCGAAGTAGCGTGCTGAAAACCCCTATTTTAAGAGTTTTCAATGAAATGGCGGGTTTTCGGTTGAGATTCTAAACTGAAACATAACATTTAAACAACTTAGAGACTATCTCTCAAAAAAATTCTGAAGCAGCCAAGCCTTATTTGACATAAATGAGAGGTTTATGGAATAAATTCATTTTGACTGACCCACCCCTAATACCCCACTGTGCCCCCTCCCTTCTCCCGAATAAATGTTCTTTATTATGGCTCGTTACTTTCTCAACCATTAAAGTATTTGATTTCACCGTTTCAAAATGGAAAATAATTCTTTTTACTGCAATAATAGTCTAAATTTCTTGTTTACCTATAGCTATTCCTTTGGCCATATTGCGTTGTGTGTCCGTGACAAGGAATCCTAATATGAATCTAATTCATTCCTAGTACACACTATGCACAGTTTCTGCTGTTCAGAGACCAAGCCTCCATGGTAACAGTGCAGAACAAAGTTTAGAGTTGGAGAAGTTTTTAGTTAAATTAGCTCTTTCGAGTCCGCTGGAGGAGCTCCCTAAAAAGTTTCGCTGAAGAAGATCTCTAAAAGTTTCACGGAAGGAGCTCTCTAAAAGTTCCGCTGAAGAAGTTCTCTAAAAGTTCCGCTGGAGGAGCTTTCTAAAAAGATCCAATAGAGGAGCTCTTTAAAAAGTTCCGCTGTAGGAGCTCTCTAAAAAGTACCGCTTGAGAAGCTCTTTAAAAGTTCCACTATGAGAGCTCTCTAAAAGTTCCACTGGAGGAGCTCTCTAAAAAGTTCCGCTATAGGAGCTCTATAAAAAGATCCACTAGAGGAGCACTTTAAAAAGTTCCGCTGTAGGAGCTCTCTAAAAGTTCTGCTGTAGAAGCTCTCTAAAAACTTCCGCTGTAGGAGCTCTCTAAAAAGTTCTGCTATGGGAGCTTTCTAAAAAGTTTTGCTGGAGGAGCTCTCTAAAAAAGTTCTGCTGTAGGAGATCTCTAAAAAGTTCCGCTGTAGGAGCTATCTAAAAAGATTAGCCGACTAAAAAGTTCTGCTGGAAGACCTAGCAGCATGGAGTATGTACTGAAAAGTCTAGATCATAAGAAGGTTTACAATTTCTGATAAAAACGTAACAATAATCTTTGTAATTAATATAATTCTGATGCCATACTGTACGTTCATATTTAAAAACATTTAATTTCTTGCTGTTTTGCAATTTTTCAGGGAAAATTTGATTAAGTTAGATTTACTCCAAAGACCATTAAAATATGTGAAACCTTCCCCAACTGAATTCTGAGTTTCTGTTCATGTTCCAAGATATTTTTAGAATCAACCCACGCTTTGATCTGAAGATGCTCTGTAAACACTATAACCAGAGAAACAAATATTAAAATTTGAAACAACGACCAATAGTATTTAGTATAAACCTTAAAATTCGAAGGGTTTGGTTTTTAAACTGCTAAATATCCTTTTAAACCATATACAAAAAAGATGAAGTTCCTTATAACACCACCAGGGCGACCTAGTAATGATTCCATACCCCGCTTCGTGGCAGCACATGCTCCACTACTGGCGAACAGCTCTCTAAATATAGAAATGCTATTTAAAATCAAGAAAAGTTTAAATGGATAAAATTTGCATTTTAAGAGGATAATTCCAAAGGACAATACTTGACCATTTTCAAGGAAAGCTGGTATTCTAATAATTCTCAAATGAATTTAATCGGAACTATGACCTCTGATTATCCATGTCTATATTAAACCTCGAACTGAGTATAAACAAACTTTTCTAATTTAACAATTCATTGGTTTTCCTTGTAATTTGTTTTTATGACTTCATGAACAATACCTTAAAGTCTTTTTTTTGCATTGATTTTAAAGTATATCCAATCTAAAGTACATTTGGGAATATTCCCAGCCTGTATCCAGGAGTCCCAAACTGAATTTTCCTTACCTTTATTCGATCTTTTCGATCCTTACTTATAATCCCAACCTGTATCCTGAAATCTAAATATTCCCAACCTGTATCCAGGAATCTAGATATTCCCAACCTGTATCCAGAAATCTAAATATTCCCAACCAGTATCCAGGAATCTAGATATTCCCTACCTGTATCCTGAAATCTAAATATTCCCAACCTGTATCCAGGAATCTAAATATTCCCAACCTGTTTCCAGGTAATTAAATATTCCCAACCGGTTTCCAGGAGGCTAAATATTCCCAATCTGTATCCAGGAAACTAAATATTCCTAATCTGTATCCAGGAATCTAAATATTCCCAACCTGTATCCAGGAAACTAAATATTCCCAACCTGTATCCAGGAATCTAAATATTCCCAATATGTATTCAGGAATCTAAATATTCTCAACCTGTATCCAGGAAACTAAATATTCCCAACCTGTATCCAGGATTTTAAATACTCCCAATCTAAATATTCTCAAACCATATCTAAATATTCCCAACCTGTATCCAGGAAACTAAATATTCCCAACCTGTTTCCAGGAATCTAAATATTCCCAACATGTATTCAGGAATATAAATATCCCCAATCTGTATCCAGGAAACTAAACATTCCCAACCTGTAAGCAGGAAACTAAATATTCCCAACCTGTTTCCAGGAATCTAAATATTCCCAACATGTATTCAGGAATATGAATATCCCCAATCTGTATCCAGGAAACTTAATATTCCCAACCTATAAGCAGGAAACTAAATATTCCCAACCTGTATCCAGGAAACTAAATATTCCCAACCTGTATCCAGGAATCTAAATATTCCCAACCTGTTTCCAGGTAATTAAATATTCCCAACCGGTTTCCAGGAGGCTAAATATTCCCAATCTGTATCCAGGAAACTAAATATTCCTAATCTGTATCCAGGAAGAAAATTAATATTTCCAACCTGTATCCAGAAATCTAAATATTCCCAACCTGTATCCAGGAATCTAAAGATTTCCAACCTGTATCCAGGAAATTAAATATTCCCAACCTGTATCCAGGAAATTAAATATTCGCAACCTGTGTCCAGGAAACTTTATATTTCCAACCTGTATCCAGGAAATTAAATATTCCCAACCTGTATCCAGGAAACTTGATATTTCCAACCTGTATCCAGGAAACTTGATATTTCCAACCTGTATCCAGGAAACTTTATATTTCCAACCTTTATCCAGGAAACTTTATATTCCCAACCTGTGTCCAGGAAACTTTATATTCCCAACCTGTATCCAGGAAAATTTATATTCCCAACCTGTGTCCAGGAAACTTTATATTCCCAACCTGTATCCAGGAAGCTTTACATTCCCAACCTGTATCCAGGAAACTTTATATTCCCAACCTGTGTCCAGGAATTTAAATATTTCTAACCTGTATCCAGGAATTTAAATATTTCCAACCTGTATCCAGGAAACTAAATATCCTAATCTGTATCCAGGACACTTAATATTCCCAACCTGTATCCAGGAAATTAAATATTCCCAACCTGTATCCAGGAAACTAAATATTTCCAATCTGTATCCAGGAAACTTTATATTCCCAACCTGTATCCAGGAATCTAAGTATTCCCAACCTGTATCCAGGAATCCAGAATTGTCCCTCTAGAGACAGTAACCTCGCTTCCATACCAGGGAACTCCTAAAAGTGAATAAATACAAACAACTTAATAAAATATCCATTTATAAAATCACAGTCTTATGATTTTATTTGAGAAAAAGGAATAATCATTCTATTAGTAGTGAGTTGTACTAATCTATATTTCTAATTCTAAAGATTTATATATCATTTATATTTTCAAATAAGTGAAACCTTGAAATCCATTAAATTGGTTAGATATTTATTGAACAATACATTACAATACATGTATCAAAACAGTAGTAAAGAAATTTAGGATTTTTACGGAGGGTAGAGAATCTACAGTTTTTGTCCCAATAAAATTCTTTATTATGAAAAAAGTGCATATTGCATTCGTTGTAAATAAGTTGTATTAAAGGGATACAGTAAAATGTTCACAAAACAGCAGAACTAAAAAATAAGTTTAGTTATATTAGTTTAACTAGCCATAAATAGTTCAACTATTTCTCGCTTTTTTATCAGTTTCAACCCTCACAATTTCCCAGAACAAACTTTGTTTTGCATTTAAGAACATTGCATGGTCTGGGTTGTGGGCACTACTGGGCACATTGAATAAGATTAAAGTACAGGAGTCCCAAAAAAACATAGGATCTTAGAAACCATTTAAATGTTGTTCCTGATTTCCAATTATTTATAAATTACCTTGAATTCATGGCAACATGTGTTGTTCGTTTTTAATCTTAAAATTTGACGAAGAAATGTTTGGACAATTTTAATCTTATTTAATAAATTGACGCAGATATTAAGTGTTTAGACGAGTTTAATCTTATTTAATAAATTAACGGAGATATTAAGTGTCTAGACAATTTTAATCTTATTTAATAAATTGACAAAGGAGTTGAGTATTTGCCCCAAACTCAAACTTTCGAATTCCCATATTTTTGCAACTGATGGCAAAAACCTTTTCCAACCTCCATTGTTTGATGTAACAGAATTATGTAAGGTCTACAACATTGGGTTTTAAAGATAAGAAGACCAGAAAACAGAGTTTGGGGCAGAGACTCAAATTCTTTTTTTATTTTCGATTAGTTTTTTGAAGGTGCGAAAATGGCAGACCCCATTTTAAATTCCTAAGACCATGGTGTATTAAGTATTTTAAGTGTATTTCTACTAAACAGAATTTAAGAAAAATGCATATTTTTTCATAATCCCATGTGTGTTGGTACACCCTGTACAAAATAAGATTTTGACATGGCAGATTTATTTCTATCCCCTATAAACCTTATTTCTTGATGGAAACCAACCAGTTTTCTTATTTGCAAACATACTTTACAAAGTATACATTAACTAAAGTGTGCTTTCAACTCAGAAACTCTACAGAAACTTGTCTTGTAATAGGATAGTTAAATCCAAGAAATTGGAAAGAGATTTCGTCAAGTTTTAGAAACAATATTTGGAATAACCAACATGGTAACAGCGCTAAAAAAATCAGAGCTGGGAACTTTAGAATGGTGGATATCGGGATTAATGCTTGATCCACTCTTTTTCTTAATCTCCAGATTAAATATTGCTTGTTGTCCTCATGAATTTAATCTCCAGATTATTTACCAGATCGAGATTAAGGATATCCCATTCTAAAGTTTTCAGCTCAGCTCATTTATACAGAGACTTAAGATTCGTTTAAGAAGTTAAAAAAGTCTCCATTTTGTCAAATGAAAAAATCATAAAATTGGATATAAAATCAATAAGCTCTTTCTGCTAGAAAAGGTGTCTGCTTTGATCTCACTCCGAACAAAAATGTGCACGCCCTCACGCAAAATTAAGCAGTATTTTGCCAATTACTTCTTTTACACATAAACCAGGAACAAGTGTATTGCAATTTCTAAATGTATATATGTAGACATACACAAATGTACAAGTGAGTTGGGGAGTTAAAACCAAAGGCCAAGGCGTTGCGACACTTTAAAGTCGAGGCTGTCTAAACATTTGATGAATAACTTTCACAGTTGTCTAGATCCTCATGATTCTTATTTTAAATCACCATTTTGTATCAGTTTTAACTATTTATCTCTTTATTACAGGGAGGCAATAGGGATACAATATATATAGGTGGGATTATTGCCAAGGCAATGTAATATTCCCTCCAATGTTTATTGCATCCTTATTGCCTCACGTAAATGAAGAGATATGTATTTTTTTCAACTTTTAAACAAATTTTTTGAAGGCTTTTCCACTGCTTAACATAATTTTTAATTTACATCAAAATCTACCTTTTTCAGGTTTTCAAAACTGTAAAAACTATTTAGTTTTAATTGTAACACATATTTTTGAGTTAAGAAATTAAATCATTAATGTTTTCGGATTTGTAAACCCGTCGCAACTTCTGGGCAGAAAAATTCGCAATTAATTAGATTGTATCCCTAGGGTTGCAATCTATTATTGCGAGTTACGACCCTGATTTCAGGGTTGCAATTTGAATATCAGGGATTTATTAGTGTCATAACTTTGTTCAAAAGTTTAAAAAAACATCACTCACCCCTAAGTTTATTCCTCATGCATAGTTTGAAAAAGTTTGAATAAGATAAGTTGTCTGATTGTGATAATATCTAATGTATTGAGGTTAAATCAAGCTTAATAAAACTTCCTAGACAACTTACTTTGCATGCTTCCTAACCCAGAAATAATAGTGTTTCCCACTGAACATAAAAAGGCGACGTGAGACGAAATTTGAAAAACTTGAGCTAGGTCGACGGCCTATCTACCGCAGGTTCAAATTCTGAATCATCTGATTTAAGTTTAAAGATTGATATAGATTTGATTCGATGATTCATGGTTTAAACCGGCGGTAAATAGTTCAACGACCTCTTCAATTAATTAAATTCAGTCCCAGGCATAATATTGAATATTCTTCAGTTTGACATACAAAGATTAAAACTAATAAGGTCTCTTAACTGAATGGAATTTCATCCTTTTTTTACCAGGAATACATTTAATATTATTCCTGTTCATCTTTATACTGTAATGTTTGGTGGGTAGCACTGTATTATAAAAATACTCTTCTACTTAATTATATATCATCCAGAATTCTTTAAACATCAAGGTTAAGGTTTATACTATTTAGGATCAGAAAACAACTTTGCCTTTAATATCACATTGTCTAGTCATGTTTTCCCCGAGTAACAATAAACCAACTTGATTTCATGTTCAACTCAAACCATGTAATTTTCCTAGTTATTTTTCTTATGAAAGGGAGAGTTAGAATATTTTAAACTTTTAGGGTGAATTATTAGATTTCACTTACCGTATCTTTTACTTAATTCCTTATTTTCAAAGACATTAACTTCTGTGAAAGTTTAGGAGTTTCTTTTCAAGCGTAGTTTAAGTTTTTGATATTATAATTAACTTTGTCATGTTTAATTTTATAATAGATTTTATTCAAAAATAAACTATATCACGCTGATTAAACAGTTCAGTCATCGTCCCAGCAAGCTGTGACTTCCGATCACAATATGACCTTTAAAACATAAATTTTTCAACGTCATATATTTTTCTTTCATTTTTCTTTCTTTTTCTTTTCATTTTCCTTTCATTTTCCTTTCATTTTCTTTTCATTTTCCTTTCATTTTCTTTTCATTTTCTTTTCATTTTCCTTTCATTTTCTTTTCATTTTCCTTTCCTTTTCCTTTCATTTTCTTTCCATAATCTTTTCATTTTCTTTTCATTTTCCTTTCATTTTCCTTTCATTTTCTTTTTATTTTCCTTTCATTTTCTTTTCATTTTCTTCTCATTTTCTTTTCATTTTCCTTTCATTTTCTTTTCATTTTCTTTTCATTTTCTTTTCATTTTTCTTTCATTTTCTTTTCTTTTTCCTTCAATGTTCCTTTCATTTTATTTTCATTTTCCTTTCATTTTCCTTTCATTTTCTTTTCATTTTCTTTTCATTTTCCTTTCATTTTCCTTTCATTTTCTTTTCATTTTTCTTTCATATTCCTTCAATTTTCCTTTCATTTTCCTTTCATTTTCTTTTCTTTTACCTTCAATTTTCCTTTCATTTTATTTTCATTTTCTTTTCATTTTCCTTTCATTTTCCTTTCATTTTCTTTTCATTTTTCTTCATTTTCCTTTCATTCTCTCTCAATTTTCTTTTCATTCTCTTTTCATTTTTCTTCATTTTCCTTTCATTCTCTCTCAATTTTCTTTTGATTCTCTTTTCATTTTCCTTTTCAATTTCCTTCATATTCTTTTCATTCCTTTTTAATTTTTTTTTTATTCCCTTTTGATTTCCCTTTCATTCATTTTGTAACTTTTGTATTTTCATCCATTTTTCCCTCCGTTAGATCTATACCTTGTATGTAGTCTTTTTACTTTACTGATATTTGAAGCCGTATGTTTTATATCAAGGACTGTAAATTCTAACTTTTCTGGTTTAGTATAATAGAAAAGGAAGTTATAAACTCAGAACTGAGCTCAAAGTAGTGTAAAAGAGTCTACTTAAAGGGGGTTTAAAATCAACGAAATATCAGATTTTGATGTACAACAAAATAACTAAGATGGTCGATGTTGAAAAACGTTCATAAAGAAATAAGTATGTTCAGAGATTTTTATCATGACACCCTGCAGGCTCATAGTTATAGAAAACTCTTTATACCACTTGTGCACTTTCTACGAGTAAAATAAAATACAGGGACAGAATTGTTAAATTAATAATTCTTGGAAACAACCTCCATGATATACTATAGACATATACTTTCAGAGCGCTTCGCGCCCCTTTTCTAGTTAAAGTCTTAGCTGTCAACCGTTGCTCTTCAAACTGTTTTTTTGTAAACGGCATTTTTCAGATTTTTACGTTTTCATCTGCCTAACAATTTTCATCTTTAACCCTCCATAGACCTTCCCTGGGGCCATGTGAGTTGCGACATAAAATTTGGGCCCGATCGGTTCAGCAGTTTGGACGTTTATTGGATACAAACATACAGACAAACCCAGGACAAGCTAAATATATATAAAGATTTTCTGCGACACTGAAGTCTTCTAAGTTTCCGTTCGGGATGATCTAGTGTGAACAAAGCATTTAAGTATACCATAACGAGTACAGACTCATTAACTTGATTTTTTTTAAACATCAGGACTACGACTATATTTTTTCCAAATCCTGTACAGAAGTCTATACTAAATCCCGTACAGAAGTCTGTACTAAATCCTGTACAGAAGTTTGCACTAAATCCTGTACATAAGTCTGTACTAAATCCTGTACAGAAGTTTGTACTAAATCCTGTACAGAAGTTTGCACTAAATCCTGTACAGAAGTTTGTACTAAATCCTGTACAGAAGTCTGTACTTAATACTGTACAGAAGTTTGTACTAAATCCTCCACATAATCCTGAAATGAATCCTTGACTAAATCCTGGACTGAATCTTGTTCTGAATCCTGTACTAAAATAAATAAATAATTACCTTTTCAAAATTGACTCCTTCTGTCCCGAAACAGGCGAATGCACCTGAATAAAGTTTTGATAATTTGATTTTAGAACTCGGAAAGAATCATCCTTTAATCTAACAGAGAGAAAAATTGTTGTATCTTAAACCTGTGACTTAAGTACTCGGATAATTCATTCTTTCTGAACAGTTCAACATTATAAGTAGGATAGGTAGGATTTATTATTTTTCAGGAAGAGACAAATTTCCACAATTTAAAGAGTAAGATCAGAGACTTTTACACTCAGAACTAGCAATACTTTATACTAACTAATTTAAGGAGTTAGAAAAGCTACACTCAGAACTAGTAATACTTTGCTAACTAATTTGAGGAGTTAGACAAGAGACTTCTACACTCAGAACTAGCAATACTTTACTAACTAATTTAAGGAGTTAGATAAGAGACTTCTACACTCAAAACTAGAAATACTTTACTAACTAATTTAAGGAGTTAGATAAGAGACTTCTACACTCAGTACTAGCAATACTTTAACAACTAATTTAAGGAGTTAGACAAGAGACTTCTACACTCAGTACTAGGAATACTTTACTAACTAATTTAAGGAGTTAGCCAAGAGACTTCTACACACAGTACTAGCAATACTTTACTAACTAATTTAAGAAGTTAGCCAAGAGACTTCTACACTCAGTACTAGCAATACTTTAACAACTAATTTAAGGAGTTAGATAAGAGACTTCTACACTCAGTACTAGCACTACTTTACTAACTAATTTAAGAAGTTAGCCAAGAGACTTCTACACTCAGAACTAGCAATACTTTACTAACTAATTTAAGGAGTTAGATAAGAGACTTCTACACTAAGAACTAGCAATACTTTAACAACTAATTTAAGGAGTTAGATAAGAGACTTCTACACTTAGTACTAGCAATACTTTACTAACTTTTTTAAGGAGTTAGATAAGAGACTTCTACACTAAGAACTAGCAATACTTTACTAACTAATTTAAGGAGTTAGATAAGAGACTTCTACACTTAGTAACTAGCAATACTTTACTAACTTTTTTAAGGAGTTAGATAAGAGACTTCTACACTCAGAACTAGCAATACTTTAACAACTAATGCAAAGTTTTCGGAATAAACTATGCTTTTGCTTTTAAAACATAAAGTTTTTCGGTGCTTAAAGAGACTGTAGACGTACATACAAAGAGTGCCATATACGATTTACAACCTTTAAACCATTTTCTGATCAATGCATGGATCTTCATATTTTTTCTGGATGAAAGCTTATCATATTCAATTTTGGGTTTGCAGTTTTATGCTTAAAAAACAACTAACGAAATTCAACATTTTTTAGGGAAAAAGTGACCCCATTGTTACTCTAATGAAAAAATTTAAAGATACTACTGTAAAAAGGACATGTCACTCTTTAAATGGAGGCTCACTTGAAATTATGTCTACAGCTCCTTTCCTCTTATCGTATTCTGACATAACAATACGAATGACATCCTTAAAAAAGGATCACTTTGAATTACGTTAACAATCCCGTGCAAATTGAAAGGTTCCAAAGACGTGGTGATTTAAATCAAGAGTTTGTGGCAAAGACTCAATTCCTTTGAAACAAAAGAAAAAGAGTTTACGATAATTTCCACTCCACTGAATCTGTTCAGTTCAGTTTAATACAAAGAATTCAACTTTATTAACTTGTAAAATATTTACTATAATGAAATCTATATAATCGGCACAGGAATAGGATACAGGATACAGGATGCAGGATACAGGATACAGAATACAGGATACAGAATACAGAATACAGGATATAGGATACAGGATACAGGATACAGGATACAGGATACAGGATACAGGATACAGGATACAGGAATAGGATACAGGATATAGGATGCAGGATACAGGATACAGAATACAGGATACAGAATACAG